CACTGTTTAACCCTATAGAGATCCAGGGTTATGATGTCTCTGAGATCATCTTCATTCATCCCACGCCAGAGGATCGTGGTGTCATCCGAAAAAGTGTGAACTTTCCTTCAATATCAATGGTTACCAGATCATTCAGATAAAGCCGAAAAAGGAAAGGACGCAGAACCGAACCTTGTGGTACACCTGATGAATTAATTCCCAATATGTGATGTATTTCTTCGGATGAAATTCAAGAGCGTCCAATGCATCCCAAAAAAGTTACTGTTTGACATGGATTTTGTGCTGGCGACATCATCGGTTAAATTTTGCCTGATTCATGGAAAATTAGACGTTTAGGTTACGTTCCACCTGGAGCAGCCGTGGCGAACATTCGAATTATGTTATATTCCACACATAATGGTATCAATAGGTCTTTCAATCGGATAAAAAATTTCGATCATATCTCACATACACTTTGTTTTATTCAAATTTGAAGATGGAAGCGCTAATAAAGAGTGAAACAAAATATAGGTATTGGAACTAGTTGATAGTAATCTCAATACCTGATATAATACTATCTAATTTATTAAGTTTGAAGCTTTGTAAAGCTCCAGTAGGACCTTCGAACATACTCTGTGGCTGCTAGGCTCTATCGAAAATAGAGGCAAACATCACAATATTTCCTGATAGTTTGGAAATGTTGAAGAAAGGTTAGAAACTATTCCTTCTAGACACAAACAGAAAATGTCAGATTGATTCAGTCCTCTGGATTCAATTGAAAGCAGTATATGACAGAAGAAATGAATGTTCAAATACCGTTTTTCTATAAATTATCAATTTTGGGAGGAACCAATTAAATTTTGTCACAGTTTCAAATGACAGTTATGCCCACACCAGTGAGGAAAATTGAATGAAAAACAGAAATAATCGAATATCCCTTGTATACCCACCGAGAAGAAAGTTCTTAATTTCCGTCTTGTGAATGATTATTTGCAGTAATTATCGCACCACGTCGTTGTCATACTCGAAATGACAGCTGCAATTACGTGACGGCGTGAATTTAATGTGCGTGCTGAAATAATTGAATTTGGCAAACGCGCTTAAATTAACAACCACCGCATTCGAATTGGCGATGTCTATGTCTATTTGCCGTGCATTTGTCAGCGAAGAAAGTCAATGCCCGATTTGATTTTTCCCACATTAAAAGCAATATCACCTCATTTCACCCAATATTCCAAACAGTGGCGAACAAGAGAATGAATGTCATCATCTGTTCGGGGATGTGGGTTGGTTGAATATGGACAACATACCACAACATAAAACTTTTTAACAACCAACTTTAACAAACAACAACCACTCCCGTGGGGTATCTAAGTGATCATTGGGTCCGAGAATCATGTGCCCTGAGTTAGCAGCTTTCTGCATCTGTCCGGCTAAGATTTCTGACTTAGTGCGACAAGCCATTATAATTTTGAGATTCGAGAGTAGAGAGGACATCATTCCACCAAGGACTCCAATAATCGAAACAACAATCTTGACAAAGTGGTCTGGATACAGCCTGCAGAATTCGAAGAGAAAATCTCCATATTTTATTCGTTTTTCCTCCTCTTTTCGGACGATATTCGTCTTGTCAGAAGCTGAAAACTCCACGACAAATATCGTTATTATTATTATTAAATATTGACACATTGTTAATATCTCAAGAAATGCCAACTTCTGCGGTGTATTTGCAACAACCTCACTTATTTGTTTCTAAGAAAAAGTAATAGTGAAGGCGATATTATTCAAGGATCAATTTAGATCTGAAGGTTTTGGTAACCCTGTATCACATCGCGTCTTGCGTCCATAAGGTTTGTTTTTGACTATTTCACGTACAGTTGAGAAAGGAATTTCGGTCAAATCTGATGTTGCTTGTAATAGTTTCTTTCTCTCGAAACCAAACTTGAGATGTAGATTCTTATATACATTGAAACATACTCTATGTATTCCAATATTCAAATGCATCCGATTCTTATTACCTGGTATCTCTTTTTCGCATTGTTCACCATCGCTATTGAAATCACTACACTGGAAAAAGTCTGCGTTGTTATCACATTCGTTATTACTATTAGTACTTGTCCAAAGACGCCACATTTTAACTAGATAACAAAAATTCTAAGTAAATATAATTGCACCAATATCGAATTTCAACACTCAAATCGCAATCAGTTCCTGAACTGAACACGACGGCGATAACCAAAGGCCGCATTCCATGATTTCTATTCGTCACCGTAACATGACTTCAAATTTAATTTTATGACTCTTCAGCAAATCACAAAACTCGGTAAGTGAAAATTATCCAATACGAAACGCCAAGTGTATAGTCCACACGTAGAAATGCTGCCGGTTCATTTCTATGTGTTGGTTTTTATGACCTTTGAGGGTGCCGACAACTTTAATAGTGTACAATATCGGTTACTTAGATTATACATATAACTACATTTACATCACAGACTGAGATTTCACATAATATTAACATTTCTACATTTACGTTCTCAACTTTAACTAAAAATGTCGAATGTCATGTAACAAACATCAAATTAACATCAATAACGCGGTAGATTCAAAATCAAACCTAAATATTTGTTCATTTTTTGAATTTTTATTTTACATTCTTTTGCTTTATATCTGAGCGGGGTAGATTTACTTGAGGGGAGCGAGAGGCTGAAATTGAGTTCAAGAGGGGTAGAACTACCCCGTACGGGTTAGCTGTGACAACAGTGGTAGGTCGACAACGTCGGGGTTCATACTCGAGGCTAAAATTTGCGGCATCAAATTCTGTAAACTAGCGTCTAACAGTACGTTTATTAACATCACCATTACCAAATGCCTGGTTAATTTTTAGGGCTGTTTCAGCAGCGCTTTGGTTCAATTTGAATTCGTAGAGAAAAATTGGTCGAATATCGTTTAACGACATAATATAGTATAGTATGAGCTTGAAAGAGGCAGCAATACATTAAAATTTGGAAAAAATACGGCAGTACCAATGCAAGGAGTACAACATTCTCTGTCGACCAGTAGAAAACAACTATTTATTGAGATAGAGCTACAAAAACACATGACATTGACACAAACAGAACTTTTGCAACATCCTAATATCTACGACAAATTTTTAAGGAGTTGATCTAATCTAATTTCGCTACAACGAAACTTACCTAAAACTATACAATCTGATCATTTTGAGCTACGTGAAATCTCTCAAATTCCTCCACTAGTTTTTCAAAATGAATTGAATCCAATAAAATCTCAAATGAAACTCAATATTTCTGGTAAATGTCAATTGAAATTAGATAGCAACTTTTGAAAGATAAACGCCCATATAACTCTATCCAATACATATATCTTTTGGTACATGTTCTTAGTGCCTCTGACTTAGCAAATTTTATTAGACTTTCAGATTCATCAGCGAACCCCAATTTCTAAAATTGAATATATGTATAGGTGTTTACCTTTTTTTCTCAGGCAAAATATTTCACTTTTGAATTTTCGCCGTGGGATAATTGAAGACAGAAAAAAACTCTTTTTATAGTAACTTGAATGTTCCTCTAATAATGCGACTACGTATGTAGGTTATATGAGGGATCACCAAAGGCAATGAATAGCAATAAAATTGGATTTCTCACTCCGGTATCAAAGTTTACATTTTTTCCATTGTCTCCACTCTTATTTCTCTACAATCTTTGCAGACCGATGTATAGATATTTCTCTCCTGGGAATGGCAGCTTGATGAAACATATTGCTTGATTTCATTATTACCATTGATATAGTACTTCATAGAGAGTTACAATTTTATTAAAAATGGTATTGTAATGAATTGACAGAATAACCGTCCAAGGTAGAGTTGCATATTTCAGGTAGTAGTACTGAAAACCGATTCCATTCGGTAGAACTGCAACAATGAATACGACATGGTCATTCTAGCCAGCTATTATCATCATAATGCAAGTTTGATAGAAATTCATTCTGAACCCTTCAGTCCCGCTTCTGTGTCTAACAGAATTGTTTGAAGGTGCCCAATGTTGAAACGTTCTATCGACGTCGTGTGTGCTTCGAAATATCTAATACCGGGTCTGTGAAACAAGAGTGATTATGGGTTTTTTCTTTCGATGCAATTTGGTTTTCCAATCAAACGGTTTTTTCTGGATATTGTCATCTTCTATAATCTGAGAAAAATAAANCAGATTTTTTCAGGGATTTCAAATCAATTTATATCATATTATACAATGGAAGTTCGAACTAATGAGATGCATCACGAAACATTGTCATCCACCTTCAAACAAACATTTTAGTTTTTTTATTACTCTAAAAATAACATGTAACATTGAGTTCAGTTAAAGCACAAATTTTGGTTCATCAGTAAATGAGGCAAGTGAAAAATTTATTCATATTAAACGGTATTATTGAAAGAAATTATGTAGATAATGAACGACAAACTGAAAAATAATCCAGGTAGTAGTCATCACACCACTTTTCTCAGCAAACTACGGTATTGATGAGATGAAAAAATAATATTTTTTATCTGATCAATACCGTTGATTGCTGAGGAGAGTGGTGTGATAACTACTACGTAGAACCTTCCGAATTAGTTTTCAGGTTTCAGTACATTATTTACATCATTATTATCTTTTTTTCAATTAAACCATCCCACATGAATTTTTTTGCTTTATTTTCAAGTTTTGAGTTTCTAATTCTGCTAATCAATTCTTCCGCCATTTTGTAGCTGCGGCCATCTTGGATTTACAATGATACGGGATTCATTCAATTGTATTGTCATCAAAACTAAATGTGTGTACCAAATATCAGATCAATCTGTCAATAGAAAGGGGGTCACACTTCAATTACTTAATTCAACCCAAACAAACAAGGCAAGCTAAATAAAACCGTTTGAAAAACATCCAATTCGAGATGTATTAGCTCAGTGGATATTTGAAAAGTTACATAGTATGAATTCTTCTATCTTTTGAATCCTTGTTTCTTTTCAGAATCCGGAGGGGATCAAGCATCGACCGCCAGAACAACCATATCTGTGTCCAGCGGAGCAACACCAGTGTCAGTCTCCACGACGCCGAACACTCTATCGACGACGGGCGCTGGAGCCCGAGAGTGTGCCGGATGCGGCAAAAGAATCGGTGACAGGTTCCTTCTCAAGGCTCTTGATCTCTTCTGGCATGAGGACTGTCTCAAGTGCGGTTGTTGTGACTGCCGACTCGGAGAAGTCGGTTCCACCCTGTATACTAAAGCTAATCTTATACTATGTAAAAGAGACTATCTTAGGTGAGTTGCTATCAGTTTATTTCTACTCTCATCACACTCCATAGAATGAATATTTGTTTTGTAACACACGTCCATTTACAAAAAACCAGCGATGTTATTGATGGGTTCAACAAACCATTTTGATTCTACAAAAGTAATGGAGACGATTAGCTGAAGTTTTATACCTAGTCTATATTAGAAAATGAATATTTCGAAATAAAATCTCGAAAAATTCATCTCTCCCAACTACCTACACTGTAGGTTCTGGTAAATGCCTGTCGGAAAACAACTACTTCCCCGGCAGTTCCAGGCTGGATATTGAAATAAATCCGACAGAAATTTATGCAGTAAACTTCACAGAGGTTGGAATCGCAGATGTTTCTTGTTTAACCAGCAGCAGAACCATGCTGAAATTAATTCGAGTAGATCCCCTACAGACTGGTTTTGAGGTATTACCTCTCATTAGTGCAGGAAAGATCCGACACAAACAGCAAAGTGCCTGAGACTTGATTATTTGTTAACTAATAACGGATCCATCTCGTGAACAAAGACACATCCCATGTACTAATACTCTAACAGGGTTCAAAAGTCCCGACACGGTTTGATGTATGTTACTTTCGGTAACATTAAAAAAGTACATTGTGCTATTGTGCCATTCAAAGCATGAAAGTCTTCATATTATCATAAACTAATTATGGAGCATCTTCAAACACCATGAAATGAAAATGTATAACAGGTACCTTTTATACAGCGTGATGGTCGGTGGTGGGTTAGACGTTTTTGGAAAACGCAACGGAGGATTTTTTTTTAATTTCACATATTATATTTCCTTACCTGTTCTATCGATCTAAAATATTTTCAGCATTGCAGCGTTGCCGCTTCCATCAAAAAGTCATAGCAACTTTATATTTCAGAACACCACGTATATTACCAAATTTTTGCATTCGCTCTTTTATTATAAACTATTTTGTGAATAATGTTCTATACCTATTTCTATCGTTTTCGAAAAATAATTTGTGCTAAATATGGTCCAAAACACAGCCCTAATTGAACTTAAGTACATCAGTACTCTCAATTCATGAAAAGTTAATATTTTGATGATAGTTTGAACAAACTCGCAATATTTAATGAACACCAAGAAATCGACTCCATATCATACAGGGCGTGCTGAAGTTACTTATATTTCCATTATGCATGAAAATGATCAAAAGTTCATTTTTTCAAAGAAACCCCCTGTATATTACTTGATAAATTAGAAGATGATGGAAAGTGCTTCAAAATGATGTATCATGTACCTATACCTAAATCATGCAGTTTTCTTAATAAAATGACTTCTTCTGGAAACATTATTTTTTCAATAATTTGGTTTCAAGTAGCAGCGGAATTATCAAACCTATATTAATTTGGTTACTTTTATAAGTAATTTGCAAATAGTTATCAACGGTGTTTCATAAAATCACTTCTTCTGGAAACATTATTTTTTCAATAATTTGGTTTCAGGTAGCAGTGGAATTATCAAACCTATATTAATTTGGTTACTTTTATAAGTAATTTGCAAATAGTTATCAACGGTGTTTCAAAACATCCTCCAAAATGAATGCGTTCATAAGAACGAAGTTTTTATACACGGACAGTGTGATCAAATCATTGCCAGAACTTACAGAAAATCCAACCAAATGTATCCTGAATCAACACCAATGAACGAGAGGAAGATACAAAATAATTTCCTTAACTATGGCACGAAGTTAAAAGCGCCTTCAACATTACCGAAACTTGTTACTTTGAGGACAATACTGTTAACGTTTTGGCATATCCAGAAGCGTCCATTCGCAGTGCAGAAAAAGATTTGGGTGTATCACATGCTTCAAGTACAACGAATTTTGAAAAATCACAAAATGCATTCGTATAAAACCAAAGTTCAAGCTCTCAAAGCTTGGGAATTCCTTTTAATACATTCACAGAAAGATCGGGAATTTTTGTTAAATTTAGGAGAAATGGCATTTTGAATAGAAGGAATAAATATTTCTGGGCTGATCATAATCCTCATGTGACAAAAGAAATGGGTTTTCAAGAAAAAATGTACCTGAATGTTTTCTGTATTTGAAGAACAATAAAATCAGCTTTTTTATTTATGAAGACCTATTAAATTCAAAGAGATATCTCCAAATATTAATGACGACTCTTACCGATTTCCTCGAAAATTTGCCTTCAAAATAATATAGGAATTCGTAGTTTCAGTTTCCTAGAAACTTTACGAAATGTTTGACGGTCGTTAGTTAAGGCATTCAGGGCCGTGTGATTGGCCACCGAGATCACCAGATCTCAAGCCACTCGACTTTTTCAAGGGGGTGTTTTAAAAGAAAGGGTGTACAGTACTTCAGTGCTTACCAAAAAAGAACTGCGACGGCGAATAATGCGGTGTATTGAAGCAGCTACAAATCGCTTACAAAAGAACATTTTGAAATGTTTAGAATGTATTGGACAACATTTACATCATTTACTGTAAAAATGCGATATTTTGTTTACCATTTTGTTATTTTTAATCATCCTAATTCTGTTATTTTCTGTACTTTCACATGTTAAAGCCCAGAAAATCTTACTCTCTACCTAGAAATGCCTGATTTTTGGTACAGTGACAAAATGGTTTTGACTTTCACGGCTGAGGTTTTCAGTGTCATTGCTTTTCGAGCTTGAAAGCCGTGGATTTTTGGAATTTCTTCCTGACGTTTCGCTGGCGCGAGTGGCTAGCTTCTTCAGAGGTTTAACCATCATGGCTTGCTGTTTGATGACTATCTTTTAGGCTTCGTAAAGCGTATTTATGCCTTGTCAGGTAATCAGTTGTATTTGTACCTGAATTTGTACCTGCACTTGTACCTGTACTCGTACCTGCACTTGAACCTGGAACATTAACAATCTCGCTGCCTGTTGTCCTGTTCGTCATTCTCGAATTCCTTAAAATGGGGTTCCATATTCGATTGAGGTTCACCGCTTCTTCTTTTCTGTTGAAATTCTCCGTGTGTTTGTGGATCTCTATTGCCTCCCGTACCAGTCGGCTATGGTATCCCTGTTCTGTGTTCCCTGTTCCCTGTTCTGTGTTTTCAAACAAAATTATGTGGTCTCCTTCACTAAGTGCGTGTTCTGCCACAGCCGACTTGTCCGTTTGGCCTAGTCTGCAGTTCCTTTTATGCTCTTTTAGTCTTGTTCCCATGGATCGTTTGGTGGTTCCGATATATACCTTTCCACAAGTGCACAGTATGCGATAGACCCCTGCTGCTAATGGGTCTCTTTTGTCTTTAGCCGACCTGAGGCGTTGTTGTATCTTCCTCGTGGGTTTGAAGACTGTTTCAATGTCGTGTTTGCCCAATAGTTTTCCAATTCTGCCCGTGACTTAGGGATAAACAGTAGATATGCGCAGGCAACCATCTGATCCTTTTTCGCTTTTTGAACCGTGGTGCCCTTCGGTTTCATGGCTTTTCTGGTCTCGGAAGCACTGTATCCATTCGATCTCAAGGTCACTTCAAGGTATTTCAGTTCCCTCCTCAGATGTTCTGGTTCACATATTCTCCGAATGTTCGGAGAACATTGGTACGGGAGGCAATAGAGATCCACAAACACACGGAGAATTTCAACAGAAAAGAAGAAGCGGTGAACCTCAATCGAATATGGAACTCCATTTTAAGGAATTCGAGAATAACGAACAGGACAACAGGCAGCGAGATTGTTAATGTTCCAGGTTCAAGTGCTGGTACGAGTACAGGTACAAGTGCAGGTACAAATACAGGTACAAATACAACTGATTACCTGACAAGGCATAAATACGCTTTACGAAGCCTAAAAGGTATTCATCGGACAACAAGCCATGATGGTTAAACCTTTGAAGAAGCTAGCCACTCGCGCCAGCGAAACGTCAGGAAAAAATTCCAAAGATCCACGGCTTTCAAACCCGAAAAGCAATGATTTTGGTACAGTGTTCCCCGGAAACTTTGAGCCATAGTTAATGAAATCATTCTGTAACCTTACAAACTTCCTCACGTTCATTGCTGTTGATTCAAGATACATTTGGTTGAATTTTCTGCAAGTTCTGACAGTGATTTGATCACTTTGTTCGTGTGTAATAAATAATTTCATAAAAACTTCGTTTCAATAATCGATGTTTGCATTCATTTTAAAAGATGTTCTGAAACACCGTCGATAATTATTTGTAAATTACTTATAAAAGTAACCAAACTGTTATAAACTCGATATTTCCACTGTTACCTAAAACTAAATTCTTAAAATAATATGTTTTCAGAAGAAGTGACTCTATTAAGAAAACTTAATGATTTAGGTATAGGGACATGATACATCATCTTCAAGCATTTTTCATCATCTTTCAATTTATCGAGTGATATACAGGGACTTTCATTTGAAAAAAATTACTTTTGACCACTTTTATGCATAATGGAAATAATAGTAATTTAAGCACGCCCTGTATGATATGAAGTCGATTACTTGGTGTTAATGGAATATTGCGAGTTTGTCCAAACTATCTTCAAAATATCAAATTTTCGTGAATTGAGAGAACTGATGTACTCAAGTTTATTTACGGCTATGTTTTGGACCTTATTTAGCACAAATAATTTTTTATCTCGAGAACCGATAGAGATAGGTATAGGATAGTATTCACAAAAAAGTATCATAATAAAAGAGCGATTCCAAAAATGTTCTATTTGAAAAATAAAGTTGCTAGGACTTTTCGATAAAAGTGGCGGAGACGCAATGCTGAAAATATTTTGAATCGATCGAACAGGTAAGGAAATGTAAGATGTGGAATTTTCAGAAAAATACTGCGTTACGTTTACCACAAACGTCTAACCTACCATCGACCGTGAGTCACGCTGTATAGATTGCGGTTATCCCAAAATTTCATCCAAACAACAATATCGTCCGTCACACAAATTCAAAAAAAAATATTGATATTAGATAAATCGACTGTTCCCAACTTTTCGAATTTAACTTCGGTTATTACTCGGAAAATTAATTAAAAAATCCCATTTTATTATGAGATCGCGATAGGGATGCTTCTATTCGAAGTCAATTTTGTGTAATGTAATTTTTATAGCCAGCCATACCTATAAATTTTATAGCAATCTACACGAGGAAATTGGCGTGCCCCGACAAGGCCTTATAAATATTGGGTCCATTGGATCCTCTCTAATCATCTTGAGGGTACTTCAATTTCGCAGCTACGTTGAATTACTTTTCTTGAGCTTCGAGTCTGATTGAGTTTCTATTGGCTACTATTTGAATGTTGGAAAACATTGAGAACATCGACACGTCAGATACTGTATAGTGGAAACATGTCTCATAAGAGGCTACCAGAGAATTGAAAAGATGAGAAAAACTGATTAATACAGTTCATTGTATGATTTCCACAATGAGAGGTTTTACAAAAACCGCAACACGTGTTTCGCTATATAATAGCTTATCAAGCGTAAACAGTTATAATTTGAAAGAGCTATTGTATAGCGAAACACGTGTCGCGGTTCAATATTGATTTTCATCAAGTATAGACCAGTTCTATTCAATTATTGAAGTTTCATCTACATTTCAGTTTTTTCCTGAATTCGACATTTCAAATTTTATTGTTGATTTCATTGAAGTTTTTTTGAAAACATCTGTTAAAACTTGATTTTCTTGTTAACCAGCTGTCGCCCCCAACGAACGACGACTGTCAAAAAGAGAAATTTGTGCGATATAAAGATCAACGAAGTCTTACTTTCAAACGTGCGATTACTAGCACATTCTGAATGTCATCGTCAAATATTCTATGAAAATATATTTTTGTGAAGTAAAATAATTTTCTTTGTGCAAACTACTTCGAATGTACGCAGTAACTTATCTGGGTGAAGTAAACTGTTTGCTCTTTCATAAGGTCAATTGATTCCTAATTCCATTCAAGATTTGGGTATTTTGTTTCATTTTCATTGACTTTTTCTGTATTTATGATATTACAAATTAACTTCAAGGATTCCAGAAAAGTTTGAAATTCTTATAAATATGTTGATTTCTAATTTTTCTTGGTAAAACGTAATAAACAGAAAAGGAGTTTATAGTTCTAACAATAAAAGTAAATATTGTTAAGTTATTTTCTCCCCATAATTTTCATAAAACTTTTACTATGTTTCATGTGAATTTTCAGCTTATCGGAATACAAAAAAAAATTCCTGAATGTGAAATGAACTTACCAATATTCATTTTTGTGGAAATCACTGGTAGTTTTCAAGAATCGAAAACTCCCTGATAGTTCAAAATATATTATATAGAGGGTATTTCAAATTCGATGGTCTATTAGACGTATCTAGAGAACGAAAAAAGATGAGAGTTTCCAATTTTGGGGTTAGCAATGTAGATGACAGTGATCTATCGTTTGAAAATATTTTCATCACCACATTGTTGCCACATCTACATGTAACAGACATCAACTTGGAAATTTCAAATTGAACACCCTATATATTATATCATTTTTGAATTCTGCATCAAAATCCAAATTACTTTTATGAACCATGTTCTATACCTATCTCTCACCGTTTTCAAAATATTAATTATTTTGTAACTTTTTTTTGGCGAAAAAAAGTTACAGAGTGTCTGAAAAAATAAGTCTCAATTTATATCTTTGATAAAAGACCATAACTATTTTTTTTCTAATGGAACACCTTGTATGTTTTTCAATTTTATAATTCAGCCAACCAATGTGAACAACTTTGATCAACTATGTCCTATACCTATCTTTGACCATTTATGAGATATGAATTCTTCTATAATTTTTTTGCTTCTATACAAATATAACATTTCAAATACAAAATTTGGTGAAAAATGTATTGTTGAACACATCGAATAATGAATAATAACTTTATATTAGTTCAGGAAGATTAAATGCAATACATGAATGAAATTAAATTGATAACAAAAATAATTTTACAATAAAAAACAAGAAATTATATTGTGAAACTAGCTTCGCAATTATTTGACAATTGATACTGACATGACAAAAATTCAATAGCTCAGGTGTTTGAAATGCTGACCATTCACTTGTAAACATTGATGGATGGATGTTATTACGTGATCAGTCGTGGCTCTGCGGATTTCCGACGGGTCAATTTCTTCGAAAGCACATTTAACCCGATCTTTCAGTTCCTGTTTTATATTGATACGTGTTCTATATACCTGTTTTTTTATTTTTCCCCAGAGGAAAAAATCTAGGGGGTCAGAACCGGTGATCGAGGCGGTCAAATGCAAGGACCCAAACGTCGTATCCACCGATCGTCGAACATATCGGTTGGTTCCCTACTCACTTCACGTGCGCAATGTCCAGGAGCTCCATCCAACTGATACTAACAATTCCGAGACAATTTCAGGGGAAACTTGTCCAGAAAATATTTTTCGGAATTCAACTTTTCTTCATAAATGCAAATAGAAACTTCATCATCCATGAGCATACAAAAAACATTGAAACTCATTTTTTGGAATCCACTTGTCTAATGAAATGGGGATTTTCTGAAGCCCACAAGTGATTATTTCGACGATTGAATATTCCCTCACGTGAAAATTGTGATTCATCAGTCCATATAATTTTTTCAAAAAGTTTGGATCTTCGAGTGAATTTCCGAAGGCCCAAGACTTACGTCATTTTTGCAAAGCTGAAGTTTTAAGAATGTGTGTATTATGCACTTGATTTTTAATTTTATTGGAAATTTCATGCTTGCATAGGCGTAATTTTTTCAAAATAGTTCATATCTCATAGTTGACAAACTTGTTCAAAGTTTTTCACATTGGTTGGCTGAATTATAAAATTGTATAATATATAGGGTATTTCATTTGAAAAAAATTAGTTATGGTCATTTATCAAAGGTACAAATTGAGACGTACTTTTCAGACACTCTGTATGAAATAAGATTCTAGTTTCGTTCTAAAATAACAACTACCATATCTAACCTCAATGTTGCTAGAATTTTGGTTTGGTGTATCAGTTAATTCATGCGATATTAAATATTAAAAATACCATGTTGTCGCCAAAAAAAATTACAAAATAATCAATATTTTGAAAACGGTGAGAGATAGGTATAGAACAAGGTTGACAAAAGTATTTTGAATTTTGATGTAGAATTCAAAAATGATATAATTTATAGGGTATTCCATTTAAAATTTTCAAGTTGATGTCTGTTACATGTAGATGTGGCAACAATGCGGCGATGAAAATATTTTCAAACGATAGATTACTGCCATCTACATCGGTAACCAAAATTTGAAACTCTCATCTTTTTTTGTTCTCTAGATACGTCTAATAGACCATCGAATATGGAATACCCTGTATACCGTAAAAAGTATTTCCAATTATCAACAACTGAAATTTCATAAAAATCCTAAAAATATACTTTTTAATGAATATATCTTGAAAAAATATTATGCAACATTTTCCCAGTTGATCAGAGGTAGTGAGTACAGTGGATTATGGAGAAAAAAAGTATTTATTGTTTCTGAAATGTCTGCAAAATATTCATATGAATTTGTGGCACTGTATTATATTATTCGATGTACACTATACATAATATACCTCATTATATGATGAAGTATGATTTCTCAATTTGAAATGAAAACCCAAATGACGAGTTATTTTCTGTAACAATACTTTTTTCCACTTCAAACATAAAAAAATAACATTTAATCTAAAAATGTCTGAAGTATATCATATTTTTTCTGCTTCATTACAAAGTTTCATGGCGATCTGTAGAAATTTTGCTATGTTCCGAAGTAGCCATCAAACTCAGCAGAGCTCTATAAAATTCTTCTAATCTATTGGTTTTTTAGGTTATTTGGTACGACGGGATATTGTGCTGCCTGCAACAAAGTTATACCTGCTTTTGAAATGGTAATGCGGGCAAAAAACAATGTCTACCACTTGGAATGTTTTGCATGTCAGCAATGCAATCACAGGTGAGTAAACTATATGGCTTCCTACGAAACCACTGAACTTCAAACATGACAAGTTGACCAAATATTGTTTGGTATTTTTTCCACTTACGTGTTGAAAATGTTTGCTCTCAACATGTTTTTGAATTCGCGTTGAAGAAGTTTTTCCGAATTCTCCTTGAATTTGAATATTCTCCAGGAATTGCCGATTTCAAATAAGTTGAAATCATCATCATCACCTCCCCTTTATTTAAATATCATAACTTTCCGTTTGTTCATAACAAGATCATCTTCGTAAAATAGGGTTTGTTTAGACAACTGAAAAACTGTTTCACTGTATAAATATAATAGTTAATCTCGAATAAAAGTATGAAAGTTCAGAAATATAAGACGAATGATGGAAAGTATCTCTGAATGAGAGATAGTCAGCTATGAAGTTGCATAAATCTTTATTGTGGCACCCTAAAACTTGTCTCGAAACCGACTTATCATGGGGTGTCCGCGATTACAGATATTCCAAGGTGAAAAATCAAATACTCGATTTTTTACATATTAACTGCAAGTATCTCGTTTCCTATGGGTTTTATGATATTTCAATTTTTTTTTAATTTTTTTAATATCTTTGCGAAGAATAAAAACTCAAAGTCGTCTCCACAATTTAATATCACCATCCGATATTAGAACGGTAAAAACCATCAATCAGTACATGTTTCGAACCTATATAGGTTCATCATCAGCTAATTATTTAAAATTCTTCAATGAAAGAAGAACAACATAACAATAGTTGATACAATGAAGTATGAAATACTTACATGAAGAAGAAAATATTTTATGGAGAAAATAAAAATTGTCTGAAGTTCTCCATATAATATTTTCTTCTCCATATAAGTATTTTTTACTTCATTGTATCAACTATTGTTATGTTGTTCTTTTATTGTAGAATTTCAAATAATAAGCTGATGATGAACCTATATAGGTTCGAAACTTGTACTGATTGATGGTTTTACCGTTCTAATATCTGATGGTGATATTAAATTGTGGAGAAGACACTGAGTTTTTTTTTCGCGAATCTACTGCACTCCACTTTGAGATATAATGGACTTCTACCAGAGATTAATTTTTTTTATGTCTTGACATAAATGAAGGCAGAGCGCGCAGTGTTCAACTGTTTAGAGAATCATTCCAGGTCAACCTATATTCCCGATTAAAAAAAACGCCGTATAAAGTTTATAAATTATTGATAAATATATAATCCTGAATAATTATGGTTCAGAAATGGTTGTATTCCATAGATATTTAGACTGCTGTCCTTTCAAAAACATACAAAGTTTGTTTCGGCGAAACTTGTATCTATTACCCAAGAAAAATTCTAACAAATCGAAATACTTGAGAAATTACAAGCTGTTAATATCACAACTGAACAGACAAGAGATGATACGGATATTCTTATTGGTGAAACAGCTATTAACGAATATAAATGTCAAAAAACTGTTGTTACAATAGAAAATAATGGATTCACTTCTTGTCATTTTAATTGGGCGTACCCTATCACATCATCAAGAAATTTTTTTCAAAAAAGTTGGCAAAGGAAATGTGAAACCTGAGATACACTCTTCCAAAAGTTTTGATAGATATCCTCGTTCTAAAAACACTTATTGTTTCTTCACGCAAGAAGTGGCTGGGACATGACATCTGCGCTCTTCAGAAAAGGAAAATAAACTTTTGTGAAAACCCTCGAGAAACTTTCGAATTCAGATCAAATTGCTGCAGTATTAGAAGAAAGGAACTGCCCGGTTCAATGGGATAATGGAGTGCGAACCTCGTTGGCAATCTATAATGCTTCAAAATATGAGGATTGTGTCGGTCGTCTTCGCTATGCACAGTTCATCAATTTAACGAAACTGAATAAACCTGTGCAGTTATCAAATCTTCTCTTAAGCAGTGCAGCAGCTCACCAACATTTCAACGGTGTTTGTTATCAAGTTCAGACTTAGCTGGGGCATGAGTTAGAACCACAGAATTGAGGTTGGATAATGCGTGATGAATTCCTGGAACCTGTTATGACAATTAAACTACCAGCTCCGGAGGAATGTCTAACACAATATTCTGCAACTGCAAGAATGTTTGTTGTTCGCGATGTGGATGCAGGAAAGCAGGGTTGCAGTGCTCTTTAGCTTATGGCCAGTGTGACGGGCAAGCTTGTCTTAATGGTTCACCTCAGAGTGATATCAATGAAGACGGTACTTTTGACTTCGAAATTCTGGATGAATTGAAGACGAATGTCGTTAAAGACGAGGACATAAAGGAATTTCGAAATTCTTAGCGAGTGGAGGACGATGAAGAAGAAGAAGAAGAAAATTGAAATTAGTATTTTTAGTTCTTATTATTATTCAATTTTTTTAATTTCAACGGTCATAAATGTGTGAAATGACATTTTTCAATAAAAACATTGATCACCGGTACACCGATAAGTGACATCTTCTGGAGGCAACTGAAGTCGAGCATTCATCGCAACGGGGACCACTACATTACTGAGAATATCCAGCCTTTCCTCACCCTGCAACTCAATATTGAGAAAGTGAAGACTGTCAGAGAATCGCTTAAGGTACTCGTCTCCAAGAACAGTTTAGAGGGGCTGACTTCGTCAAAAGCAAACGAAAAAGTCGGAGCGTGGGAGCAAATTATGCTCTGCAAACTTCCCGTTATTCTCATTTTGCATCTGAAATTTTTCGAATACAGCCACGACCGTTTCACGAAGATTATCAAGTCTTCCGATTTTGAATTCGACTTGAAGATTGATTCGACTTTGGTATCGTCGGTAACACAGTCTCCAATAGAGGAGCAATAGAAGCTATTCGCCGTCGTTTACCACGAAGGCAAAATTGCCAACATTGGACAGTACGTGACCGATGCCTTCCAAGTCGGCTACAACTGCTGGATAAGGTACGACGATTCCTCGGTCAAGACCGTGCAGGAAGAATACGAACTGAAACTGCAACTGAGGCAGTCATCTTCAGTGGCGTGATCGCGAAGTACTTTTTTTGACATTTCAACTGAAACAGTTGACTATTTCAGTTTACTGTTTCAGTTGACATGTCAAGAAGAGTACTTTGGTCACGCCACTGAAGATGAGTGTCGCAGTTGCAGTCGAAACGTTTGGAGATCATAACAGAAGAAGACCACGGCAAAATGAGAAACCTTCCAAAACAAATTATTTAGAATTACGTATTTATCAATAATTCATAAACATTACAGGTCGTCTTTTCAATCGGGACTACAGGTTCACAGCGCGCGCTGCCCTCTATCTCGAAAATGGTTCAAAATATAAAAAAATGTTCCTACAAAAGTTATAGGTAGAGAATTTAATCCTGTACAATATTTATGATGGATACAAATATCATAAAAGTCATAGGAAACGGGACATTTGCAGTAAATATGAAAAAAAATCGATTTTTCGACCTTTGACCTTGGAATATCTGTTGTCGCGGATATCCTACGATGAATAAGTTTTTGTGGAAAGTTTTAGGGTGTCAAAATAAAGGTTTATACAAGTTGATAGCTAACTATCTCTCATTTCGAGGTGACACCCCTAATATTCCTGGTGTATACATGAAATATGTTATACGTTTCATAAATTAAAGTATCTAACATTTTTTCATTACTTATGTTATCTTACTTGAAAAATAATTTTTGTCCACATTTTTCATTTCCGCAGAAGAATAAATTTTTTAATTTTTGCAGGTTTTGCGTTGGTGATCGATTCTACCTGTGCGAAAATAAAATTCTATGTGAATATGACTATGAAGAGCGGTTAGTGTTTGCCAATATGGCCTACAACCCAAGCAGCTTAGCCCATATCAGAAGGCAAGTCAGTAACTTACAGGTATGAAATCATACTCAGTGACAATTCAAAGTTGAAAAATATATTTTGAACTCCTTCGTTATTTTCCGATGGGAACATAATAATTCCTTTTTTGATTCTAAAAACTGTGTAACTAGTAAAGCCCAAATCATGTAGGTTATTTAAATTATCAACTTCATTCAGATTTCACTTCAGCTTCGATAAAATATTGGGAAAGAAAAGTAGACACGTGAGAAAAGAATTCAGGAAAGGTTTTTTCAGATGCAATTTTCAGCCCGTTTCATAAAGTATTTTTGATATTTTCTTCCAGTTTGTTTATTAATCGTACCCACTTCAACGAAGTCTCAACGCAACTTTCGTGAAACTGCTTAATATTGTTTCATCCCAGACACATCCCTTTAATGCAATTCAATTATCACACTGCTGAAATTTTTATATTTGTCGATTTCAATGTCAACAATATCAATTGTCCTAAGTTTTCAAATTCAATCGAAACAGAAATTGATGTCAAAGTCAAATTTGAAATGAAACTACCATTAAAAAATGGTCACATCCGATACATTAGGAGGATTAGAAGTATATGTTGGTGAATGATACAATCATATCCTGCAGACGATATTTGAAAGCATCTATTTCGAATAGTAATCTGGCTCACTTTTTCAAAGAAATTACAAGTTAACTGCAGCTGCTAAAAATACCAGTATTAACTTTTATGTCGACTTTTGTGTCACCGTAACCAAAATCAGTACTAAAACAAATTTCGTCAACGTTTTTCACCCAGGCTACGAACTTCTTTCTTCATTTGTGCCTAACTTTGGAATTTCACTATTCATTGGAAGTTATCTCTCTTGCCAGTGAAACATTGAAACTTCAAAACTTTGAAGACATATAGTTGAAGATGATATCACTTCAAACCAATAGATTGGTAGGGTGTGTCTATCGACCTCCAAGCGACACACACAAGGCACTAGCAAATACTATCGATTCTTTAATGCAATTCAATTATCACACTGCTGAAATTTTTATATTTGTCGATTTCAATGTCAACAATATCAATTGTCCTAAGTTTTCAAATATTAGTGATGAAGCAGGTTGTAAAGCCGAGACATATAATGAATTTCATTAGTTGTGACTTTCATTGTCTAAATATGATTCTACTATGATTCGAAATGTATGAAAGAACAAATAAAATCAAAATGAATGGCTAAAATATCAATTATATCCAGCAATAAAAAATTTTCAAGATAGAAATGAAAATGACTGTAATACAGAGTAAGGTCCCCAGAAGGAACTAGTGATGAGGAAACAGACTTTGGCTAGAGAACCTGCTTCAGATTCGGAAACACTATCCGTAACAGCCTCAAGAAAACCAGGCCACCAAACGCGGACTGCGGAAAATCCTATATCGGCGAAACTAAGAGGTCCTTGGTTTAGGAGAAAATTTAAAGAAACAACCGTATATATGTCCAACAACGCATTCAGCCAAGCTAGCGTGTGGGTAAGTGAGTGAAGTGGGGATAGTTGCAAGCGCTCGAATGACCTATAAATTGTCATCTCTCGAAGGAATAGTCCAGTCCTGGACGCGTCCAGGAGGGGATTAGCTTCGCAAAAACTGCATCCAAGGGTGCAAGCTGTTCAACAAAGCCCACCTTCCCTCGACCTGAACCCTCACCTCAGTCTCAGGGGGTTTCAGACATCTGTGCCGCACTGGACCAGATGAAAAAGCTGTTCGTCAAATTCTCCGTGCTACAGAAAATGTTCACGGTGAATACTGATGTGATAACCGGAACTGCCAATGTCTAGACAAGCAAACTAGACTTTGAAAATTTCATAACTGAACAGACTGTGGCTCTAGTTCAAGAGGCACATCTGAGGAACGAATCTATTGTCATTCCAAACTACATATTCTTTCACAGAGAACTTGTTGGACGTGCTGGAGGAGGAGTTGGCATTTTTGTCAAGCGATCCCTTGAGTGTGTCCAATACGGCATTGACAGTGCTCGATAACACGGTTCTGAGGCCGTGGGGGTCGAAATGCAATTGAGTAGGGGTTGTCACAGAATAATCTCGGTTTACAACCCTCCAAACACTCATTCACTTCCAGAATCTCTGAATGGACTGCTGATGGGAAGCAACATTCCGACAATTGCTGCTGGCGATTTCAATGCCAAGCACCGACCTTGGAGCAGAGCCACAAATCGAAACGACCAAGCGCTCCACGCGCATGTTGACAGACATGAATATCTAGTGCTGGGACCAGATGAGCCTACGTACTATCGCGGGCAGACTAGGTCTGATGTACTAGACATCGCGCTTCTCAGAAACGTCACTCTGACTAGCGAAATTTACGTTCTGTCGGAACTGGATTCCGATCATAATCCAGTAATCCTGGTATTGGGCGATGATCTTCCTTCCCATGATTATCGCATTAGATCCAAGACGGACTGGGATGTCTTCACAGCCCAGCTCGAGGAAATGTGCGCCTCTCCTGGGGTACTCGACTCTCCCGACGAACTCGACGCGGCAGTTGAACGTTTCGAGCTTTCTGTGAATGATGTGTTTCGAGCGATTTCACCTCCAGGGAGGAGTGTCCGCTGAAGAGCTATAACGAGTTTTCCCCCTCGTATCAAAGAGAGAGAGAAATCGCTTGAGAAGTCTCTATCAACGAAACCTTTTCCCAGGGGACAAAACAGCGGCAAACAGGATGGCCAATCAAGTCAAGTAGGCCATCATTGATCATCGAAACGAAAGGTGGGAAGATCTTTTGGAATCCTTCGAACCTAGGAGTGACGAGCTTTGGCGAGTCACTCGCAGGCTCAAGGAGATGAAGACTGCTCTCTCACCCCTTCACGGAGAGCGCGGAGTGTGCTACTCCCCCGCCGACAAGGCGTTAGCCTTTGCAGACACGATGGAACGTCAGTCTCAACTTAACGTTGACGACAATGGAGACATCGACCGCGATATGCTGTTGGAAGACCGGGTTCACCGATTCCTCAGGGAAGATGACGACGACGACATCCGTCCAGCTTCTGTGGAAGAGCTGAAGGGTTACATCAAGGCCGCAAAGGCCAAGAAAGATCCGGGAGTCGATTCAATAACCAACAAGTTGTTGAAGAGGCTTCCGGAAAACTGCGTCGAATTCCTTTTGAATATAATCAACAGTTCGTTGGCCCTCAGACACTTCCCCAGAAGGTGGAAACATGCGATCGTCGTCATGATCCCAAAACAGGGTCAGAATGTGCTGTTCCCACAGAATCGCCCGATCAGTCTACTCTCGTCGGCGGCTGAGCTGGCTGAAAGAGTTGTTCTCCAAAGGCACAACGAAGAAGTTGAGGACCGAAATGTTCTGCCTGATGAACAATTTGACTTCAGGAGAGAACACTCCACTGAGTTACGGACTCTAATGCTGGTCGAAAACACCATCCGCGAGCTTAACGCAAACAAAAAGTACATATTGTGCTATTAGATATCTCGAAGGCCTTCGACCGTGTCTGGCATGAAGGCCTTCTACACAAATTGAACGCGCTCGACCTGCCTCGAGGCCTCATCCGGTGGATTGGGTCTTTCCTGAAAGAAGGACATTTCAGGTTAGAGTAGAGGGCTCTCTGTCTGACAACAGAGAGATCCTCGCTGTACCGGGGGCCGTGCTCTCTCCGATGCTGTACTCCCTTTACACCAGGACCTTCCAAGGCCCGAGCGTGTGAAGATATCCCTGTACGCCGACGACACGGCTCTCCTCTCATCTTCCATGGGTCGAGAGCTCAGCGTCGTCTACATGCGACGTGCATTGGACGACCTCGGGCGCTGGTACCTTGATTGGAAGATCCGAGTGACCCCAGACAAGACTCAGGCTATTCATGGCAAGATTAAAATCTTCTCCGGCCAGAAAAGTGAAAATCTCTGGAAGGGAGATTGAATGGCAAGCGCGGGTAAAGTACCTCGGCCTTCTAATAGACCGTAGGCTCACTTGGAACCCGCGCATCATGAACGTCAAGTCAAAGATCGTGGGTCGGATAGCCAGACTGTACCCTCTGATCAACAGAAAGTCCAAAATGAGCTTGAAAAATAAAATGACCATCTACAATACGATGTTGAAGTATGTCATCATGTATGCTTCAGGCGTCTGGGGACAAGCGGCAAAATACAATATCACCATTCTGGAGGTATTGCAAAACAAATTAATGAGAATGATTGTGAATGTTCCTTGGTTCGTGCGGAATGAAGGCATCCGCAGAGATTTGCAGCTGCCTTACATTCGGCAGTCCATTCAGTCAAGGAATCGGCGAGTTTTTGAAGGTGCGGAAACTCACGAAAATCCGTTAGTTAGGGAAGCTATAGATTATACTGTAGACGACCCCTCTCGATATAGAAGGCCCCGACACTCTGTCGAATGAGGCCCTCATGTCCCCCGTTAACGGACGAATAACTTTTTCATCCATCCCACCCCAGCCAGGTAGGGGTATCCCGTGAAGGACGGTACTGATGTCTGACGACTTCATTCCCTCAGTCATCAACCCATTTGTCCTTCTTCGAAAATATTCAGCCAAAAGGGTGAGGGAGCTGGACTCCATCCTGATTGAAATCAAGACGACCAACAAGGAATAGTCCAGTCTACGCCGATGACACGGCTCTCCTCTCATCTTCCATGGGTCGGAAGCTCGGGATCGTCTATATGCAACGTGCATTGGACGACCTCGAGCGCTGGTACCTCGAGTGGAAGATCCGAGTGAACCCGGAAAAGACTCAGGTAATAATCATGGAAAGAACAATATCTTCCCCGGCCAGAAAACTGAGGGTCTCTGGAAGGGAGATCGACTGGCGCAGGTAAAGTACCTCGGTCTTCTAATAGACCGTAGGCTCACCTGGAACCCGCACATCACAACCGTGAAGGCAAATATCGAGGGTAGGATCAAAAGTCTGTACCCTCTGATCAATAGACGATCCAAACTGAGCCTAAAGAACAAAATTACGATTTATAAAACGATGTTCAAGCCTATCATCATATATGCTTCAGGCGTCTGGGGACAAGCGGCTCCGTCTAACATCTCCATTCTGGAGAGATTACAAAATAAGCTAATGCGGATGGTTGTGAATGTTTCGTGGTTCGTGCGGAATGAAGCGATCTGCAGAGATTTGCAGCCTGCCTTCCATTAGGCAGTTCATTCAGTCGAGTAAACGGCAAGTTTTTGATTGTGCAGAAACTCACGAAAACCCGTTAGGTAGGGGAGCTATTGATTATACTGCAGACGACCCCTCCCGATATAGAAGGCCCCGGCACTCTGTCGAATGTGGTCCTCATGTCCCCCGTTAATGGACGAACAATTTTTCATCCAACCCACTCCAGCCAGGTAGGGGTACACCGTGAAAAGTGGTACTGATGTCTGAGTACTTTCATACCGCCACAACCCCTCAGTCATGATCCTTATTGTCCATCTGACAAAAATCAGCCGCAAGGGTAAGGGAGCTAGGCTCCAACCTGTCTAAACTGAAGATGGTTGTTGATGAATAGTCCAGTCATCACTCAAAGACGATTGTGGATACTAACAATCGAAACTTCGTGAAGTAACTTGATTTGAAATCTGTTTTCGAATAATTTTGATTTTTTTGCTTATTTTCATATTTTCATCCTTTTTTTATATCCTTTTACTCTGTAGTCATTTTCATTTTATTGCTCACTTTAATTGATATTTCAGCTATTCATTCTAACTTTATTTGTTCTTTCACAGATTTCTAATTATGGTGGAATGATATGAGACAATGAAAGTTCGAACTAATGAAATTCACCATGAAACATTATCAACCGCTTTCAAACATAATATATAATGTTATCGTGGAACCACTAAGCTTAGAATCTTATTCTGATGAACATGGTCATTCGAGGCCAGTAGCGTTCATGTCAGACCTATAGGATGCATATCTAATATACACCGTATTCTCTAATCACACTAAGAACTTCGGAGTGTGATTCATAACGTCGTTTAAATAAAATGTTTCGGGAAATGTCCGAATTTGCTTCGTTTCTGAGATACACTATGATCTCCTACCACCTAGTAACGGCTACATCCATCAAGATATGAATATCCTTGAACATATTTGGTTCAAATTTGGTGTAATTATTTGAATTCATACTTGACTGAAATTATTGAGTCCAGTGGCTTCTCAGTGGGCATCCAAATATATTCAGTACGCCACTGTCTTGTTTCTTATAGTCTTTCAGATTAAACAACTAAAACAACTTTTTGATATCTTGTGATTTTTTCATATGCAACTTCGTTTCCAACAAAATAGTCATTTCAAAAACAATCCATGGACTACAGAAAATAAAAACCGTTGACCTTGAAGTCAATAAGCAAAATGTCCTGATGAAATACACGACTGCAATATCGATCTGTCACTGATTGTTTGATACCTGGAGTAATAATTATGACATTGCAATTGTCAATTATTCGATTCATCATGTCATCATGGATCCAGAGAATCCATATCAGGACTACTAGCTACTAGCATATCAGCCATTTCAGCGCTGGTAATTAATGATGGGATCACTGCTAATTGACAACTCTGAATTCCACTGATACCAACTGGTATCCAAAGCAGGTAAGTCGTTACTTGAACGAACTCGGCAATAGTTTGTTACAAAAAGCAGAGGTATGTCCAATTTTTAAAAAGTAAACATATTGGAACCAGTGGCGTTACATATTTAAATTTAGTCGCCTTCCAAACCGACCCTGAATTATTTAAGTCAAATTTAATCACTAGATCGAAATAAAAGGATTTAGAAAATCAATACCAAGTTCGAGACAAATGGAAGAGATATTTTTTCGATAGGTATCAATAAGAAATCAATATTTCTACAGGTTCATAAAAAAGGTTCAAATTTCTATTGAATAGCTTTAAGGATATTTATGATATTTTCTAAATATCGCTTCACTTATAAAATAAATTTCAAAATACTTTTCATAAAGCTTCGAGGCGAAAAAAATGGTTCTCTGGAAAATATATGTATGTTCTTAATTAATTATTGATAAAGCCTGTACTATTGAAGTTACAAACCAATTGTCTTGCACACTTTTCCCAGGAAAATGAAAATAGTGTTATAAACGATTTTATGAACGAAATGAGAAATGAAAATTTCTATTTTTTTTACCACTTTTATTTGTAACTAACGTTACTGCAGTTCCGTCCTATATGGACATTCTCAAACTTATACAATAAACTAACAATGATTTATTACATTCGCCAATATATACCATTCAGGTACTTGATTGAATACCTGAATTTACAGCTCACAATGCGGATGTGCCAATTTAAAAACCGGAGAGTAAATTAAATCGATTTGATCATTTAACAGGTTGCACCCGCAATGTTTATGCTTGTGAATTTCCAAGGATTCTAAATAATTGAGTTTGCAACCCTTCCTTGCATTGAGCAGAATTTCCGTATCGTTTATATTCGGAAACTTGTGGTTGCATGCTAAGAAATGGTTTGAAAACGTCGAATCATTTTTTCCTAACCTGAAGGACCTTTCATGTTCAGCATACCGTTTTTGGAATGTCCATATAGGACGAAACTGCAGTATCGTTAGTTACAAATGAAAGTGGTAAAAAACATAGAAATTTTCATTTCTCTTTTCATTATGATCTCCTACCACGTAGTAACGGCTACATCCATCGATTTTATGAACGATTTGAAAAATCGGAAAATTGCCGAATAAACAGCTTTTACATCTTTCGAATTGTCTCTGTTAATACCTGGGAAATATAAAACTCTATAACTGTGTGAAATTTTGAATAGATATCTTGACTCGTTTTTGAGAAATTGAAAAAAAAATTATATAAAAGACGGGCAGTCAGACAGATAGACAAATGCACAGGCGGATAAACAGACGAACAGGTAGAAAGATGACATAAGTCTCTCAAAATAATTTTTTCAAGAAATCTGTTAGAATCACAGTTATGAATATGTGCAGTTCCTAAAATTATATTTAATATTTCACGATTGAATTAAAAAATGTTAGTTATTTTTTTATCGTGCTGAAACAATATTGTATCGCCTCCAAATATTGTGAAATGGTCTACTAGGTCATATTCGGATAAATACCACTATAGAAATGGAAAAAATGCCAATTCATCTTCTAGCTGTTTATTCAGAAATCACAATTATTTATGTAACAATATATTGAAATCGAAATACTCCAGAATTATATTTCACTTGGCATCCTAACTTGTATATCGACTGACACAGTCAAATTCTGCGCCAAGATAAGACGTTGAAACCTATCAGAATCTTCGGATTGGTGAGATATCCTTTCAGAACGTGACCGATTCCGCCTATTTTGTGGAGCGGTTCGACTGGGTAGTACTGAAAAAAGTTATCATTATCATGTATTTCTCGAAGTTGGCGCATCAAAATTTTCAAAAATAATTAAACGTGTGGAATATTTCTGCCATAACCGGCATGACATTACAATAAAATATTGGAATTGAAGGGGTTATATTTTTAGGAGTGATTAATTTTTGGGAAAGAAAGTTTTTGGCTTTCCACTACTCCATCTTGATACAAAAAAAGTGATGAGGGAATCTTCCAAAGAAAGGAATAAAGTAATCAATTTGAAAATAAGTAACTCTATAAATGGATGTGTAGATCATGCAAAGAAGTGACTTTCAGACACAAACTGAAAGAAAGTCCTCCTGAAACAGCTACTTTCATATGAACATTGAACTACACGAAAGAAAAAAAATATTTCGAAACAAATACTTCTATATGAACACTGAATTATACAGAAGATACTTTTCTCTACTCAGTTTGTATTTCAAACATTCGTTGTGGAATAAAAATCAGATATCATTCACATGAGTTATAATTTGAGTGAATGGTAATAAATTGCACTTACATGGAACACTGTCACCCTCACTGGTATACACCGATGTTTCGCCTTAAGACACTTGCCCCTAGGCTCTTCAGTACCAAATTGGATAACATTATAGAAAATACACACAACTCATTCATGAATTACAATTTTTTATTGTCACGTGTAATTCAATGTTTATATGAAAGTAGCTGTTTCAGGAGGACTTTCTTTCAGTTTGTGTCTGAAAGTTACTTCTTTGCATGATCTACACATCCATGTATAGAGTTACTTATTTTCAAAATGATAACTTTCTTCCTTTCTTTAGAAGATTCTCTCATCTCTTTTTTTGTATCAAGATGGAGTAGTAGAAAGCCAAAAACTTTCTTTCCCAATAAAATATTATAGTAGAAAAAATTTGCGAATGGGGTGGGTGTATGTGGAAGTCTTGTCAACTAACGAAAGGATCTTCATGGAGAAAAATGTATACCTTTGGATTGAAAACAGTGTTTCTTTTTTTAAGGACAAAACACAAGCACTCATGCGCCCAGGCGCTCTAAGATCGGTGCCTGTGGGAAAGTAATGATTCACATTGGATTTGAATCGCTGGAGATTGAATCCATTTGGAAAAACGTATGATCACCTGTTTTTACACAAGATGTAATTGGAGCAAATGATGGATGAGATCTGAAAAGAAGGCCCAAGAATGTTGCTGAAAAAATTATAAAACCAGTAAAACGCAAGAGAAATTCAAGGAGTTTGGGAGAAAATCCATTAGCAGAGAACATTTTTGCCGAACATTCCAAAATATTTCAGGTTGTTCTGGTACGCTATGGAAAGCTGTGGGATGCTCTCGAATGTTTTGGAATGTTCTAGAACTTTCTATAGGCGATATGGCGAAAGTCTCAACCCTTATATTTTCAAGAGCTCGCCATTCAGATAGATAGGGGAACCTTTTGACAGAAAAAAGTAGACGAAACCCAGTCGGGTATTAGATGAAATAAAATCACATAAAATAAATATTGATGAGAATAATTCTTTGGTATTTTTTATATCACTCTTGTCATTACCGACATTCAATAATGTCGGATATGCTCAAAAAACATTTTTTTTCCATTATTTGTTATTATAATCATCAGATAGGTAACATTTCCTTATCAGTATTTATTCTAACTGTATCCTTCCTTAGCAATCTAAAGAAGATTCAATATTGTAAAAATTGAGTATAAATTAAGGTTATTTTGACCTCTCAGTGTTGATACTTTGAATTTCTGTGGAAATCGTGATCTAATAGGAAATCGGAGCTGTTAAATTAATCGTTTTTGAAATAACCATGATTAGCATACGTTTGTGACATCAATAACTTTTATATGGTTATATTGATAATGTCTTGAAAGGCGATGACCAAGAAAGACTAGATTTTTTAGAAATATATAGAATACTAGGTAATCGAAATCATCGGCATTAAATATATTTGATCTACAATCTGTCATGCAGTTAAATTTCACAGAGACACATCTATACATGAAATTTTCTGATCATGTGGTAAAGTCATTGAATTCCGTATCGAACAATAATCTTTGTTAAATTTAATTCAATCGTTAACCGGCTCTTACGATGTAAATCATATCTGTATGACTGTTTCAAGACTTTCAGTTTGGAAGAATATTTGTCAGCGTCATTGGAGTTTTTCTTCAATATGATTCAAAGTTTTAGAAACTTGAAAACCCTATATAAACGGTTGATTGGTTGCCTTGTTTGTTTTGTTATAATGTCAAAACTTGAAATGCCAGTCAGAAACATAATTACATTCATCACATTCTCACCTGTTCTTGGAATTCTCAACTTCGTCAAGCCTACCAATGGTCTCGCACAACTCAAGTGACCTCTTCTCCTTGCAATATCAAGTGCATTTCCTCCTTCAGGTAATGAATGGTAATTTATCCTAACGTCACGTCCACAATCAATCAGCATCTCCACCGCTTTAGGAACATTATGGATACAGGCAGTGATGAGAGGAGTTTGTCCATCCTTAGTGATTTTTTTCGTATCAGCACCTTCCCTCAAAAGAAGTTGTATAATATCATAATGCTTTTCCATTATAGCATAATGTAATGCAGTCCATCCATTTCTATCCATCAAGTTTATAATAGCTCCGCTCAACAACAACCTTACCATAATATCTAGATAGCCCCGACTGGCTGCTTGCATCAATGGTGTCAACCCATGAGAATTTTTAGCGTTGACTTCAACTCCCCACTCTAAGAGTTGTTCAGTACATTCGAAATCGCCCCTTAAAACTGCATAATGCAAAGCAGTGTTATTGTTTTTGTCCCCCTTATTGATTTTAGCTCTATTATTCTTCAAAATAATAGCTACTTTGATATGTCCTTCCATGACACTCAGTATGAATGGGGTTCTACCTTGAATGCATTTTACATTAGCTTTCACTCCAGGAATGTTCAGCAACTTCTTTACCCATATTTCATTACCACGTGAAGCGAAACAATGGAGGTGACTAAATCCTTTAATGTTTTTTCGATTGACAAGAGCGGCAGTGTATTTACCTAAGGCAAAGAAATCTTTCAAAATTGAAGGATCCTCAAAATCATTTACCAAATGGAGGGGTGTATTCTCTTCATTGTCAACTCCCCAACTCTCAATGTTGTTGTAGTTCAGTAATAGCGTTCTTACTGCCTGCAGATTTTTCGATTCAACTGCCAGGTGAAGTAAACTTTTCCCAGAGGGATTTTCTCTCACCTAAAAAATATTATTGTATTGAAATGTTTCCTGTAATGTTAAAAAAATTTACCTTCTGTAGTGAGTTACATATATTCGGTATAGATACTAGCTTCAAAAATAACATATTGAAATTGTTTTTGATGCAGTGAAGTAGTGTAATGAACAAAGTATCAAATTCAATATTGCGAAAGAGGAATTCAGTCGGCATATTGGATATTAAAAACTCAGTTTTAAGCACTGAATCTAGTTTTTCTAGGGATCCGGACATCAGAGCATATTCAATGGCATTTTTGTGCAATAAAATGTCTTCCTTCAGAAGCTGCTCATGGAAACCAAACAAGAATACATTATTCTCCGTATAATTTGATTCAGATTTCGGAACAAAATCTGGTACTTCGATCGTGATCAACTGTTGTGCCATTTGAAAAACTGCTCGCTCTTCAATATTCTGCAATGTATTTCTCGCCTCCAAATCAGTATGTATTATATAACGTTTTCCGTAACTCAAAAGCATATGATAAGTTGTTCTACCCAAGATGTCAGTTTCATTTCCACTATTCCAGAGTATGTCTTTTGGGATATCATTATTGATGATGGAAGAAAGCAGCGGATTATCAGTAGTTAATATATTATCAAAAAACAAACGAACATTTGTCAGTTCTTGGCAGTACAATAATTTGAAAGCTTCCGATATGTCAAAAGGTGTTTCCTTTTTTATCTGTTTGATGACGATGTCAGCCAACCATTTTGCGGCCAAAAACTCGGCATACGTTTTGTGACTGAACACAGGTATAGACTCTATTCTGGATTCCATGACGAGGGCAGGTTTTGGGTTTTCTTCATTGAAAATTTCAAGGTCACAGACAAATTCATCCCAGTCGAACAACATTTCTAAAACTGCTTTTGAAAAAAAAGAATAGAGAGCCAATTTTGACATAGTCCTGAGGATGAATCTTGTTTTTTTTGAATCTTTAGGAATATGTATGTCAATGAATCTCTCATACAGCTCATGTATACGTATACGATCATCAAAAACGTGTTCATTGGAATTTATTACCACTGCCAGCATCATCGTCTGTTGACAAATACCTATGAATGAATTTTGAAACTTCTCTCTAGTTTTTTCTACCAAGCTCATTTTTTTCTCAACATCCCCACTGTCATTTTTTGAGCTGAAAAATAATCTGAAAAATTTGTTTTGATCAGCCACTGTGAACTCATCAAGTTCCATAGATAATACCCCAAAATTTTCTTCTAGTTCCATTTTCAGTAGCGGCCGACTCACCATCCATATTCTGAGACCATTTTCCATACCTTCTTTCAATATTTTTAATAATTTTCTGTCGTTTATCTCTTCGTAGTCATCTATCAGTAAGACCATTTTTCTACGCTCAATATGATGGTGAAATAATATCTCAATAATAGTAGTATCTTTTTTGTCGTCATCTGTTTGCCAATCCATTTTACTTAGAAACTCTATGAATTCCGTATAGCTCTCAATTTTTTTTATCTCAGAGGAATATTTTCCCAATGCTAAATGAATCACCCATTCCGTTGGTGAAAATTTATTTCTAATGCGATTCAAGAACATTGTTTTTCCCATCCCTGCATTATTGCATATCACATTTATATTTGAATTCTTGGTACTCTCAAATAATTCGTCATCATTCAACAGGTAATACTCATTTGCCAATATATCATATTCAATTTTTTCCAAAGATCCATTTGTATCCTTCAGTATGAATCTTTGTGATCCGTCTTTTTCATCAAAGAATTGGAGGATACAGTAAAATCTATTTTTTGCTAATTCTTTAACTTCTTTCATTATGGAACGATCTAAACTTCTGTTGACAGTAAGAACGGGCAGTGGAATAAATTCACAAGGTAATTTCATCACTGTATTTAAATGTCTAAAAATAGCTACACCCACCTCCAAAGGCACTGAAACAAAGTTTTTGGGAGAATAATTACCACATATAACAAAAATACATGGACCATATTTCAGAATGCTCTCATTCAATATTGGAATTTTCAACCTCCTTTCAATATATATTTCCGCTTTTATGCCTGAAGAGCCAAATCTTAAGTTTTTATCTAATAAATGTATCAATGTGTCGATACTAAATGTTTTTCTCAAATCCCTGTTATCATTATCAACCAAGTCCGACAACTGGACATATTGTTTGCCCTGTAAAGAAACTTGTACTCTTTTTGTGAGGGTCAAATATTGGTTTTCATCCAAATCATCAACAGTTTTCAGCAATTTGAAATCACCTTCGTTTTGCGCGTTCGGAAATTCTGGGTTTTTTCCGAAAAAATTCTTTGTATCACGAATAACAGTAATGATATCCAATTTTGTCATTATTTCATTAAAGAAAGTATTAAAAAATATATTTTTTGTTTCAATGTAAAATGGCAGGAGTCTCTGGGCTACCATATGAAAATAAAGATGCTTCGTATTTATGTTCACTTCATTTGTGAAGTTCAGTTTTGTACGAAATTTATTCTGTAACTCCATTGGTAAGGCAACTTCCCAATTATCCAATTCCAATGACTCCTCTTTGTAGTATTCTTTCATACTTGATATAATGTCACTCCAAATTACAACTTCCGAATATTCCTCATGTATTAAAGTGACATTGAAGGTGTTAATCACAGACAATATATGATAGTTTTTCGAACATTTATTTGGAGGCACAAATACGCTGAAGATATATCCCAACAACTTCGATTTCAAATTAAGTTTATGAAGTTTTTGGATAGTGTTATTGGAATCTGCGAAGTCGTAAAAAAAATTCAGTATATTTATTACAAAATCTATATCCAATCCAACTAGTTTTGCTATCTCATTGGGTACTTCTGTCAAATGAAGTTGGCCGGCGAAAAAGTAGAATCTTTTAAGAAATTCTGCGTCAGTCTCTGAATCTGTTATCGTGTATTCTGTTGAGACATCTTCAGATGAATTACTACTGATGAAGCTTCTGAAATATTTTTGCTCGAGTTTATCAAAGCGCAGCTTTGAGGAATCCTTACTCATTATCTCAACTTTGCAATTATTGTAGAGAACGAAAAACATGTCTGTATCCTTTGAAATGTTATTGGCAAATAAAAACTCTTCGTTTTTTATAATGGATTCATAGGCATTTTGGTACATTTCTAAACAAAAATCTTTCTGATTTGTTTTAAACATTTCGACCACTATCGGTTTGTCTCCCTTTTGTTTGTGCTTCAGTTGCATAAAGAATATTTCTTTACGTTTATCTTTGAATTCTACGTGGAGAACCAAGTCGTCGAATTTTTCGATACCAGAGTGGTTGGTAGTCAACCAGAAATCATGTATATCATTCCTGAGGAGGCATTTCAAAGCAATCAGTGCCGTAATTTTCCTTTCGTAGTGTTTTCCTATATCTCCTTCTGGTTTTTTTGTATTCATCTGAAAAAAAAACTATATGAATAACTTGACCATCTGGCTAGACTAGAGAAGTCATAAAATCTACCATCAATATTCAGTCGAAAATGTATCCGAATATCATAACTTATTTCGAAAACAAATGAAAAATTTTATTCGGAAGTAAATATATAATCTAAGATTTATGAATCAACAGCTTCACGTAATGTGATGAAGATACAACTTCCAACGCTTGTACACATATTTGTAGAACAACACTATAGAATCAACCATTACTTACTAGGTTACTGTTTTTGGCTTTCCATTTCTTCATACAAAAAAGTAGAAAACTTGCGATGGAAGGAATAAAGCAATTACTTTCAAAATGAACTCTTTACAGAGATACGATAGGTTAAGTTAGGTCTAAAGTGAGTGGGTCTATTCGACCCTCCACCGCAACCCGCAAGGGTTTATTGTGGCTAACACTTATTCACACTCGGCCAAACAAACTCAGCTTCTTAACGAAGCTGACTAGTTTGTATGGTGAGTGGTCTTACGCCGAACTCTAAGAACCTGATTTGGTCCCCAGCGGGGCAGGCAAAAAGTATATGCTCTCCTGTTTCATCATTTTCCAAACAGAGGCGACACACTCTGTCTTCCGACAGTCCAAGTCTCTGCATATGATGATTAAAATGACAGTGACCTGTAAGAAGGCCTGTTGGACATCGTAGTTCATCCCTACTGTAGTGCAACAACTGTTTGGTATCAAGCTTCGAAGAGTGAATGAACGCCTTGAAGTGAGCTAATCCTAGAAGAGTCTGCCAGAAGTCCATAAATCTTCTTGCCATCCAGGTGTTCGGTGTTTGCTTGGCAAAGCCTAAAGCGAAGCCAATGACAGGTTATGGTCCGATGAAGCTGCTTGCAGCAACCTCCTTTGCTGAATTCCTGAGACAATCTGTTAAGTCTTACTATCGAGGAGAGTCATTTTTGGCTATTTGCTACCAATTTAGACGTTGCTCGGAGGGAGCTAAGAGCTACCAACGCCGCTTGACTGTCCGAGAATATTTTCATTGACTTGTGTGAGGTTGGATTTAACTAATCTCTCCGCACAAAATTCAATAGCGTAAATTTTCGCTTGAAATACAGTCGCATAAGTTGCTATGCAGATAGATATCTCTGTCCTGGGTCTTTGACTGAAAACTTCTGCACGAGAACCGGATGGTGTTTTTGATACATTTGTGAACCAACAACTACCTGCTCTAAATATTTCCTTCTCCCGGAGGATCCAGTTCTCTCTACTCGGGAATAGTGTTTTATAAGGCAGTTTGTAGTTGATAGTTGGGGGCATAAAGTACAGAGATGTGTAGGGTTTTTTTTTCTTTGTTTATTCATCTATGTATGATCTACCTACACATCTCTGTAGATGTGTAGGTAGAAAGAAACAAAGAAGAAACTCGTCCTGAAACAACTACTTTCACATTAGTATTAACTACTTTCATATGAACATTGCATTTTACGAAAATCACACTTTTCCTTTCAGTTTATACTCCGAACACTCGTTATGGAATTGAATTAAGTATCATTCATATACGAGCGCTACAAAATATATATAATCAAAAATGCAGTAATATTCAATGGGAATCATGTCTGGTGAATTTGCTGGCCACGGTAATCTTTGAATATTCTCGATTTCCAGTGCATTTTGTACTTTTCTCGTGCGATGGGGACTAGCATTGTCATCCATAAAAATAAAATTGGCTCCAATTTCATTTCGAAGAGAATGAATAATGGGTTCAATAATGTTTAGAACATATCTATCCCATGTCATAGTATCTGGAATGGGAATGAGATACGTACGATGACCATGCATTATGCTCCTTGGTATGACGACTTCTCTAGCAAAATATAGTCTTTCTTGTGGTCCTGGCCCTCTCCAAACTCTGTGTTTCCGACTATCACTAACTAAACCAAATCTGGTTTCGTCCGAAAAAAGGACATTTCGTCACTGAGCTGAAAGCCAGTCTCTGTGTTCCTGTGCCCACTGTAAACGAGCGGCTATGTGTTTTGGAAGTAGCATGGGTACTCTTAATGGCCTCCTTGATTGCAAATTGGCTCTAGCAAGTATCCGCCGTATTGTGGTACTGGAAATTAATCAACCAAACGTTTTCCTTAAATGGGTTCGGACTGGTGAGACTGTTATGGTTCGATTTCGATGTACAAATCCTGCTAGATACCAATCTTTTCTTGCATTAGTTACCCTAGGACGCCCAGTTACACGTCTCCAGTCAGCGCTGTTAGTTTTCTGGTACAAATGCACTATACGGATAACTGAAGCTCGGGGAATCCGTAATTTGATAATTCGGCAGACCCTCATCATGCAGAGCCACTATTCTTGCTCTATGGAACACTGAATTTCTATTGTCAGGTATAATTGCAAAGAAGAACTCAACAATCACTTGAACACGCTAAATCGATATATGAACCACTTTTTAAACATTGGTATCTGAAATTAGAGGAAATTGTTTTTGTAAACATTTTTGCATGCCTAGCACAGGTGAAAAAAATAAAGATGAAATGTACAAAAAACCAGCCATGATAAATATTTTGTTTTACAAGTTACGACGGGGGTCCAAGAATTTTGGCGATATGTGTAAATTATATTTCATGAAATTCCATGAGCAATTGGATGTGAAAAATACTACTCAGTGTTCACAATTTCATTTGCCAACGTTTAGGCGTTTGATCGTCGCCTTACTCGGAGCCAACTGTTTTGGCAAGTAGTGGTGTCAGTGTCTCTAATAAATTTGGATTTTTATATAAAAAATCACAAAATCGTGTGTATTCAAAGGAATATAATTTATTATAAAAGCCGTCAGAAAGTGAATACAACTCAAAGAATGGAAAACCTAAAATTTCACAAATATCCTTATCTAGTTTCAATGTGTATTTTCAATTATGAGTGTTTCATATATCTCCCAGTGATTACTCGCAGATTTAATTATACACCATATTCTTTTGAATGTATGAGTATCATACAGTTCAAGGCCAGGTCAGATATTCCTTATGTGAATATCAGAAAAAACACACTAGATGTAAATTGATGGATGTAGCCGTTACTACGTTGTAGTAGATCATCATGAAAAATGAGAATTTAAACTTCCTACTTTTTATATCACTTTGTATTTGTAACTAACGTTATTGCAGTTTCGTCCTACAAGGACATTTTCAAAGTTCATTGTATTCGTTGGAAAATGTCCTCGTAGAACGAAACTGCATTAACGTTAGTTACAAATACAATTGGTATGAAGCATAGGAAGTTTCAATTCTTATTTCCCACTAGATGTGTATTTGTTTAATTTTTTATTACTTGTTTCCTCACAGTGGAAATAACAACTACACCCTTTCTAACCTCTTCTTGATCAGACTCTAGTGATTGCGAAAAATCTTGAAATAGATTATTTTTGACAACATATCTCGGACAACACTTATCATAATTGAGATAATAAAATCATTTAGTACATCTAGACTGGTTTCATATTGAAAATCCACAAATCGTAAATGAGCCAAAATGAATTTCTAAAATTTGCAATTGAACACTAAAATATTCAAAATGTATTTCTGAATAAAATAACTTCAGATCGATTAGGACTCATCGAAAGACTTGGGACCAATCAGTCTCATGTCTTTTACATTAAATGCGTTATTTCTGACAGGCATATTAGAGATATAGCACCAGATCACTGCATCGAATACAATATACCTATATATCAGGTCATGGTCATAGAAAGAGCATAATTTGCTCACAGAAAACAAGAAAGTGCTTTTAGCTGATTTCCTGAATCTAGAACATTCGATAATGCCTTTTTAGAATGAATCATTTATGCATCGAGGAGAATCGATGGCACATGCTGCAGATGGATAGACTACACGGTTAGAGGAACATTGGTATAGCACAACCATTAAGGGACAAACGGTTGTGGCACGGGTAGCATGAGGTTGTCCTTGGGAGGGACCCACTGTTATGGAATGGACGAGTCACTACGTTTTCTGGACCATAACGGACATAATGTACTGGGCTATGCAGATGACTTAGACATTCTTGTATAGAGGGAAATATAATAACTTAATGGAAGAATGCATGCCACAGGTCCTGAATATTATAACTAGAAGAGTCGATGGTGAAAGGCTGAACATAAGCCCAACGAAATCGATCATAGTAACATTCACTTAGAATACTAAAACAAAGGGTCCGGACCTCTGAAACTCCGAGATGAAGTGAGACATCCGTCTTAGGAGGACAAACATCTGGAACTGAAAATTGATTCCAGGCTAACCTGGAACTAACATCTAGAATGATGTGATGAGAAAGACGGGAGTAGTATTGATGCTGGCTACACGTACCTACGGAAAAACAAAGAGGCTACATCATGATGGGCAAATCCATGATAACATATTCATTCAAGGTTTAGTAGTCAAAGATGAAACAATCGACCGATATTAACAAACTAAACAGGATGCAAAGAAAACCGCTCCGATGTCTGTATTGGAGACACTCTTGAGTACTCACCTTTTATATCGTGTAATAATGGGACCAAATGACTTCGTAGTATATTTTCGGCGAAAACACCACGGTTGAATTCTTAAACAGCAGAGAACGAAGAATAAAAGTCATCCTGAGAATACGCTTCACAGTCTTCATTTCAGTTATTTTCAGTACCCATGTTTTTCATGTTGAAGTGTTTACCATATTTCAATATGCAAGAAACATCAATTTGAAGCCTCTATAAAATGAGTGGATCATAACTTGGGATCTGATGAACCCAAAAGTGACATCGATACTGGGGTGGAAACGTCATGAAGAACTGGGTAAAGTGGCAGGAATGGTGCCGGAACCATCAGGTATCACAGGCAACGAAATAGTTGATATGTGTGCCAAACACGGATGGTGAACTTCATATATAGGCCTTGTAAGTACCAACATATTTTGTAAGGAACCAGATTAGCAAGTGGGTCTATAACAAACAAATGACGTACTGGAAAACGCATAAAGGGACCGTCCAGACGATAACTAAATAACTTCTTCAACAGAGCAGGTATCAGCTCGGATCTACTACAACGCCACTGACTGGACACTGTCTACTGAGAGGACACCTGAACGAAGTAGGGCTGCATGAAGAAAAATTTCGCTACAGGCATTACAATAAAGGGACAGAGACAGTTTGTCATATTTTATGTGATTGTGAGGCATTGGATCAGAGTAGGCAAAACATTCATGGGAAATTTATGGACAAACTATGGCATACATTGGACGGAAGGCCTTTACAAACTAGTACAGGGAACAGGATTGTTGAAGTGGGTACTATGAAAAAAAAAATGGGAAAGAACGCAATAAGCCCTTGAGGCTTCAGTGTTTTCTAGAGATTTGTAGAGTCAGATGGTTCCCAATTTGTGAAAAAACCCTAGATCCAACTATTCAAAGTAGTGACTTCACATTAATGTTCATTTGGTTCAAGTTTTAGAACAGATAGTTTTGTAGAATATTTTTTCTATGTTGTGTATTTCGAGAAGCCTCTTGTATGTATGAAACAATGATGCCAGAGCTACCCCGTACGAGGTAATTCTATCCCTCTTGAACTTAATTTTACCCCCTCGCTCCCCACAAGTAAATCTACCTCGCAACAGTTATAAAGTTTAAAATAAAAATTGAAGAAATGAACGAATATTTGAGGTTCGATTTTGAATCCTCTGCGATAAACGAACCGAGTACCCTTGGCAACGTTGGATAGTTCCGATATTCTGTGACCATGTACATCATGTGAATGTAGATCCATCCCGGTTCTACCACGCCCCCTTCCAGAAGTTTACCTCGGAAAAAATAGGTTGTGGCAACACTATTATAATGTCTTTCCTTACAATGGGGCATGTTCCTCACTTTGGGTTATTACAGCAAATACAAGTTTCAACAAAATAAAGTTTAGTTTAATTCATGAGTTTTTCAAATTCACTTAGGAATATTATCTTTATAAATCAACAATTAAGGCAAAATATAAATTATAGTTCAATACCACCTACACAAGCCACATAAACAACAGTTGTCTGTTATTTATTTATATATAGGAAGATAGGTTAGGTGCACAAAATGTCATATGTCACAGAATGTCTCGGAACTCGGAACATAAGTGAACAGAACAGCACGCCTCTGAAATATGTCATCTTTGTTTGTCTCATACAGGTAACAGATTCATTGTCCTTTATTAGCTATAACCGATGTTGTCAAATGGTGAAATAGAAACGAATCCCTTTAAATGTTGAATGCATTATTTTTAAGTATTTAAATAATTTTTTAAAGAAAAAAGTTGAAATGATAAGTTTAAAATGCGTTGTTTTAAGGCTCTTTTATGAAAACTACTTGATTTTCGTCAGGAGGAACATTCCCCATTGACTCAATATAACGTCGCACATATGGGCTTGTCAGCGATTTCAATCAACATATTTTGTTTTTGTTATTTTGTATTAGTGAGTAATGAATGGTCATTACTATCTTTCTATGAGAAAATTGTGAATGACATGAAAATAAATTGAATAAAAAGTGAATGAAAATAAACTCACTAGTCTTCAAACCGAGTGTTTGAACGAATCAAATTATTACATGGTGGCAGAGGTAAAGTGCGCGGGTTTTTTGTTTGAATACAAAAAAATGTCACTGATAAAACGTTTACTTGAGAGTCAAAAACCTTCAATTCTGGTTTACTCTGCAAAATAAATTATACATAAAAGAATGCGAAGATAAAGTAACCGATTTTTAATAATGATTTCACATTATCGGTATCGCTCACCTTGTTTTTTCCAACTAAATCCGTCTGAGAGTTCATATTTGCACACCTACTAGAACCTCAAAAAGAACTAAAGCTAAAAGAAAAGAAAAACGACGCTTTTCCGAAGAATATCTCAAAATTGTTATGCAGTCTTCGTACACTATGCATGCTGACCTATTATACGAAACTGAAAGGAATATTAGGAACAAAGAACTTCATGAATGAGATAATGATGAATTTGCTGATAATAATTGATAAACCAAATCGAAAAATATGCATACTGATAAACAACCTACAATTATTCGTAAACTGAAATCGCCAGATATCACAGAGAAGACTGCTAAATGAAGTTAATATAACTGGAAATGTAAAAACAAATCATTTTGACTCTTACCTTCAATAAAAATTAGTTAGAGGATTCACACAGTAACGTCGGGATGGGCGTATACTGACATAATTGCATACTAGATTACCGCTTAACTATTTCACATTTTTTTATTTAACTGCTACTGTCAACATATTATGATGATGGTGATGATTTCGGTAGGCTTAGTTCCAAAGCGGTAAGTTAGTGAACCTTGTCCCATTAAGTATACATCCATTTATTTTGTCTCGGCAAAAAAATAATCGGTACAAGACGAACACAAACACAAACTGAAGTAACAGTGTCCATGATAATAATTAAACAATTTTTACGAAAAAGCTATTGTATTAGCGAAACATGTCGTAATATTTTTCAAATAAAGTTTGTGGAGAACAAAACGAAAGGTCTAGTTTATGAAATCACTATAGATCTTCATCAAGAACGCCGAATCAATAAGAAAAAAAAAGAATATCATAATGATGGAACTCTAGCATTAAAGATCATGAATATTAGTTCGTAAATAAAAGTTATACTTCAATTGATCTTTTATTCGAAGAATGTACTCAATAAATAGTTGTAAGTTTGGCCATTTTGAATGCTTTCAAGTAGTTATATTTACGCCACCTCCATTCTTCAGGAATACAAGAACATTATTTTTAGTGTTTAACTGTTCAGTGAACTCTTCCAATATTTTATTTCGAATCCTCTGCCGCGTTTGATGGACCGAGTTGTATACATAGTTTTCTCAGAGATATATCGAATTGACAATTTAATTCTGAACGACACAACCAGCAGAAAGGTACTCGTCAGGGATTGGAGTTAATTATTGTAACGTATTCAAAAAATACTTTATTGTGAGATTTTCACTAAATGATTTTACAAAAAACTACTAAAGCAAGCCACTGACCTGGTCTACCCAAATTCAAGGTGCGATAACGTCAGTTATAGAACATTGTCATATTTGGGTGAACCAACCAGTAATATTGCATGTTTTTTAAAGAAAGAATGCGTTAACGTAGCTTACAGAACGAATAATAGTCTAAGTAAATTTATTAAAAACAATAAAGACAAAACTTCGGTGTCGGATAGATCAGGAGTATATAAGCTGACTTGTGTATATTGGCCAAAGAGGAAGAACATTTCCCCAAAGAATTAAAGATCATATAAGAAGTTTTGTGAATAGAAAGACCAATTCCACATTTACAAACCACCTTTCAACAGAAGGACATGAGTTCAATCATGAATACGATGTGTTACATTCAGAAGAAGAGAGTTTAAAACTCCTAGAATGTTTAGAAATCAATAGATTCAAGAATTCGAGTAATTCACTGAATGATCAATTAGAATTGAATAACTTCCCGTTACCTACTGAATATTTTTTCAAATGTAGAAACTGGGACATAAGCTGAGGTAATTTAATTCATTACAAACTTAGGTAAAAATCCGATACTTGAAATGTAGGTACTTCAAATTGAAAGATAAAGTATATTTAGCATTGAATATGTAGAATCAGTTAGTAAAAAAACGACCGAAGAAGTCATTGTATGGCGAAACACGTGTTGCGTTTTTGTAAAACAATTTAGTGAAAATCTCACAATAAAGTGGTTTTTGAATACGTTAGTTATGGATGTTCATCAAGTATCGGCCAATTCCATCATTTATCTTAATTATTGTAAATAACTTTGCCTTCCATGATGATAATTATACAAATTTCACATTATGATTTTTTTTCGAAACGAGTTTCACTACATGGTAGTTTCATCAGTTGAACTGGTAGATCAAACTATTCTATAATGTGTTTTCTTTAAAAGTGGGTAATTACAGAACTCATTCAGATAAATGACTGAGGTAGATTTTGGAAAACAATTCCAATGCAATATTACCTGTAGGAAAACAATTGAATTGAAAATATGCGAGTATCATGATGGATAGATAGATAATTTGTTCATAAAATCACACAAATATGTGTAATATCATCAACAGAAAGAATTGAAACACACCAAATCAAGTCTAGGGCTGAAAATTTCAAAAAAAAATTAAAAACATATACATATAGATACATATATAGTAATTTTTGTTTTTCGACGGATGAGATATGCAAAAAAATCAAAATATTATTCAAAAGAATAAAACATAGTATGCATATGGAATATACATATGTATATTCATGTGTAATGTTTCTATTTACAGTGGAAGCATTGGTCTTTCTTTTGAAATTGTACATTACTTCAATTTTTGTTCCGAAAGGTGGAACACTGACTTGTTACAAATGTATTGTATGGATATGTAACGTGGCTAATAGAATTCTATTCTATTCTTGATTTGATACTTCATTCAGTTTTCAGTTCATCTAGAAGAGCATTGTGAAATTTCGTTGACAAGAATCCGAAAGAGAGTTTGGTTTTTGTGATTTTAGGTCTTGGTGATTTTTATTAGTGATTTTCATTATTTCTTTCCCTAGCGTTATAGTATTTCCAATACCAATTGGAACAGCACAGAGAAGGAATTCCCGCCTCGACATAGGCGTCGGCATATTATTTTTCAGTGTTAGTTTTTCAGTTACTTATTCTTACAATCATAACAATTGATCAATCACCCCATGAAAAAGTTATCTCAACTGAGTTTTTCCACCATGGGTAATTATGAAAAACTTCAAAATTTAAGGTAGTTGATTTCCGAGTCAAAAACTCTAAAATACAATGAAAACACAAATAATCACACCGAATTCTCGTCAAACATATATTTACAAAATAACAACGTCCAACAAAATTGCTAGAAAAATCAAATCTCTTCGTCACTATATTCGTATAAGGTGGAATCATCATCGGGTTGAATAACGATCGGATTCATGGAACTTTGCACATAATATTTGTTCTCTTCTTTTATAACACAGTTCTTCCACACATCACTATTACCTACTTCATTCACCACTCGCCTTATATTGTCAAGCACTACAGCATTCAAAGTCGGTGACTGCTTAAATTTCCGCAAGCTTTCTTTCATTGTGGCCCAAACCATTTCAATTATTGAACACACAATAGTATGGAGGCAAACGTAAGAGAATATGACCAAGTGTTTCACACATCAAATCAATAATATACTCTTTTTTGAAATTACGTTGTTTTATGGTCGCCAGTAATACCTTTTTCGTTGGAATCTTTTCGGGTATTTCCATGTCATGATTTCGCATGAAATCAACAATATCTGCTTTTTTGTGTTATTGTTTGATATTGTAGTCAATTACCGGGAATTATACGAAGCGTTATCCATAACAATAACCGAATTTGGAGGAATGTTTGGGAGAAGCTGCTCACTGAACCAGGTTTCGAATAAAGCCGCAGTCATATCTTCGTGGTAATCAGCAGACGAATCTTTTATATTTTTGGCCAACAGAAGCAAAGCGTTAGGTACGAAACCACTTTCATTCCCGGCATGCAAAATTATAACACGTGTTCCCCTTGAAGAAGGTGTGTTCAAAGCACAATACTTGGTTTTGTCTACCCAGCCATATTCAACAACATCATGGGTGTCAAACCAAATTTCGTCGAGGTAGATTATATGTCTGCTGGATTCTCGGTAGCTTTTCATTCGCCTCAAATATTCTTGTCGGAGTTGAACAATGCGTGTCGATTCATTATGACCATCCGATTGTTCAATTTATTATATTTGAAACCACAAAACAATAAGACGCCTCGTAGAGTTTCTAATGATTTGTAATTGTAATCGGGATAGTCGAGTAATTTATACCAAATCATTTCCAAGGTTGGTACTTCATTTTTTTGGTATATACCATAAATTGTTCGCCGAATCACATCTTTTGTAGCACCATCAACGTTTGCGAATTATTTATTCCTTTGTTTTCGTTTCATTGCATGGTCAATGACATCCCCTATTTTAATGACTCGAAGAACTGTCGAACGAGATAGTTTCGTTAACTCGCATATTCTATTCCCAATAGCATTCTGTGATGTGTGACAGTTTTCCTTCTTCAAGCATTCATGAATATTTAAAATTACTCGCTGAATTCGAACATGTAAGTCCTTATTTTCAAATTCCAGATCCCTGTCTATTGACACAGATTCCTCACACGTAATGATATCATTTGTTTCAAAAGGTCTTCAGAAAGCCATATTGAATAAAGTACCCAAAAATAATAAGATTTTCACAAAAATTGGTTTAAACGATGAGGTTGGAACTTTTGGTGTAAAAGTTGAAATTTTTTTCTAGAGATCAATTACCCTAACACCAAACTGATATTTTTGCACTCGACGCGCGTTTCGCTAACAAGGTTAGCATCTTCAGGAGAAGCAAATTGATACTGAATCTAAAGACAAGGGTTAGCTCTTTATATACCTAAGGGTTTTTGGTCCGATGTGGACTTTGTTTGTTAAATGATGAATATCCTAATTGGTTTTTCGGTAATTAACTTGTAGAACCACTACCTGCAAATTAATTTGTTCGCTTTTTAATCTATAGTTGACAAATTAATTTGCAGGTAGTGGTTCCATTAGTTAATTACCGAAAAATCAATTAGGGTAATCATCATTTAACAAACAAAGTCCACATCGGACCAAAAAACTTTAGGTATATAAACAGCTAACCCTTGTCTTTAGATTCAGTATCAATTTGCTTCTCCTGAAGATGCTAACCTTGTTAGCGAAACGCGCGTCGAGTGCAAAAATATCAGTTTGGTGTTAGGTAATTGATCTCTAGAAAAAGTTTTCAAAAATCGCTCACTCACTACCTCGCCTAACCCCACAAACACACGGCACTGATAAAAAAATATTGTGAAACGGACAAAAAATTAGTATTCAGATAGTCCAGCTAGCCGAGCCTTTATTTCTCAACAACATTTGATAGCACGTTTACCACAGGCAAGAAATGTTTATGACTGTACTCTTATTTTTATTGCCGTTCCAATTGGGAATCGATAGACAATACACATTAAAATTTCTTTCCTTATGAAAATTAGACATGAATATTTTAAACATGAAGGTAATATTAAAATTTCGAATTGTTCGAAGGTTTTCCTGACATTATTTTCATTATTTTTTGTGCAAAATGAATATTTCTTCTGACTGACTTGACAATCCCCATACCAATAAAGCGTATGTCATGACTGAATGAACATTTGAGAAATTGGTCCCTCTCAGATGGTCCTCAGGTAATTTTTTCAACTCCCTAATGGCAAAGTTACCATTGGTAGACGTTTCGACAGGTGGGCAATAACCTCACTTCCATTGTCTGTTATTATATAAATTGATTTGAAATCCCTAGAAGAATCTGTGAAAAGATTAGCTAAAAACACAATTTTATCAAGCAAAAATCTGAAATTACAATGAAATAGCATGCAAGCAACAACCAAAAAAATTAAAAAAAAAATAAAAAAATTAACTATCAGACGAGCTGAAAAATTGAAGAATTATTAACAATAAATGAAAATTCAAACTATAAAATTGAAAGATTCCAAAACTAGTTAATTCACGATGTTTCGATTGTTAGTATTCACAATCGTCTTCGGGTGATAACTAGACATCTTCAAAAATGACCTTCAACGGAATGGTTACTCCGAAGTGATGGTGGAACAGGCTTCAGCTAGAAATCAACGAGAGCTCCACAAGGAAGAGAAGCCGCCACAACCAGTTCTTGAAGTTTCCTACATCAGAGGATTGTTGGAAAGGATAAGAAGAATTGGGTCCAAGTATAACATCAGAAATTACTTCAGATCTAGAAACACTATCCGTAGCAGTCTCACGAAAACCAGGCCTCCAAACGCGGACTGCGATTCCAAGAATTGCATTTATCGGATAGCCTGCGAGTGCGGAGAATCATACATCGGTGAAACTAAAAGGCCAATGAAAGTTTGCATTGCCAAGCACAAAAAACACACACAATGATGAGGAACCAGCAAATCCGGAATAGCAGAGCATGTTTGGACTCATCAATATAACATCAAGTGGGCTCAAGCTGAAATCATCCACAAGGAGGAACACTGGTTCAGGAGAAAATTCAAAGAGGCCGCATATATGTTGTCCAACAACGCATTTAACCAAGCTAGCGTAGAGATACGTAATATATGGAAACCTCTAATGAAGCGAAATACGACCAACACCCGCCAGACGGTCAGCTCCCGCTAAAAACCAATGAGGCGTGAAAGCAGTCAAATGACTTATAAATAGTCAGATCTCGAAGGAATAAGTCCAGTTATCACCCGAAGACGAGTGTGGTATTTTTTGGTTCTTGCTTGTAGGTATATTATTTCATTGTATTTTCAGTTTATTGCTTAATGAAATTGTTTTTTCAGCTAATCTTTTTAATTTTTTACAGATTCTTTTAGGGATTTCAAATAAATTTATATCATATCAGACAATGGAAATCCGAACTTGAGAAATGAACCACGAAACATTGTTAATCACCTTCAAACAAACCTCACTTTTGATTTTTTTTAAAGAAATTGATACCAATGCCAAATTTCGAATGAAGCGCTCTATCGTAATATCCCATGATTGCAGACTGTACTGATCAAACTGTATATTTTTCTAGCCCACTGAACAGAAAGGTAAATAGAGCGTGCAGTTCGCATCTGTGGTCTTTAAAAATTCAGTTCAAAAGAATGCATCAATCAAAAATAATAGAAAAAAATTAAGCCATTGTAAAGATAAATGCGGATCATTAAATGCTTTTGAGTAAATGGACTGGGAGCGATGTTTTCGGTAAAGTGGTTGTTTGAAAGCTGAAAGCAGTTGAATGAAGCTCTTAGCCTTATATGCGAAGCTTTCAAAATGTAGCAAATATTAGTTCATAAACTCGCTGTTTCGATGTGATGCAGGGGATGTATTTCTTTTTTCGTTCATGTCCAAAATTAAATGCAAATATATTTGTCAACACGATTGTAAAGTAGAAAGCCAAAACTTGTTTTCCCAAAAATTAATCTCTTCTAAAAATATAACCCTTCCAATGTAATACCTTCATTTTGAAAAATAATACAACATATTCCTTGAAGTTGTAGATAATCAAAAATGTATGTTCGAAGTGAGGCCCTTACTAATTTTCCCTTTATTTTCAGTGTTTTACTATTAATGTGAGTTACAAAAAGGATTTGAAGCTCTATGACTTCCATTTGATTATCTACGAGCGCTTTCGACAGCTGGTCGTGCTGTCATCTTCTAGGCACTCTTCTATCTGAACGTGCTATCCTGTTGTATGTCTTTTTATACGGTCCGAACGCCTCAATACACGTACTTCTGTTGCTTTAGGTAAATTTGCCTGTATATGGATTACATCAGGTACTATTCTTTGTGTTAAATCTTCTCCAGGTTCAGGGTCGACAACCTAAAAGTACCAAAACTCAACGCACAGTTAAAGATACATAAGGAAAATAAACCTATAAAACCGGTTATCAATTTTACCAAAGCACCTTCATACAAAATTTCAAAAATCATAGCAGACGAACTGAAAAACAAAATCAACAGAAAAAACAACCACAGCGTCAAAAATTCAATGGAACTCACAGACAGAATCTCAACTACAAAAGTCAGCTCGAACACCAAACTATTCTCATTCGACATAAAAAACATGTAATCCAACATACCAGTCAACAAAAGTATAAACATCATATCTGATAAACTAAAACACCAAAACATAGACAAAATCTACATTAACCAAATGGAGCACAGTCTAAATACAATACTCAATCAAAATTATTTCGAATCTGAAGGAAAAATTTATAAACAAACAGAATGACTAGCGATGGGATCCCCACTATCTAGCATTATATCCGAAATATACCTGCAAATCATAGATGAGAAAATCTTAACAATAATAAAAACACATGATGAAAGAGTAGAATGGTTCAGATACGTTGACGATGGACTGTACATATCACAAAACAATGGAATAAGAATAGATCAAATAACAAAAGAAATTAACGAAATAAATCAAAAACTATTTTTCAGCATTGAGGAAGAAAACAACTTGAAATTTAACTACCTGGACATAACCATCGGATATAACCACAACAAAACACAATTTCAAATGGCAATATACAGGAAACCCTACACAAACCAGCTCCACCATACCCGCAAGTTCAAACCATCCACCATCACAAAAAATGGCTGCATATAACGCATTCATATATAGAATGTTAAGGATACCACTCAGCAAGGAAGCCCGGAACAAAGAACGGAAAATCATATACCAAATAGCGAACGAAAACGGATACACCCAAAAGACAATAGATAAATTAGAAAATAGAATCAAACAAAAAATACAGAACAATGATCAAGCCAACACAACAGACAGAACAACACAACGATGGACAGCATTTACGTACGTAGGACACCAAAGCAAAAAACTAACAAATAATTTCAAGCCATTGAACATCAACATCACATACAAGCCAAACACGGAAATAACGCAAAATATAAACAGCTATGAAAAAGAAGGAGACAAAAATCAAATCAGGATATACAGTATACAATGCTAGGTCAGTCGAATTTTAAGCAGCATCAGGAGTACCTTAGCTTACCAAGGGTCCAATCTGGGATCACTATTATTCCTAATTTTTATTGATGATTTATCACATTTGCTGAAATGCAATCTAAAATTCTATAGCCGTATAAATGATTTGAACGATCGCAAGCGATCGCATATAATAATTAGAAGTTACTAAAGCTTCTGTCTGTCTGTTTTAAAATCTGTTTTTCCGTTAACCAGCTGTCGCACCCCTACGAACGACAACCCTCAGAAGTCGAAACTTGTGCGAGCTAAGGATTATATAAAAACACTGTGTGGAGATGTTCACAACACCTCAGAAAAATTCAGATAAGGCAGTATAGCTAGGTCACCCTGTACATGTATAGAAATCCACAGACTTGACAGGTAACGAGTGCGAAAGAGTGGAAAATTCAAATTTCAAAATTTGTGAATTTGTGTACCAAATTTTATTACTTTTCAAAAAACAGACAACCGACATAGGTTGTAAATCAATATCAGGTGAAAACAAAATGATATTTGTTAAATAAGGTTGGAAGAGACATAATAAACTCATTGTAAATATTTAGAAATGATGAAAAATTTTAATATTATTGTTGTAAACCATTTCCTTAGATACAGACATCAAGTGATGCTTTTGAAAAATGTTTATATTTAGACATACGTGAGGTTGACTTTTTCTGTACATAATTGTTAAGTAGAGAAATATTTATATTTAGGAACGAGTAGCAAAATCGTAAAACAGATCATTTTTGTGATATTGAAGTTTTGAAAATCGAGAATTGGTAACTAAGGAAAATGAGAGATTTTCAACTGTTTTATCAAAGAATATTACCTGGTGTAACCCAAATACAGGCAAATCTACCTAAAGTACATGAAGTACCTGCACTGAGGCGATCAGACCGCATAAAAGGACAAACAACAGGTTGACACGTTCAGTTTGAGTAGAGCCTTGATGATGACAGTACGACCAGCTGTCGATATAATTAAATAGGAGTTATAAAGCTTCATATCCTTTTTGTAACTTATATTAATATTAAAATACTGAAAATGAAGGAAACTTAGTTGCATCATTCAAAAAAAAAATATGTCAATATATATAGGGAAAAATATAAATTCTTGATATTTGGCATCGATGTGTTGCATTTTTGGAGAACCTTTTAGTGAAAATGAAGTATTGCTTGACTACTTTATTGTGAGAATGAATATTCCTTCGCATATAAATTTCTATTTTGCACAAGGCAAATACTTCAATTATATGACCTAGTTCACAAATATGCGGTTTCGTTAGGTTTGGTACTGTCATATTTTTGATAACCCTCTATTTTGCACTATTTACTCACTCTCGGGAGTGAGCATCTGCAAATGTGGATTGATGAATGAAAAGCAGATTGATTGAAACTTCTGATTCCTCATTCAATGGAGAGCCTATAAGACTTTTTGCTTCTTTTGTGTAGTTTTCTGAACGTTGGAGTTAGTACTCCCAGTTGAGCTCCCAGTTCGAGCTGTCTCGAATTTTATTTTTGATCATTTCAGTGCATGCGGTGTGCTTTTCTCTGACGGATATTTCCAAAGCGGTTCCTTTGTCAGAGCGAATATTCATATCAGCTTGGTTATCAAGTAACATCCCTATTGCTTCCGGAAAATCAATTTGGCATGCAATTATCAACGGAGTGTTTCCAATTTTGTTCACGGCATCAACCTTAGCTTTCTTCTCCAACAGCAGCCGTAGAATAGCAGAATGTTTTCTCTTGACAGCATGATGTAAGGATGTCCACTTGTTGGAATCGCAGGCGTTAATATCAGCATCATGTTTCAGAAGGCATTCGACGATTGGTTTGTTGCCTTTGATAGTAGCTCTAATCAGTGGGGTTTCCCCATAATTATTTTTCATGTCCAATTTGGCTCCCCATTTGATTAGCTGTTCAGAACATTTCAGTAATCCCTTTGAGGAGGTGAAATGTAACGCAGTGCAATTTTTTTTGTTTGTGTGATTAATGTCTGCGTTTTTGTCCTTCAAGAGCTTTGCGATCTGAGGTTTATTGTTGGTTAAACTGAGCATGAAAGGAGTATTCCCATAAGTGCATTCTGCATCTACTTCAACTCCAGGACAACTGAGAATTTTTTTCGTCCACTCCAAGTTCCTCTGTTGTACGGCACAGTGGAGTAGGGTGTAACCTACTCTGTTTTTTTGATTTATCACATCGCATGTTATTTCAATCTGCTGAAAAATGTCCAAAGCCTCGCTGTATTTTCGGTCGAAGGCAATGTGTATAGGAGTGTTACCTTCATCGTCTATGCCCCACATTCTCAAGGGAAAAGACTCCAAGAATATCCTGATTGCTTCCAAATTTTCAGATTTCACAGCCATATGAAGTAGGCTCATGGTTGAAGACATATCCCGTATCTGGAATCACAAATATTACATTAATTTTTTTGAAGCAAAATTAGAAGAAAAGTCTCCCAAGCAAACTATTTTCCAATTGTATCGGGTATCCGGAAAGACTTAGTACTTTTTTTTCTGATTGATTTGGCTGTTACTTGATGAAGATCCATAGTAATTTCAAAAACTACACCTCAACGATTTGATCTCCACAAACTTCATTTGAAAAATATATCACAACATGTTTCGCTGAGACATTAGCTTTTTCAAGTGATTTGATTCACAAATCAAAAGCTAATGTCTAAGCGAAACATGTTGTGATATATTTTTCAAATGAAGTTTGTGGAGATCAAATCGTGGAGGTGTAGTTTTTCAAAAAAAAACCTTGTTACGGTTGAGTTAAAAAAAAAAATTAATTACATATGAACAAAGGAATCCACTATTTCAAGTATTTCCAACTGTTTGAGAAAGCTTTCAAATGGTTATTCAGATTAATTTATTTCATAAATATAAATATTACACGGTGTATCGAGTATCAAGGGGTCAAAGAAACGTTCCATCTACATGAGACGTTTATGGCCTTCTGAAAGGCAAAAACAGCGCTATTACCAAAAAAATATATTGTCCGATATAAACTTTAAGTATACAGTGCACTTCTTTAATGCCCCCCTCCTTTTATTTTTTGAACGGGTCAATTCAAAAAATTGAAATTTTGGATAATGAAATGACTGCATGAATACTTCATTTTGAAGTGAAATTGACAGATGAAACTTCCAAGGTGGCGACTGGGCGCCATCTGGGGAAAAAAATAAATGGAAAGGGGGTCTTCTGACAAATCATTTTGAAGCTCCTGGCGAATACTTCACCACCCTAGAATATGACGTTAACGGTCACGAGACCGAAAGAATTCTCAATGAACTTTTTCCGAATCGTCCTATCTGTAGAAAATATTTGAGGGAACTTGTATTCAAATTCACAACTACCGATAGTGTACGAAAAGCCCCCAGGTCATCCATCCATTCCGGAAGAACAGCAAGTGTAAATAATTGGTGGGATGGTAGTAAATCCTGAACAGTCTACTTATTCCGTTTCGAATGTTTGTGAGGTGTATCCTTCTACTGTGTGGAGACTTTTGAAGAGGAAAAGGTATCATTCATACAAAATTAAAATGGTACATCAATTAATTGAAGACGACCCTAATCGAAGAACAGAATTCTGCGAAATCATGACGGAAACCATAGCAAGGCATCCTACCTATCTCCACGATATTTGTGTTTTAGTGACGAATGTACATTTTTTTGAACGGCAATGTTCACAGACAAAATATGCCGTCATTGGAGTGACAACAACCACATTTTCCGGGAAACACATACCCAATATCCAGAAACAATTAACGTTCGGGCAGGAATATTGGGAAACTATACTATAGGACCTCTATTTATTGATCAAAATTCAACAGAGGAACTATATTTGGATGTGCTGGAAACTACTGTTGATCCTCTCATCACTGAAATCGTCGAAGCAAATCCTAATAAATTGGATCGAACAAAATGTAGCACCACCAGATTACTCCATACAAGTAAGAAACTATTTGGATACTACTTTTCCCGGTCGTTGGATTGGCCGTCGAGGTCCTACAGAATGGCCAGCCTTCTCACCAGAGTTGACACCTGTGAACTTTTTTTATGGGGCTATTTGAATCAAAAGGTGTACAAAACTGAACGTGCTTCAGTATTGAATATACGGCAGAGAATAATAAATATTTGTAGAGAGATTGACGTTACCTCCTAATATGTAATGTGTTAATGTATTATGTTGAATGTCAATGTATTCAGAAAATTGTTGAAAGTTCCGCCATTTTGTAGTTGTTGAAGATATTATCATTTTATTCTAGAGTTGTGAAGCATTTGTCAGGAGCTCCAAAAAGATCTGTAACAAAACCCCCCTTTCCATTTAATTTTTTTTTCCAGATGGCGCCCAGTCGCCATTTCGAAAGTTTCATCTGTCAATTTCACTTCAAAATAAAGTATTTATGCATTAATTTCATTATCCCAAATTTCAATTTTTTGAGTTGTCCCGTTCAAAAAATAACAGGAGGGGACATTAAAGAAAAGCACTGTATAAAAGAATGAACGCCGGTGCTCACTTCGAAGTAACCGTAATATATTTCTGTATATCGAAAGTGTTTTGTGAATATCATTATCAAGAGAAAAAATCCCCTTAAACAGAGCTTCCAACTCCTATTCTTTCCAACGCTTTTCTTCAAGCGGACGGTCACAAGGAATCAAAGTAAGTCCCTAAATGTTCTGGTTCTCGACATAATTTCAACCATTGTTTTCTCTTTCGCCATTCTTTTTGGGAATAACGGATATCACCCCACACAGAATATATATTTTCCAACAGTTCATTTTTCAAAATCAATTTCCGAGCTAATATATACACAAACAAAAACTTTTTCGCCTTTGCAAGGGCGGCACCAGGACGCTACACCCAATAATCTTGTATGGATATATATTTTTTGCTAACGCAATCTGAGATGATGACGAAACTTATCTTCGTAAAACTATGACCGGAAGAATATTAAAAATAAAAAAAGCCTAGTCTACCATTCGAGAAAACCGACACCGGCTTAGGTTAGGTTAGGTCTAAAGTGAATGGGTCCATTCGACCCTCCACCGCAACCCGAAAAGGTTTATTGTGGCTCACACCTATTCGGTCCCCAGCGGGGATCGAATTCACATTCGGAAATCAGACATTCGCTTGGGCCGTTTCCTGTAAAGCTTTCGGCCACCAGGCAATTGCACCATAAGTGATCATTGATCTAACTATCATCACATAAATCCAGTGGATTTGTTTGGGACTTAAACCCCAAGTTCAACCACAAATCCTTCGACATGTCCATAGAGACAGTCTGACTTTGTGTAAAACGTTTTCCAAGTGAGCGTTCCAGGATAATGCCAAGATATTTCACCTCCGTTCCAAATGGAATGACTCCACCATTGAGGAAAAGTGGCGTTAGATCGTCCAATTATTTCCTCTTGATGAAGGGGATTAACACAGTTTTGCTGGGGTTGACAGACATCTGCTCCCTCAGACACCAACTGTGAACAAAGTCCAACGCGCTTTGGAGGATATTACAAGCTACCCTTCCCGACGTGGACCTTGTCAGGATGACAAGGTCATCTGCATAAGCTTGCAGATCAAGTTTTCTTCTGTCGAGGGCATCAAACAGGAGCGACCACAGAAGGGGAGATAGTAACCCACCTTGAGGGCAGCCCCTGGTGACCCTGAACCTAATGGCCTCGCCTTGAAGAGTCGTAGTTGCAGTTCTGTTTACTAGAATGGCATAGATCCAGTCAGTTATGGTCGATTCTAGCCAGAGACAATCCTATAGATTTAGGTAGTACCATACCACCCTTGCTGCCAACCAACTGGGTGGTATATAGTTCCACGCCAGACTAGTTCTATACAATTTCGTGAGAATAGGTAACATTATGTCCAGTTCGTTATGAAAGATTTGAAGGGCTGAAAAGACTTGATAGCCCATTCAACTGCCGGGACACCGGGAATGATATAGTTTATTTATTCACTACAAAGGACTTCATCAATACGATTAAAATTGTGTCTTGTGTCTGATAATGAAGCATATTCTGATTGTGCTCCTTGAAATTCGAATATTTTTATCGAATGAAAATCAACAAGCAAGTGAAAACCTACCTTCAATAATGTTTCGTCCATTATCAACTTGTCCACCCTCCTCAAAATAAAATTCAGATGATTTTTTGTGCAATGAACCAATAAAATAAAGCGCTTATTGTAGTCCATCGTGGAAAAATCTGCTAAAACATAATTATATACCAAAATTTCATTCAGCTTTTTCAAACAACCACTGAGCAGAGCACACTCAACTGGATTCATATTTAAAAAAATATCCTTTTGGTGGCATAATCGTTTTATGTCAATTATGGGCATGCAGGTCTTCACTAATTTATCGTTGGTATGTTTAGTGGTTGAAACAGGATCTGGAACTTTAACGAGAATTTTTCCATCATCGTATTTTATATGCGAGTGCTCTTCAACCTTACGTACTGCTTGTTCCACCTCAGATACTGTATGCATATCATATCGATCACCATAGCTCAAGTAAATGTGCAAAATGTTTCTACTCAGTATGTCGGTTTCAAGTAGGCCCGTAGAGCGGAACTTCAGAGGATTACTTTTCGTAAGTATGCTGTCGAAAAAAAATCTAACATTTGTGAGTTCCTGAAGGTACAGTGTTCTGACAACTTCGGTCAAATCGAATGGCGTTTCCTTCACAATTTGCTTAATAACAGTATGTGCCAACCAACGTCCTGCCAAAAATTCTGCGTACGTTTTGTGAGTGAATTCAGGAATATTATTCTTATCGAAATAGGTTACTAGGGCAGTTTTCGAGTTTTCATTCTTGAACACTTCAATATCACATTGAAATTCTGCCCAATCAAAAATCTTGCTCAGAATGTTTTTTGAAAAAAAGTTAGTCAGCGCCAATTTTGAAACAGTCCTCACGATGAATTCCTGGTTCCTCTCGTATTGTTGCTGTATTTTCAAATTGATGAACTTCTCGTAAATTTCATCTACTCGATTTTGCTTCAGAACTGTTTCTTCATTGGTGTCGAACAGAACTGCAAGCATCATAGTTTGCTGGCAGTTGCCTATGAACGAATTTTCTAATGAACGTCTGACTTTGTCAATGGACCTGAGCTTACGCTGAAGCTCCTGTTTACTCTTTGACCTTTCACGAAAAAAATTTCTGAAAAACCGCATTTGGTCTTTTCCTGTGAAGGCAGTGAGCTCCATAGAGAAAGTTTCAAAGAAATGTTCGAACTCTTCCCGCAAACCAGGTCTGGCCACAATCCAGAGCTTCACTCCCATGTTTAAAGCTTCTTTAAGAAAAAGTAGTAATTTCTTATCTACTACTTCATCACAATCATCTAAAAGAAGTACAATTTTTTCATTCTTTGTGCAATATTGATAGAGTTGTCGAGATATATCGGGAAAATTCTTATCAGATCCAGCTAACCCGCTCTCGTAGAAATATGTCATAAAATCTTCAAAATTATCAATCTTGTCAAAAGCAGATCTATGTTTCCCAAGTTCTACATGAATTACCCATTTGTTAGGTGGAAACATTTTGAGGAGATGTTTCAGTAACATCGATTTTCCCATGCCACCTTTGTTGCAGATGAAGTTCACCTCAGTTTTTTCAAAAAACTTTGTCAACTCTGAATCTTTTTTTGTTGCTTCACTAATATGACGTTTCAGGACATCCCATTGTCCAATCGTCTTTCTAAGGATGAACTTACACCCATCTTCATCTTTGCCTACATACTGAAGGATACAGAAAGGTTTCGAAATTGTTAATTTAGAGATATCATCTATTGATTCTGAGCCATAAGACTTATCTATCGTATAAACATTACAGAATTCTTCTATCAGCCCGAAATAAGGATCAACATTCGAGATATTGTAGTATGTTTGGAAAATACCTTCGGTTCCATTAAAAACTAATTTTCGGAATTTTTCATTTGGCGGAAAATTACAAATAATGAAAATAATTTTTCTATTTTCTTCTAAAATACCCTCTTCAATCATTTGTATCCTAAGAGTTCTGTTGATGTATATCGATTCTGATTTCTCCTCATCACCTATTTTCAAAGGCTTCCCTAGTAGTTTGATGAAAAGATCCACAGTTATTTTCTCTTTCATAGAATCATCAAATTCAACTATGGAAAGTAGTTTCATTTTTTGTTTTCCTTTGAATGAAATATACGTATTCTTCATAAAACTATCGAAGAGATCCTTGTCGATATCACCCATTGTTTCAAATATTTTCAGATTTGTGAATTGCAACTTCTCTTTTTTCACGTTGAATATCACCATATTAACATCCATTTTAGAAAACGTCGACTCTAGGAAAACCGTTAGCGATAAATTATCTGTTTTAATATATAAGGGTATCTTCTTCGTTGCCACCATTTGAAAATATAGATCTTTTATTCGAGTGTGGGGAAATTGTTCTTGCAAATTTTCTGGCAGACGATGTTGCCAGTTAGATATCTCCAAATCATTTTCGCTGTAATTTTTCCTCATTTCTGTTATAATCTCCGCCCATACTGCGTTTTCAGATTGTTCGTCGCTGATTAAGGTAACGTCAAATTTTTTAGCAATATTCAATAGTGTAGAACACGATTCTTCTTCCGCAGGAGGTTGAAAATTTCCAAAAATACTTGACAATACTTGAACCTTTACGTCTAACTTAACAATTTTCTCTTTTTCATTCGTTGGCTTTGTGAACTCATCAAAATAATGGATTAAATGATCTGCTACATGTTTCAATCCTATTAACCGCTCAATTTCTGGTGTGACTTCTTCCAAATTCAATTGATCGGGATAGAAATAGAAATTGTCCAAGAAATTCTGGTTGTAGTCATGAAATTGTTTCTTGCTTTTGAGTTTATATCCAGTCGACTCGGCAAATGTTCTACTGCTTAGGAAAGATCTGAAATCCGTTTTATCCATAGGTTCAAAACGTAGTTTGGTTATGGTGCTCCGCTGTTTTGTACTCTCCATAATAGTGTTTTGTTCATTCACAACGCTTTCTATATCACTGTCTTCTGTACTTCCCATGTGTACTTCCGCATTATTATACAGGACAAAAAATTTTTTTGTGTCTTCGGAAATACCGTTATTAATGAAGAATTTTTTTCCTTCCGTGATGTTTTTGAAGGCCTCTTGCAGACATTCGACATTGGAATCATTTTTCTTAGATTGAAACATTTTAGCTATCATAGGTGCAGTTGGGCCTTTTCTATGTTTTAACTGTACAAGAAACAATTCCTTTTGTCCGTTTTTATATTCGACATGGAGAACGATATCGTCGAATTTAACTACGTCTGCCGGATTAAATTTTATCCAAAAGTCTTCGATACTTTCATCTAGTAGACATTTCAGTGATAGTAAAGCTAATATCTGCCTTTCGTAATGTTTGCCTATGTCTGCCTCATTCCTCATTTTGATATCCTGCAAAAAAAATCAAGAATGTATTATTTACTGGTTCAATAACGAAAATGAAATACAAAACATTCACGATACAACAGAAAACAGACTAGACATGATTGAATATGAAATCTGTCAAAATCATGTCAGTCCGATTTTCAAATCTGGAAGTTCATCCAGGACTGGGTATTCTAGCTAGGTAAGATGGTTGGTGAAAAAAGTGAATAAAATCACCAAAAAGCACCTCCCAAAATAACATCTCAGAACGAGGAAGGAGAGTTTGAAATTCAGTAGAATTGCTTCAAATGAAAAGTAACCGATGGTATAAATTGCTTGTCTTAGTGCCCATACATATGTGTACCATTTCAGGAAGGGGTATGATTTGTATTTCATGAACCATTGGGAGCTACTATTGGTGAAATAAGTTGACACAAAAACGAAAGGGAGTAAATGAAAAAATATATAAACTTGCTGTTGAGTAATTAGAAAATACTGCTGATAGTATTCTGGAAAGCTTGAAATTCAGTAAAATCGCTTTGAACGAAAAGTCATCAATGGTATAAATTGCTTGTCTTAGTGCCCATACATATGGATATCATTTCAGGAAACGGTGTAATTTGTGTTTCATAAACGATTGGGATTGACACAGAAACGAAGGGAGAAAACAAAGAAATATATAAAATTGCTGTTGGGTAATTAGAAAATACTGCTGATAGTATTCTATCAGACAAGTGTGTATGGAACGCCGTTTTACTTTTTATTGTCACAAATATTCATTCCTCCATTTATTCAACTAACAATGTATTTGTTTGAATTTAATTGATTCATGCATTTGTTCGACACATTAAAAACGATTGTTCCCAAAATTGTTTGTTGAATTTACTCGAATAATACATTCCATTGATTGTTGAATTAAAATGTTGGTTTATTGCTGAGTTGAACTATATGTATATAGATTATTTTTCAGCATAATATATAATAAATTGGCGTTCCATTTTCCAATACTCTGAAACAATATTTTTCTTCGGAATCAATAAAAGCTTCAAGTTATTTCATTATTCTTTTTTATTCAAATAACAATTTTATTCATGTAACATTTTAAATCAAGTGTCATTTAAAATAGAACAAATTTAGCGAACAATCGTTTTTAATGTTTCGAAAAAATGCATGAGTCAATTAAATTCAAACAAATAAATTGTTAGTTGAATAAATTGAGGAATGAATATTGGTGACAATAAAAAGTAAAACGGCGTTCCATAAGTGTGCTTATATGTTTTTTCTTCTACCGAATAAATTGTTAACTATCAATATAACACGATATGTCTCATGCTTTCAAAGTATTTCAATTGTGAGACAAATATTCCAATTTGCCATCGAAAAATTGTGATGTCAAAATCTTTTTCAAATCTGATTGGATGCTGAAAGTATGCAGTACCAACATATACATACTGGGTTGAATCTCTGGGGTCAATCAACGCTATTTGCAGGAATTTTGATTCTTCTTATGTTTTATCTTTGCCTTCCTGAAAAACACAGTTTTCTCTTTAGAAATAATCTCGCTCTCTTTCCCGCCTTTTCCTCCCTCCCTCTTCTGAAGCACTATTATTGCTTTTGAGTGCGTTGAGAATAGGGAACTTGCATGAAAAATTATTCACGAAAATTACATTGAGAATACAAAGATATCATTTTAATAAAGCTTTTATTACCAAAAAACAAATTTTTTAAATACTATTCATTCTATAGAAACAATTAAAACTAATTAAACAGATTTTTATATAGATTTTTTAATTAATACAGTTCATTGTATGATTTTCACTCTAAAGGGTTTTACAAAAACTGCGACTCGTGTTTGGCTATACAATAGCTTCCTCAAGTGTGAAGTATTTGTGCACGAAGGCACAATGGAATATTTGTAATATTGTTTGCATCACATTACCTTCAAAATTGAAAGCCTTGTTAGATTTATAAACTCAACAAAACAGAATCAAGGTTAAACACAAATCACGAAACTATACAACTCAATAATACTAATCTATCAAAACAAAGGACCTCATCACATTTCACACAAAATCGTTTCGCTGCAGCTGCTTAAATAAATAGATTCAAACGGCAGTCACAGCCTGCGACATATGCGTGCGCCCGGATTGATACAGTATGACATCATGACAATTCGCGCCTTTACATGCTTGTTTGAATTGGTTTTTCAATGTAAGAAACATTTAATATTTTTTATAAACCGACTATTGATATTTCACTGCTCATATTTTGCAATAGTCAATAGTTATCACAGCAGAACACATTTACGATGTAAAAAAATCTACAAGTTCCTTATTGTTGATGAGCCAGTAACATACAGCTCTTCATTAGTTTCCGGGATGTTTCTGTTAAAGATATTATTTCTCTTCACAAAGTGTTGGGGAAGGTATCTTTTGGTTTCCTTTTACCTGTGAGGTCTAGATTATCTTTTTTGTCTTAGGTTACTTTTTCTGTAGCATATACAGAATTTTCTAAATTCTCATTATCGAGGGTAATATTAGTCTCGGCAGGCGTTATTCCTATTGCCTCATTTTCTTGTACCTCTATTTCCATTCCTTCCGCTCCTCTATTTGGAAGTGGAGTCTCATTCTCGAGGTGCAGTGCGTCCCCACTATGTGCCATCGGTCTGTCCACTTCGAGAATAGACACTCCTTCTCAGCTTTCTGTTCTTAATTTAATTCCAATGCTTTCTCAGATTGAGTTCCAGCCATTCTGCTTTCCAAATATCTCGGATAACTTCTCTCCCCGTAGGAGAGGTGCTGACAATGTAAGGTTCAAGTATGTCTCCTCGGGGAGAGCATGTATCCACATAATTCTTCTATTAACTTCAATCTCTGCTGCTCTTGAGATTGCACAATTTTTGCATAGATATTAATTACACCTTTTTTTCTAGTGATAAGGCTATAAGGCTAGATAAGGCTATATCATCTCTGATAATGCGTTCAGTTCAGATCATGTTTCCTCATCATCCGTGATACATGAAATTCGGAATTGATTATAGTTAAATTCTTCATTCTCTTTGACCTTCTCCAAGTTTCTGTTTAAATCTGTTTAAAATCTGTTTTTCCGTTAATCAGCTGTCGCCCCCATACGAACGACAACTCTCAGAAGTTGAGAAACTTGTGCGAGCTAAGGACTAACGAGGTCTTACCTTTTAAGGAGTTGATTTTTCGCCTACGTTTTGGATTGTGGGAGAAGGTTTTTTACCCTTTTTCTTGGCATCTGGGAAAGTTTCATCACCCTCAATGACTTTTTATGATTTTTAGGGTAGCAGGTGGATTTAACTCTACCTCATTTTTTTCCTTCGAATACTGCTGCCCTATTGCTGCTATTTCAGGTTTCTGTCTCGGAATCTGCATCCCAACGCGTTGGGGTTACAGATCTAGTTTTGAAACTTTTTTCTTTGATTTATCCTATGGAGGATTTTGAGGGGGTATGTCTTAAGTTTTAGGGTTTTTAACACTAACGCTAAGTAGGGTGGATTTTATTTCACAAAGTCACACCAAAAGTGTTGTGAAATTGGATCTTCAAGTTTACCATCAACAGAAAATGTATTTGTGATGCAGTATTGGAAACTTTGGTGTAGTAATGAATATCATTGGAGTTTTTTCCCCACACAAAACCGTTATTTTAACACCTCGATACGCATTTCGATCACCAAGTGATCATCTTCAAGAGGAAGATTAAACTGTTTAGGAATTTAATCTTCCTCTTGAAGATGATCACTTGGTGATCGGAACACCTGTCGAGGTTTCAAAATAACGGTTTGGTGTTGGGAAAAACTCCAGTGATACTCAACTGAAAGTATGGTAAAAAGTATTCTCCTCTAGAGAGTCACTGAAAGTGCGGCGAAGGTTGAACTTTGCGAAATTTTAGGAATAACAAAAAGTGTAGTGAGCTTCCAATTTCCTACACTTTCCAAAATATTTGCAGAGCAAAAAAAATGCCAACGAAAGTTTCTTTGCTGAGTGGGAAGTGTTCCAAAAACTCAGTACACTGAAAATCACTTCGTGAATACTATCGGAAACTGTGTTAAAAAACTCAAGAGCTAACGGATTCTGGTGGACCCTATCGTTCGAGCTGAACTAACAAATTATATCTGCAACCAATAGAGCAAAATCACAGAGATGGGTAATAATGTTTATGCAAATGTGAGGTACTTGAATGCTGGTAGCTAGCAATTTATGGACAACCCAAATCATTTCAGAAGAATATGATGAATACCCAACAGAAAAACTGTACAAACTAGTACAGAAAATAAGATGTTCAGTGGATGTTATTAAAAGTTGGGAGGGGAAACTCAATAAGCTCATGTCTCACTATTCTAAGATAATTATTTTTGTTTAGAAACATTTCGAAAACATTTCAAAAATTATATTATTATACAATTCTAATGAAAAAACGGTTCACGATAGTAGTAATGATAGTTTATGAAAAATTACACGTTTCTAATGAAATACGTGGCATATATTTACGAACAAATGTGATAATTTTTTATAATCCTATCATGATCTAATATTAATGTTCATCAAATATGCAAAAATTCAAGAAATATATGTAGGGAATGAATCATTGGCAAAGCTAAGGAGTTTTATGTTTGCTTTTATGCTGATACTGGTGCAATTGGAAAAATGGTCAAAAAATCAAAACTTTCTTATTCAACTGATTTTGCGTATAAATTGTGTTTTAAGATATAATCCACTTTCGGTTTTTTTTTTTTTTCGAAAAAAATCGAAATTTGACAGGTAATAAGAATTACGTGGATAGTCGGCCATCTCAGTCGAAGCAGCAAATTCAAATTTCGAATCTGTTCAAATTTGTTTAAAATCTGTTTTTCCGTTAATCAGCTGCCGCCCCCATACGAACGACAACTCTCAGAAGTTAAAAAACTTGTGTGAGCTAAGGACTAGAAGCTATCAATAAAAAATACATTATGATACGGAGTTCACTTGGCATACATGTATACTAGCATAACTTATATTCAGTATCTATTTATTTCTAGTTCTTCATACCTAACTAGTGACTCTCCTAGTGCTTACATGACTTTTTTGGCAAATCTTTCAATACCATGGATTACATTATTTGAATTTTGATACAAATCACTATTTTTTTTACCAAATACCGCCCATGTTACTTACTGATAATGAAGGTACAAAATTATTGTTAAAAACGCGGTTAGATATTTTACGGGTCTATTTATTAGTTTAGATTCATACTTTTACTTTTACACCGAGATATTGTTTTATTCACATAAATAAATTATTTGAAAATCCCCAAGTGTACAAATTTCAACTTTGGGCAGTATAGAGACAAGAACTGTCTTATAAAAAATATATGAACTACCTTCTGTTGGTCCTGTTTCGATACACTGTTCAACTTTACAGAACTAAATCAAACAAACTGGACAAAAATGATAGTTCCTTTATAAATAGTATATAAATGCACTCCGAAATCAACAATGTTTTTCGCAGACTGGAAACGAATATACGCCAAGCGATAAGAGACTAATGAACGCCATATGTGAGTTTTTGATAACGGAACTTTGTTTGATAATGTATGTGAAAAATTATCGGGAGATAATAAGATATCAATCCATCGAACATTGTAAACAATCAAATGGAAAAATCAATTGAAATAATATTGAGGAGTATGAATCAGATCTTAAATCTCATTGAATAGAAGCTATCTGCATAAAAGAAACCGTGGTTCATGATATAAGTATGATAATCAATGAAAATTATTCTGGATTTGGGAAAAAAATTGTTTGGCACTATAAATTATATTTGGAATACACTGTTCTGTTACTTGATGAAAATCAATAACACTATTCATAGTATTCATGATAATAATACAAGTTTTCGCAATATAGACTTTATTTCCAATACGCAATTCACAATGCAACATATACAAATTATCGACCTCAATTAATAGAGATTGGTAAATAGGTATCCAGCAGATACAGAGCAGGTAAAATTTTTCGAATAATTCTAGGAAAGTTTTCATTAAAAAATGGTGAGAAATCAACTTTCTGTTGGTATTTCAGTAGGAAATTTGATTGTTTACGTTTATTGATTTCAAGGAATTACAGCAGGTTGAATTGATTTTCTTCATTTCTAAACTTCTTTTGTGTTCGAAAATTCTGGTTTCGAAATTTCAAGATATTCTTCCAATACAAAATTTTAGGCACGTGCCACATTTTAGCTTGTAGATACATGAGTTGTTGTCTCTGTTGGTGTTGGATGGCGAAGTTCTATTTATTCAGTTACTCATCTTTTCTGATGCCTTATCTTCGATGTGACGGTATACTTGTTTAACGGCTTGTTTGAATGGTTTTGTGTCGAGAATGTGATGAATCATGTCCGGCTTGAAGTTGTCATTTTGCGATATGTTTTATCAAATTTAGTTCTGAATTTGAGAGGCCAGAAATTTCAACTCATGGCTCTAGGGAAAGCAACCGATTTCGGATTGGTTTGCCGAGGGGCAGATCGTTCTTATCCTCAAAAAATTTCTAGATTCCTAAAAATTGCAGACCAACTTGCTACGTAAATTCATGCATACTCAATGAAAGTGACGAAGTGATAGTATATATAAAAGATACAATCGATTATAACGAATGTATAAAAACTCTAAATAAAATAAAAATTATTGAAATTATTATGAATTACGAAATTGTATCTGCTATTGATGTTGAACACAATCTATAATTAGTTTCGAATTATTTTCCATTACTCAGTTCATGTTGCTATTAAAGTGATTTTTTTTTTAGATTTTTGAACTGATATTTATTTTACACTTTTTAATTTTGCTTGCTATTTCAAACCCATTTGTTTTGATATAAAATATAAATGGATTCGCAGACATTGTGGTTGTCTCACTTGCTCTCACACAGATACTGTGTAAGGAAATTATTTAATCCTGACGACTCTAATCAAGAAAATGAGATAAACTCAGGAAGTTATTTTATTGTCACCGATTCTTGATAAGTGTAAAAAGTTTAAAATACATCTGTCCGTGAAAGAGACGATTACAAACAAGCAAATATACTAGTGAAGCTAATATTGCTTTGTTTGAAGGTGATTGACAAAGTTTCATGATGAATTCCACTAGTCCGGACTTCCATTGTCTACTATATGAAATGATTTGGAATCCCTGAAACAACTAAAAAGAAGAATTAAAAATGAATAGCTGAAAATAACAATTATATTCAGCAAAATAAACCTGAAATGAAATAATAGTGAAATAAAATACAAGTAAAATAGAACAATTGAACAAAAATAAATAAAAATAAAGAAATGAAAAAGGAAAATAAAAATAAAAAGTTGAAGGATTCCAAGTCACGTTAGTTCACGAAGTTTCGATTGGTAGTATCTACAATCGTCTTCGGGTGATGACTGCTATTCATTTTTAATTCTTCTTTTTAGTTGTTTCAGGGATTTCAAATCATTTCATATAGTAGCCAATGGAAGTCCGAACTAGTAATATTAGCTTCTTAAAATTATTGTTTCAAAATTTCTGGTAATATAAGCAACTAGCTACCCGCCCCGCTTCTGCTCGAGTGCAATGCTGGTACTAAATATACTACAGAATGTCTTTATGTACAACGTTCACAGCTTTTATGTCAGTAGGCAATACAAACAGTTTTTTTTATTAGAGGTTACCCTCTTGAAAGAGCGACATATAATTGGCCCGGTACCGCCGACACTGCTATGTCCCTGCATTTTAAATCTGTTATATCTTCGAAAATATTCATTCAAATTACATGCTGTGATGGGTCATATTGATCACATTATGAACGGATAATATGATGGATATATTAAAGATAATTTTATAAACGCGCCTTTTTTCCCGCGGTTGTCGTCTTACTTGGAACGTTTAAAAATCATTTTTTATTACACATCTAGAAGATGAAACGAACCTACATACAAAATATCGGCCTTCAAAAATATAGAGGTACGAAGAAACTTTTACTTTTACCCCCACGAGGGATGCTTCAGTTGAAATATTTGAAAATACTTCCTTAGTACGCAGCTGAGACCTAAGAAGCACCAATGTACCAAATGTTAGCTTCCTGAGACTTGAACTATTTGAAAATCCTTCCTTAGTACGCATCTGAGACCCAAGAAGCACCTATGTACCAAATTTTAGCTTCCCAGGACGTACCAGTACGGAGAAACAGTATGGATTTCGAAATAATAAAATATGTTGTTCCTAAGGGAACACTACTTGGCCCTATTCTTTTTTATACTTTCTCTAAATGACATTTTTCTGGCTGGTTTCAAAGGAGACATCGTGAGCTTTGCAAATGACACTGCCATAATGTATAATGCTGACAGCTAGGAAAAATTGAAATTTTTTGCGGAAAAGGATTTCAAGAATATCATGCTATGGTTTGACAGCCGTTTGCTCACAGGATATATCCATAAGACTTATTTCATTCCATTAACCTCATTTACTAGATATTTACCTGATTTTGAAACGTTGATCATGAAGCTGGTAAACAAATATATCATCTACAATGAGTAATAAATACCTGGGTGAATATACAGATGTCCACCTGAAATTGGACGTACATATCGATTACACGAGTAGAAAATTGAGAACTATATTTTAAAAAATGAAGTTACTAACTATCATCTACATTGACACTGGAACTCACAGCATTTTGGAAATGACCTCTGACTTTATGCCTCCAACTGTTAACTGCCTTATAAAATACTGTTCCTGAGTAGAGAGGACTGAATCCTCCGGGAGAAGGAAATATCAAGAGCAGATGGTTGTTGGTTCACAGATGGATCAAAAATACCTTCCGGTTCTGGTGCAGGTGTTTCCAGTCTCAGACCCACGACAGATATATCAACCTGCATAGGATCCTATGCGACTGTATTTCAAGCGCTATTGAATTGTGTGCGGAAAGATTAGAAGAATCCAACCTCATTCACAAATCAATAAAAATATTCGGGGACAGTCAAGCGGCGTTGGGAGATCTTGGCTCCTACCAAGCAACGTCTAAATCGGTAGCAAATTGGCAAAAACGACTCTTCTCGATTATAAGACTCAACAGATTGTCTCTGGTCTGGATTCCTGGCCATACAGGGCTGCTGACTCCCTTGCACAGGACGGTGCTGCAAGCAGCTCCTGTGCAAGGAGTCACACAATGACAGGAGCGATGCCTGTCATTGGCATCGCTCTAGGCTTTGCCAAACAAAGATTGAACACCTGGATGGCAAGAATATCTATGGACTTCTGGCAGAATCTTCAAGGATTGGCTCACTCCAAGGCATTCATTCACCCTTCGCGAAGCCCAAACAGTTGTTGAACTACAATAGGGATGAACTACGATGTCTAATAGGCCTTCTTACAGGTCTGAATCATCATATGCAGAGACTCGGACTGTCGGAAGACAGTGTGTGTCGCCTCTGTTTGGAAAATTATGAAACAGCAGAGCACATACGTTGTGCCTGCCCCGCTGGGGACCGAATCAGGTTTTTAGAGTTCGGCAGAGCCATACTCTCACCATCTGACTTGAAAGACCACTCACCAAATAAACTAATCGGCTTCGTTAAGAAGCTGGGTTTATTTTGTCAAGTGTGAATAGGTGTTAGCCACAATAAACCCTTGCGGGTTACGGTGGAGGGTCGAATAGACCCACTCACTTTGAACCTGACATAACCTAACCATTTACAACTACCTGTAATCTGTAATATACTTTTCGCTAATATAAAGTCACTTAACGAATGGAATAATTGTGTAGAGTGCTGCACTGATATTTCATATAGCATGAATTGAAACAATACAAAATCTATTAATCAAAAACCCATAAAGAATTTTCCGGAATAACTATTTTCAAAACAACAATTTATCAGCAATCAATAGATCATAGCTACAACGTAAGGAATAAAATATAATGTTACTCAATTATTACACCTGAAAAAATAATATGAACGACAACTCTCAGAAGTTGAGAAACTTGTGATTCAACGTGTGATTCATAACATATAAATATTGAATTACACGAAAGAAAAAAAACTTTCGAAACAAATACTTTCATATGAACACTGAATTATACCGAAGACAATCTAGATAACATTATTATAATGTTGATACTGAAGAGCCCTAAGGCAAGTGTCTTACGGTGAAACATCGGTGTCTACCAGTGAGGATGACAGTGTTCCATTTTAGTGAAATTTGTTACCATTCATTTAGTGTTCATATAAGAGTATTTGTTTCGAAAGATTTTTTTCTTTCGTGTAATTCAATGTTAATATGAAAGTAGCTGTTTCAGGAGGGCTTTTTCTTCCAGTTTGTGTCTGAAAGTTATTTCTTTGCATGATACGCATCCATGTATAGAGTTACGTTGAAATTGATTACTTCTTTCCTATCTTTGGAAGATTCCCACATTTTTTGTATCAAGATGGAGTAGTAGAAAGCCAAAAACTTTCTTTCCCAGAATTCCTTCTATTATTGAAAATATAATAGTACTTTCTATCCTTCCATATGTTCAGGCTTGATCTTCTGTATTGGTTGATCAGAACTTGCTTTCCATTATGATTTGTCATAAATCTTAATGCATAGCAGTATTTTCGTAGTTCATTACATAGTGTGCTGCTATGAAAACACCAAGGAAGTTTATGATCAAAAGTAAGACCAATCATTGTCATTATGGAAGTTGAGACTACCTCCAATTGGCTATTTTCATAGATTTCGAATGTATTCGTAGGCATAAACAACGTAAACTTGTATACTTCTTATTGAGATTCAGGGTGAAGTGGTTTTTGTTGGCCCATATAATCACTCTGTCATATATCGTCTCTGTTGTTTCAACGAGTGTTACTTTACTTTGAGCAGTGATAATGTTTATAACATCAGCATATGCAGTTCGTTTTCATATATCAAACAGATACTGAACCAGGAAGAATTGAAATCAAACTTGGACAAGACTTACTACAAACAATTAAAGAAAGCAAGAACTTAGGTTTGTGGCTAGATGCTGACCTGAGATTTCACAAACATATAAATTCACTTTGTCGTAGCTTGTACAGTATCTTACGTCAACTCTATCAAAGTAGAGATATTATGACTTCTAAACTGAAGTTGAAACTTTGCAAAACCCACATATTGTTTAAATTAGCATATTGCGATATAATCTACGAGCCCGCTTTGATACAATTGATGTAAATCGCTTACAAAAAATACAAAACAATTGCATTCGTCTTTCTTATGGTGTGAGAAAATTCGACCATATATCCCCCAAGTTCGAGGAGTCAGGTTGGTTACCCATTGCTAAAACCTGGCAGCTCCACCTATTCATCAATACACATAAATTTTTCATTTACAAAAAGCCAAATTATATTTATGAAAGATATAAAACTTTCAAATCTCAGAATAATTCGAGGACACGAAACCTTCACACTCTTATTATTCCAAAACACTCGACAGCCTGCTTTTCTCGTAGTTTCATTTACAACTCTATCAAACAATGTAATGCTCTGCTCAGTGAATTTAGACACTCTTTCATATATAATTTCAAGAAAAAGTTGAAAACATATCTGAAGTTTTCTGGATAGATAATATATTCATGTTATGCCTTGCTAAATTGGTTTTCCCTTTGTCTCACTTTTGTGTATGTTTTGCTATATGTATATTTTACCTATAAATTTAAGCTAAATAGATTTTCAATATTTACTTTGAAATCTAAAGCCTTTGTTTTTTTCTTTGTTTCACAAAGATTCATGAACTACCCGCTTATTAATATAAACTAGGTAATTATTTTTATATTTCTGTATAATACATCACCTAGGTTAAGTTGTGAAACAGCCTCAGCTGAACTTTGCCGTTTCATTGATTTTTTGTATTTACTTCTTCTTTATAAACAATGTAAGTCAATGAATAAAGCCCATTTATTATTATTATTTATACATCCCTGTGGGATGCTCCAACGAATTGAATTTTCCATTCGCAATAAAATACTTGTAGGATGAAGATTCATTAATTTTACTATAAATCCGGTACACACATGATCCTCTGGATTAATTTTTATGGAATCATTGAAAAATACTCTGTAGTTGTATTGGCTCGCTTGTCTCTCTTAGTAATTTTCGAATTCTTCTCTTTCTTGGGCTTAGTACCCATTCCAACTTTTTATTTTTCCCTTTTATCGTGCTTCCACTCGCAATACCGGTTCTCATGGCTATGGCGTGAAATTCCTTTGGTAGCTGAAAAAGTTGCATATTAGTGTATGTCTCAGTAACAGTTTATTTTGAATATATTTCACGACAATAAAAATTTCAATTGTAACAAAACCATATCAGTTTGTTTTTTTTTTCTGAAATTATTCATTTTTGTATCCATAAAACAATCAAGGACTACAAAATTACGAACTTGAATGAACAATAATCTGAGCATATTGAGTGTAAAGAGAATATAATTAATTTTAACACTGATATACAGGGTGTTTCCGTAAAAACAAGGTGAATTTCTCATGAATGGGATTTGGGAATAAAGTTCGCTCCAACTTGTTGCTTCTTATTTTGAGAGGGGATCTTTTTGCGCCCAATATCAATATTTCCCAACCTGGGCGCCAGGTAAAATCCAACCCTGTATTGAACGGAATCAGTGGTCAAACGCCTAATTTGAAAAGTCATCGATTTTCCTTTTCAACGCCTTTCACTTTTCAGAATTTGATGTAGTGGATATCGAAAAAAGACCCTTTGTAATAATCAACAAGTTGACATCAAGAAAATTTTTGACTTTACCAAGGAGGGATAATGAAATTCAAAGTTCACCCACTATATTACTTCATTTTCACTTCAACATGTATTTAGAATGTTGGACCATACAGTGACGAAGATTTTGTTCGAAGCGCTTGGCATTGCTAAAGTACCTAAAGTACATGAAGTACCTGCACGCTATAATCAACGGAGTATTCCCGGAGTTATTTACGGGATCAACCTCATCTTTGTTCTCTAACAACAGACGGAGAATATTTATATGACCCCTTTTAGTAGCATGATGTACTGCTGTCCACTTGTGGTTATCGACAGCGTTGACAAAAGCATCATGTTTCAAGAGGCATTCGACGATTTGGTGTTTCCGTTGATAGTAGCTCTGATCAGAGGGGTTTCTCCAAAATTATTTTTCATACCTAATTTGGCTCCCCACTTGATTAGTTGTTCACAAGTGACCCTCTTGAAGCTGCGATGTGTAACGCAGTCCATTTTTCTTTGTTGCTGTGAATAATGTCCGCATTTTCGTCCTTCAGGAGCTCTGCGATATCAGGTTTATAATTGATTACACTGAAAATGAAAGGAGTGTTTCCAACGGAGTGTTCAGTATTAATTTCAACTCCAGGACAACTGAGGATATTTTCCGTCCAGTACGTATTCTTCTCTTGGACGGCATAGTGTAGAATGCTGTTACCTCCATTATTCTTCTGATTGAGAACGTTGCTGGTTATTTCAAGTTGCTGAAGAATGTTTAAAACATCTTTATACTTTGGATTGAAGGCAATATGAAGAGGAGTATTGCCTTCATGGTCTGTTTCCCATCTTCCCATCTTCCTTAGGTTAGACCCAGACATGCTTCTCAGACACACAAACAAATACATTTGAATTGTGAATTTTATTAGTTCGACTTTCATTGTATGATATGACATAAAATGATTTGAAATTCCTGAAAGAATCAATAAAATTGAAAAGAATAGCTGAAAATGAAAATTATTTTGAGCAAAAAAAATCCTGAACTGAAATTACAACAAAAATAAAATACAAGTAAGAATTGAAAATTGAACAATTATTAAGAAGTAAAAAAATATTGAAAATTAAAAATTAAAAGATTTGAAGCCAAGTTACTTCACGACGTTTCGATCCCTAGCATCAACAATCGTCTTCGGGTGATAAGGCGTCTGAATTTCGTGTTGTTCAATATCAAATGATTTCGCCTTATGGTCGCTTTGATTCCGTTATTTTTGGCTTCATTCAAATATTGATCGTCTACATCATAAATATATTTTCTTTGAGTATATATAGGTTTCTTTGAATTTCTATTTTTTTTATTTACTTTTTTATATACTAGCTCCAGTTTCAGTATTATTTTCTTATTTGTATCACTAGTGGAAAAAAATATTGTTGATGTCTTTCAAATACAAATCAATTTCTAGAATATTTTTCAAATAGTCTTACAATCGTCGCGATTATCAAACTGAAATCCGACTACAATAAAATTATTCCTCCGAAGTTTGTTATCCAACTGAATGATTTCTCCTTTCAGTTTAGCGTTTTTTACTTCAAGGGATGTTATTTTGTTGTTAGCTTCCATCAGATCAGCTTTTATTTCAGATAATGTTTTCTGTGTTTTATCTGATTTGGTATTTTGGTTAATCAGCAGCTCCTTCGAAGTTACTTCTTAGGGCATTTTGTGCATTGACACAAATTTAGAAAATTACCCAGGAAGAGAGTAATGCGTCCAAACTAATAGGAAAGAATGGAATGCTTCTTCAACTTCGAGAGATAACGTCCGTTTTTTGTAGTACGTTTATGTCGTGATTGATCAACTGACACACCAAATGTCTGCTGGATAATGTAATTCTAATTATTTTACTGTTATATGAATGACATCAAATCACTCACCGTCTAAAGGTGGAAATCTGTGCAAAAACGCAGCATTTACATGTTATGTAAAAAAAAATCAAACGATTAATAAATTAAAAAAAGAACCAAACAATGAAATCCTACAACAAGAGTTTAGGTATTACAAAAAAAATACTCAAAAAACTAATTAAAAAAGTATAATCGGATCATTACAAAAAAAAAATTTGAAATAAATAAAAATAAATCGAAGCAATTATGGCAAACAAATCCCTAACTCTACAGAAATAAACAGCATACACTCAAAAGTTGGGTACTTATGTGTCAACAGAACCGATATAAATAGCAAATAATTTTAATGACTACTTCATAAATATAGGTTCAAAATTGGCAAAAAATATGGCTATAGAGAAATTAAAAAAAAATTGTGAAAATTATCTTTTTCTCCTCCTAACAAATCCTTAAAAGATTAAAAGTGTTATACCAGAGCTAAAGAATAAATAATCGCTTGGACTTAAAATCAGAAATCATAGTAGACTTCATAAAGATTCCGCTTACATATATCTATAATCTATAAAGCATTTGATACAGTTCAATTTCCTACAGTATTCAAGCTAGCTACTGTTGTTCCAATTTACAAAAATGGTAATAGAGCTGAGATGTCTATCTGTCGCCCCATAACATTGATATCTAACTTGTTTGAATAAATGTTATTATTATTATTATCATATTATTGAATAACTTTTCTCGGGAGCTCACTTATACACGTTTAAACAGTTGACTCATGTTTTCTGTTTCGAGGTCAAACTCGTGATTTCAAGATTAAAATCGAAATTTCGAGTTTCAAAGTCGTAATTTTCAAGAAGAAAATTACTAAAATGTATATGGAACTTCTGAGCTTTCATATCATTTCGACACCTGCCTCTACACAAACTCAATGGCATTGGTGCCATATGACCTAGTTCTCAAACGAAATAAATTTCACTCGAGTGAGTATGGTTCAACATTTTTGTATTTGAAGAAATCTGAGGTTTTTTGATCAATTTGTCTGAATGATTCCAAAAATATGATTTGGCAATACTGACGAACCGTCAAACCGTTGCCTATATTCCCATGAATTGGTTGGGTTTAACAAAACATTGTGTGACATTGAGTTCATTCTTCATTTGATAACTCCACTTATATTCCTTCTATCGTTTTTAGGTTACTGTTGAATAGGTTAGTGGAAAACGGAAAATATACCATGTTTTACCGTACAAGAATTAGTTCTGGGAATCCCCTACGCTCTATAAGTATAAATTACCTTGGTCCTGTTTTGATGCACTAGCCAACTTGTACTTCAATAATTGCAGCAATGATCAAACGTTGAGAGAAATATAGTTCCCAGAGAAATGTCCCCAATAAACTGAAATAACTTTGATCGTCTTCTACTTTGTGTGAACACTATTCATTCACTATGACAATTTTTGCTACCGACGCGATTAAGACTAGACGGCATCAAGACTTAATCCAATGTTGCCACTTCTCAGATATTTATTCGAATGGCGGATATTTTCAGACGCAACGGATAATTTTATCAATCGGATAAAACTGAATAATTCTGTCAATACATTGAGATCAAATAAAATTTTTTTGAAAATCCAGCACATTCGAATTTCGCGCCTTCTAATGTTTGAAAGTGGTCATTGCGTTGATTTGTAACTTGCAAAAAAATATTTAAATGTAAGGAAGATATAAAAAAATGTTTTCATTAAATTTGAAGTGAATCACCAACTTTGAATTCAAAATTTCAACTTCAATCTCGAAATTTCGACTTCAATCTCAAAATAACGAGTTTGAAATTCCGAAATGAAGGTCGAAATTTCGAAAATCGTAATTTTGAGATGAAAAGAAGAAATTTTGGTGAAGCAATTTCATTCACGAGACTTCATCTTGAATGCTTATTTGTAGAATACAAAAAGTAATATAAACTTCATTGAAAACCTTCATAAGAAAATAATCTGCAAATGAATTTGAATCAATTATGTTTATTTGAGATCGAAAGTAAAGAAAAATTTTCAGCTCAGTTTCACCAGTTTTTTATGAAATCACAACGTGGAATCTATAAAATAATATAAGATTTGTTTATTTTTTCAATAACATTGACTTCTAATCCATTGCTAGCATTTTTAATACCTGACACATCTAAGAATGTTGGTTCTTCATTATTTTCAATTTCGTCGGAAAAACTTTATTTTCCTGGGATTTCACCTGCGTCGGTACTTTGACTCCTTGTCACATTCCTTCGACTTCTGTATCCAGCGGTGCAGCAATTTCATCAGCGGAATTGTCAAAAACACGAAAATAAAATTATTTGGGAGATAATTTCATTTTTGATGGAATAGGGATCGAAACATTTCGTACTTTTTGACCCCAAGTATTGGATTGCATTCATGAAATCGGCATTGGGATCTCCAAAGAGATGAATGACGCAAAAGCTACCTCTTTCATGATTCAAAAAATTAGCATTCTGATTCAAAGAGGAAATGCAGCTTCATGTTTAGGTACAATTCCTCAATCAAAAACCCTATGTGAATTATTTACCAATGTTTCCCATGAACAAAATATATCGGCATCTACCTATGATGGTACGGCCAATTCTATCCTCCTATCCTCATCCCCAATCGAGCATTATCTGTCACAAATCTCTTTCACAGTCCCCTAAAGATCTAATATCCAATTCAGTTTTGAGCAGTTCTGCTTCGAATTCCTTATCCTACCAATCCAATGAAACGGCGAATCATCGTATCCGTGTTTACTCAGAAGTTACTGAACAGTTACTACAATATATCGGTAATACATTCGACAATCAAAACTCTTGGGTTCAATGGGTTAAAAAATCTTGAATACACCTGTTTCATGAACAGTGTAATCCAATGTTTAACAAACACGGCATGGTTGCTGGAATACTTAAAAAAGGATACATACTTGGAAGATATCAATACTAGTATTTCTAGTATGAAAGGTGCTTTAATCAAAACGTTCGCAAAAGTTATCAAGGAATTGTGGTCAGAAGATTCATCTGATAGAGTAATGAACACAGTCTACTTCAAAAGTTAGATTCAAAGATTGGCCCCTCAATTCATGGGTTCTGCCCATCAGGACGCCCACGAATTCCTTCGATATCTTTTAGGACCTCAACAGAATTACTGAGAAACCTGATCCGATCTTAACGGAGATTGACGAAAAATTTAGCGACAGCAGAAAAGCACAAGAATCCTGGCTGAGATATTGGAATATGAACAACTTTAAGATTGTAGACTATTTCGTTGGTCAATTAAAATTCACTATGAAGTGCACACACTGTGGACACTCATCAGTAACCTTTGATTCTTTCTGGGATTTGTATCTTTCCATATCACAAAGAAATGGCCAATTGAGTTTGTCACATTGCTTCGGTTCTTTCACAAGAGAGGAAACTCTGGATGAAGTTGAAAAACCAATGTGTTCGAGGTGCAAGCAAAGAAGAAAATGTACAAAGTCCTTATCAGTTTCCACTTATTTTAGTAATTATTTGAAAAGATTCTCTCCAACGGAAAGATTCAGTGGCAAATTGAATGTTTCCATTGACTTTTCATCAGATGGATTAGATACGAGAAATTATACAGCAGACAATGTGGCTCCTTGTCGTTATAATCTATATGCACTTTCAAATCACACTGGAACTGCTTACAACGGGCATTACACAGCATATTTCAGACACCCATATAGTGGCACGTGGCATGAATACAACGATTCAGACGTGTTCCCAATTTCACCAAAATCACTTGTGAGCGATGAGGCATATGTCCTCTTTTATGAACAGGAGGAAAAGAAGCAGCACCTTTGAGGTGATTTTTTTTCTTCTTCCTTTTTGTATAATCTTAGTTCTCTGAATTGATTTGTATTTCATGATTATTCCAAATTTCATTATGTATTGTAATTTAAATAACTTTCCTGGGTGAAACTTGAAATTTGAAGATATGTTGTTCGGAATAGGGACAAAGTCCTCTGTCTCATATAACTTATCTCTTGCATCTGTTTAAATCTGTTCATGAACAGATTTACTATGAACGAATACAGTGAGTTTTCCATTACTGTGCCCTCGTGCTTTGTGAAAACAGTTGTCAAATCGAAAGTAATCCTGGTTTCATGCAGATTTTTGTGGATAATATATTCGTTTGAATTTTTCTTCTGAGGAAAACAATGTTCTACAAATATCTTATAGTTTTTGCTACATTAACAGTTAAAAAAATAATTTCCCCTACTCATCAGTGGTAATTACCCACACCATAAAATGAAATGTGGAATTGAGTAAAACCATTTTATTGACTGAAGAAAATATGAGCATTTCCACCTATAGAATCCAAGGCAACTAGTTGAAACTAAGTTTCAGAAACAAATTATTCGTAACTCGAAACCAGACAGCACTATTTCTACCTACCATTATGTACCCATCAGTAGTGCTAGGCTGAATCACGCATGCATGGTTCGACTCAACTGTCCCTCAAGGACCAGCCTGAGTACAAGTGAGCATAGACATCTATCATTTCACTGCAGAAGACGTGACTCCTTCGGTTGTGCAAGGCTGCACCTATATTGATTCCGTATTTTTCCCGACCCGATGTGAGACGACCATCGGACGCCCCGCGATCCGATGCAGTCCGTTGTAACTGCCTACACTGGACTCGGTTCGACCCGATAGGTTAACAGTTAAAATTGTGTTTTGGGGGTAATTATGAGTGACTCTGAAGATGATTTTTTGTGATGGCTTAAACAAGAAAAGAATGTTCTCCTCAATAGGAGACGTAGGAAAAAATTATGGGTGCATCAGTTTAATGAAGATAAATCTGAAGGGGAATTTTTCAAAACTTCCCCACTTATAAGAAAATATCCGGATAGATTCAAGGACTACCATTGTATGACTATGGAAGCATTTAACTATATTCTTGAGAGCATGAAAAACGATATAACTGGCCAGTCTAACTTCAGAGCCCTTTTACCAGTAATTGGTCCCCAATAACCTCCCCTAGTTCAGGCTTAATATCACTGTTATGGCAATCCCTGTTTCGCTGGTCCCACAAGCGAGGGTCATCTCTCACAAGAATTATCAAGAACTCTTTATCAATTTTACTATTCATTATTATACCACTCGGTCAGAATGAAAGATCGGACTAAAAAACAAACACCAAATACTGTTCGGTCAGTAATCGGTAGTGATCGTTTATCGTCGTATCGGACTACCCTTTACAATGAAGACACCTACTTTAAAACGTAAGTGTTTGTTTTTCTTCCGATGTCACCCGATGGTCGTCCTACATCGGGTCGGGAGAAAGACGGATTCAATATAGGTGCAGCCTAAGCCAGAGCTTGGCTCTGCAACTGAACACCTTTGGGAGCCTTGTTCGTATAATTGATATTCGTGTACAAAGTCTTCTTTCTACACCATAGATGGCGTGTTTGTGAGGTGGGATGCACAATGTACACGCTTGCTTATACATCGGCTTATTTTCCAAGATCAGTGGAGTTCCGAAATACATTTGTGGTTCATCTCAATACCAATAAGATACTCATCTATTCCATCAGTTATTTGATCATTTCATGCGTAAAAAAACCTGTGGTGAAGGAAATTGGTCGCACCGACTTGTCTAACCTGACGTCTACTGTAGGCGTCTGCATACTTATCTTCACTGCATATTATAATAATTTTACCAAATTACCGCCTCTGGTATACAGAAGGTGGGAAAAAAATCTGGGTATTTTTTGAGCTTCGTTTCCATTTCTCCTTAGGAAATAAAATAGACACATCTGAAGTAAAATATTTTTTATAATCCATTTATTCACTATTATGACCATTCAATCATCGATTTCAATAAAGTGATCAGAAAATACTCATTTTCCCATCAGTTATGGGAAAATTCTTTGTCAGCCATTTCGGATTGCCTGCCTCTCTTCCAATTCTTCGCATTCTTTGATTTTCTAGGCATATTACCCCACTCATGATTCTTCTTCTCCCTCATACTTTCTATAATGTCTTCTTCATCTCGGAAATCATCGTTGTTACGTAAAATTCCAACAGCTGAAAAAGATATGATATTATTGGCCACTGTTGCAGACTTTTTCATAAACTATACTTCAATTTCACTTCAACATTTTAACGAGGAAATCAACAACAAATAATATCAGTCGAAACAAAATCAACGGATAAATTGTTCAAAATGACCTCCACCTAGTTCCATACAATAATACAGTCTTCTTTCGAAAGCGTTCCGTACATTATTCAAGATGTCCGGAGTCAGCAATCGGCATTCCCGAACAATTCTCTATCGCGGGACTTCTACATTTGTAAACTTAGTAGAGATGACCATCGGTGTGAGTTTAGGTGATCTAGTTGGCCACTCCGCTGGACCCTTTTTGCCGATCCAACGCATTGGAAAACGTTCGTCCAAAAACTGTCTCAAGCGAACATCAAAATGTGGGGGTGTCATCATTTTCTGAAATTTGTGTAATCATAGGATCTACACAGTCTTGTAATAGATTCAATTATGTGTCTCCATTGAGATTACCTTCAATGAAGACTGGTCCAACAATATAATTACCAAGAATGACGGCCCAGACATTCAGTTTTTGTGGAGTTTGTGAATGTGTTTTTATCACCAAATTAGGTGACTCCGGACATCTTAAATAATGTAAGGAATGTTTTCGAAAGTAGACTGTATTATTGGATGGAACTAGATGGAGGTCATTTTGAACACTTTATCCGATTATTGTGTTGCCATTGATATTACTTTTATTGAATTCCTCAATAAAATGAGCGACAGTGAATTTTATTATTAACGTGTCCTTCGAAATTGTCGATTACACGTCCGTTTCTGACTTACAGGGGTGGTCAAGTTTTCGTTGAAAAGCCCTGTATAATTATACTACCTGGCCTGGAGAACTTCGTTCCTCCTCACAATGGAAAATCATAGCCCAAATACAACGCATTTATGATTCAACACCAGCAATCGCTGTATCGACCGCCCTAGGCTAAACCACAAAGCACTGCTGTACTCAACAGTCTTTAAAGAACAAGCCCGAGTTAATGAAAGTGGTGATGGCATTTCCCGTTACAAAGATAACATTTGTGTGATCTACAGAAAAATCAATCCTTGAAAATCAAAGATCAACGAGTCTGCCCAAGGCGGTCAGTTGCAAAGACAAGCTTTGACTCCGATCGGCGACAAGATTTGTCTCCTTTCTTTCACTGTAAGGCAACAAGGTGCTATTACACCAAAAGGATGTAAGGAGGAGGTATTTTAGAATTAAAAATTGACATGTTTTCACGCATAAATTTTGAATTACGTAGAATATGAATTTTCAAATTTTGCATCGAAATAATTCTCCCAGAAATTTTGGCATATGACGAATTGGTATTGGCTCGCTGTAACCGCTTTTTCCTATTATTTTTCGTCATTAAAAAATGAATAAATAACATTTGAGGTGTTTCGATTATGATATTCGCCTACAGAGGTAAGTAGTCAACACGTAGTTAATGTGGAAAAATGTAAAAATATCTCAATAATAAGTCGAATTGTATAAAGGTGTATTGAAAATTATTTTTAACGTCCTACAATTCTATTCATTCAATACAATTTTGTAGGACCTTAAGAAATAAAAAATAATTAGACGCTCCCTTTAAAAAAATCTCACCTTGATACGTATTGCTCAGTGTTAAATGTTTTTCTCTTATCTTTTTTTCGATTATAGAAGTGCAGTCATTGTGTTTTTCTCTGGTGGCAATATCCAGAGCAGTAGTTCCTTGATTTGAACGAAAATTCACGTCAGCATGGTGATCTAGTAATATACCAACAGCTTCAGGAGAGTTATTCAGACATGCTATGATCAACGGAGTATTTCCAGACTCATTCACGCCATCAACCTCGGCTTTTCTCTCTAACAACAAACGAAGAATATTGATATGTCCCCTCTTGGCAGCATGATGTACTGATGTCCACTTGTTGATATCAAGAGAGTTGACATCAACATCATGTTTCAAAAGACACTCGACGATTTGCACGTTTCCGTTAATGCTAGCTCTAATCAGAGGGGTTGCTCCAAAATTATTTTTCATATCTAATTTGGCTCCCCACTTGATAAGTTGTTCAGAACATTCCAGTAATCCTTTTGAAGCAGTGAAGTGTAATGCAGTCCATTTTTTGTGGTTGCTGTGATTGATGTCGGCATTTTTGTCCTTCAAGAGCTCTGCGATCTTAAGTTCATTATTGATTACACTAAGCATGAAAGGTGTGTTTCCATATAAATTTTCTGTATCTATATCAATTTCAGGACAGCTTAGAATTTTTTTCGTCCAGTCTAAGTTCTTCTGTTGGGCAGCATAGTGAAGAATGCTATAACCGTCATTATTTCTTTGATTGAACACGTCGCTGGTAATGTCAAATTCATAGAAAATGTTCAAAGCTTTATTATACTTTGGTTTGAAAGCAATATGTAGAGGAGTGTTGCCTGCATTGTCTGTATCCCACCTTCCTACAGGAACAGCCTCCAAGTGTGTTTTTACTGCCTCCAAATCCCCGGATTTCACAGCATCAAAGAGTAGTCTCATACTCGACAACGTATTTCAAACCTGTAATCATAATTATTCAGATTTAATGTTGTTTAGGTTAGGTCAAACCCAGTCTTGTATCACACCCATACCATATATCAATTGGTACATATTTGATACCTAAAGAAGGCTAAAAATTAGAGGAGTTCAAAATTGAGATGAGATATCGAATGTTCCTCAACTTTCAATGATTTGATGAGCTAGTTAATCAAACTAGTTGATCAAACTAGTCAAACTTCATAGCAGATAGCAAAAATTTGAATAGATTCTATTTTTCTACTTTTGAGGACGATTATGAAAATAATATTCCGAGAACTTAGATATTATGATTCTGAAAATATATTTATGAAATCCCTAATCCGAAAGTAGTTTTTACCAATGCAGTCGTTGCAATGAAATCAAGCAAAAATAATCGGAATTTAGATGAATGTTCTACGAAAGAACGGAAACTCGACCAACGGAGTTGTAGGTATCCGGATTGTAGTTCCTTAGTTCAATGTTATAAATTCACTTTAACCGCACCCTTTAATTTGTTTCGTTCAATTATTTACCAGTACTTATCACTACTTACCAGCACTTATCAAACTAAATGAAAGTATCCCGTTGTGTTTGTCTGTCTCAAAAACTACCGAACGGATTTTCATACGGTTTTCACCAGTGGACGGAGTGATTCAAAACGAAGGTTTATGTGTTTACTCGTAACTCATCATATGTGAGTTGATTGAAATACGACGATAGTATCCATGAGAAGGCGAGGTGATGTTGCTACCCGCGAGAGGTTTCATCGAAAAATACAGAGTGTTACAAAAATGTAGGTCATAAATTAAACCACATTTCTGGGGTCGAAAATAACATGATTGGATGTAACTTGCCTCAATACAAATGTGCACATAAAAAAGTTGAGATTTTTTTCCAATATTTCATGAGCTGTTCAACATTTTGTAATGACAAGGGATTTGTGGCTAGAATCTGTTCAGCCCATAAAAATTTTAGAAGGATATTGAACCCCTAAAACACCCTGAATTTTTCTAAGCGTTAGAATTAAATTAGTATTGTGACACCATTGGTTCAATACATCATCTTTGATTTTTTTTCTACTTAGCACTTAGATGCGAGTTCTTTTTAAAAGCTTTTATTTAACTTGACTTGAATGAATGTATATTTGTATGTGGAGGTGGAATCTTGCAAGTTAAATTTGACCCACTTCCCGATGTCCGATTGAGCTAAAATTTTACATACTCGTCTAGTTCCGATGACAATGCTTGTTTATGATAAGCATGCCGTGATGTTGCTGACAGGATTGGCTCCAGACGAGGGAACTCCTCAACGGTCAACAGTAGGGACATGAAATTTTGCACCCACATTGGGGTATGGATGACAGTTAGTGAGTCCACTATGAAATTGCTGCCATCTTCAGGGTTGGCTCCAAACCAGAGAAATCCTCAACGATCGGCAGTAGGGACATGAAATTTTGCATACCCTTCCGGATATGATAGACGGTTGGTGGGTCCACTATGAAATTGCTGCCACATCCAGGGTTGGCTTCAAAGCAGGGAATTTGTCAACGGTCAACAGTAGTAACAGGCATACCATAATTTGTGTAATTTGGTGAGATTTGCGTCAATAGTAATGGTTTGAGATCTAGGACACGAAAAACTCCAAAATCAAACCCGGAACATTGTTTCGTCAGGCACGAGTGAGCTTTAGGCTGAAACAAGTGGCGCATATATTACCAAATTACCACCCAAGTCAAGGAGAGGCCTTGCCGAGGCATCAGAATATAAACTGATGTCGTGAGCGTACCGCCTCGGGGCACCCGGACGAACCTTCTCTTATCCTTCTTAACGAAGCTCTGAAAGGGTTGACGGATATTTCTTCGGTGCTCTCGGGAACATTATGTGAAATGAAGAAAAAACAACAGAAAGAAGGTTGGAGAAAAAGAAGTTAAAGCGGCAAAAAGAATTTGCCAATGAGAGGGCTGACATTAAACGCCAACGACTTGACAAAAAGCGTGGTGAGATGCATAGTGACTCACTAACTCAGGTGGGTGTAACAAAGACGCACTGAATGAAATGAATAGATTAAGAAATATATCTAGCGAAAACTGAAAAATATTAAATAAATTAATATAAATTAATACGAGTTCCCAAATTCCGAATAAAAACGTTAGTTGCTTTGAAAATTTCATGAATATATAAGTGCTTCTCATACCGTTCTATTTAAATCAATATGTGTTTGGAGTTATCGCAAAGCCTTTCTTCGAAAGATTCCTACATTTTTTTTTTTATTCAAAGATGGAGAAGTAGAAAACCAAAAACATTCTTTCCCCAAAAATGAACTACTTCTGAAAATATACCCCTTTCAATTCTTCATACGTGTTTAGTACCAACTGAACTGAAAAATCTCACAATGAAGTGTTACTTGCATTCGTTATAATGGATGTTCATCGAGTATTGGGCAGCAAGTATTCGTTAGTTAATGTTTGAGAATCTACTTTTTCACTGTCTTCTTCTCCAGTAATATACCTACTAAGGCTGAAACCAGTTTGACGAAAGTATGGACAGTAATGGAATCTAAGAAGTTTTGTAGTTGATAGAAAAACCACTATGAACAAAAAATTATGATTGAAATAACATTGTATTTTTACCCAGTGTAACTTACGATCTGAGCCCATTAGTGCAAACACATTGTCTGATAGTTATGAACAATTCAGTTGAACAAAATATAGAGGTGTTAACTTTCATTACTGAACGATTTATCATGATTCACATCACAAAAAAGCAGTTGGAGGAATCCCCTACATTCTATATAAATTACCTTATGTTGATCCTGTTTTAATACACTGTCCAATTTGTACATAAATAACTGCGACAATATTTAAACTGTATGAATTTTTTAGGTAAACTACATTTATGGTTTTTCCCAGAAAGAAAACGAATTTATATTAAGTGATAAGAGCCTCTTCAATGCTATATGTGAATTTTCATTATCAAAAATTTTATAGATAAAATATAAAAAAAATATACTCAATCATACGATAGCGGCATAACAGCAGTTGATCGAACAATCCAAATAATCAAATGAGATTATTCACTACTGGATTATTTTCAATTTGCGGAACTTCAAGTCCAATGATTTGAACATGTCTGGATAGAAAAAAGTATTACCCTACTTGTATATGCGAATTAGGTGTTACTGCTCTTTGTAAGTTCGTGATGGAATTGGCCGATACTTGAGGAAAATTTATAACTTATTCAAGTAACACTTCATTGTGAGACTTTCGCTAGACAGTTTACATAACCGCAACTCGTATTTAGCTTTACAATAGCGTCATCAAGCGATTTCGTACTAACTGAGTTCTACTTCATTTGTTCTTCATGTACTAATAATTTTAATCATATGACGTACTACCTTCAGATGATGACTAATGACTCATGACTTTACCTATGTTAAGGTAAAAACTAATTGAAATTTTAGAACATCGTAGTAGAAAATAATTCCAACTCATTGAATGGACATGTACAAAATAATACCATTTCGAATCGAATGGCTACTCAATTGAAAATTCAAATAAACGTGTAATGAAATAACTAAAAATTTTTTGAAGAGGAGATTCTGAAGAGGAGAAGAATTCAATTCTTAATTGAAATAATTTCTGAGCACTCTTACAGATTGAGTTTCCAACCTTTCACTTTCAATTTTTTTTCGAGTGGAAAAATCATCGAAAGACACCTGATCGCCCTGTGACCAGGTAGTGTCGGATACCTATCAACAAAAAAAACCACTCATGAGTCAAACAGGCTATTCTGGAACCGCCCTCGTGCATTTCTTCGGAATAGCAGACTGTAGTGATGGTTCAGGGCTCTCCCTTTTTCTTCGGTACTTCACTATAGTTCATTCATTCAGTACTTTTCTTCTCCTTTTCTTTATTTTTGAGCATCTCCCCTGTCGTGTTTTCCGGTGATATTTCTCCTATCGTCATTTCTGCATTTCGTCTCTGTTTTCCCAACGTATGCATTCAAAGATCGTGTGTTCTACCGTGTCTATCATTTCACAATGCACTCTTCTGTGTCACTCACTTCAAATCCGAACAGATATGCCTGAAAACAACCATGCCCCGTTAAAACTTGTGTGATAAAGTAAGTCACGTGTCCATCTGTAGCTCTATGGCTCTTATTAGTCTTCTTGTCATTCCCATCATCTATTTCCCAAGATTGTGACCATTTTTCAATAATTTGCGACCTTGCTTACCCTTTTGGTACGTTGTTTTGTACCATTGTTCTCTCTTTCATCAGCAGATCTATCGAGGGAAGGTTCTTGCAATCATCAGCAAAGTTTCAATAGATGATGTTCTATCTGTTAATGATATGTTTTCCGTTCACCAGCTGTCGCCCCCTACGAATGACAACTCTCAAAAGTCGAAACATGTGCGAGCTAAGAACTAACGAGGTATTCCCTTTTAACGTGTGATTCCTAATGCAGGTTGGACGATAGGAAGTGAAAATCGATCGTCCGGCCTTGCGGTTCGAACCATCGGATCGCACATCAGTCGATTGACTGAGTGGAGATGACCACCCATGTCAAATCACCAGGCTACCGTCCTTCTATATGCACATACTATTTTTATGGCTGCTTTTTTTGGACACTCAATAATATATTTCTATATTTATTTTATATTCATGGCTCTTTTCCAGATTGTTGTGACACAGAGCATGATCGACTGGGTGACTGAGCAGAGAATTCTTCTGCTACCTTCTCGAAGGCCTTCAACATTGGGCATTATCCTGCTTAGGTGGCTTTTATCTTTTCCCCGCCTTTTCTGTTATTTTTCTAACATGAGCTCCCATTTTCATGTTTCGGTCAATCTGGCTACGGACATTGGTTTTCTCCAATTCAATTGTGATACTTTTCAGTTTCCCACCTGCTACCAGCAATACTACCTCTGACTACTGGGGGGCAAGCTTGAGTTACTTCGCTGTCATCCACTCGTTTGTACTATGTACTATTTTGTACATCCAACGTTATCATGGCGCATCTTTTCCTGCCAATTCTTTCGTTTGCTTCGTCTGCGATGTTTTGTACCTTTACCAGTCATCTGTTTTTGACCTACCTTCTCGGAAACCTAACTGATTTTTTCTTCCAAATTTAATACTCTATAGTCATGGTTGAACTTAGGCCCCTCAGTCAAAAGATGGTTTGCAAATAGGGAATTGGTCTTCACATTCAAGAAACTACTTATATGTTCCTTTGTTCTTTGGGAAGAGATTCTCACCGTTAAGCCAATACAAATTTTCGGGCAAGGACCACAAGTCAGCTTATATACTCTTGATATATTCAGGACTGAAGATTTATCTTTATTGTTTTTAATAAATCTGATAAAATTATTATTTGTTCGGTAAGCCACGTCCAAGTCTGTCCTTTATAATAAAATGGGCTGTGTCATTGATGGGTTCACCAGATTATGTCAATGTCCTATGACGCTTATTATTAATTTTTGAAGTGGGATAGATCTGCTTAATGACTTGCTTTCAATTCCATGTCACATATCAATATCGTGGGAAAATTTTCGATTTGAACTCGATTTTTCGGTATTAAATTTTGTTTTTCATAAAAAACGAGTGTGCAGATTTTGTAGGGAATTGAATTTTCTACAAAAAGTTCTTTGGAGCAAACACTTTCCAATCAACAGTTACTGAATTGTAGAGCTGGATAGGTGAATTTGAATTGAAATCAAATTTTCTTGAAATTGGAAATTTTCAATCTTAGAGTGAATATCATTTACAATAGACGCTATGAAGTTATAAAATTGTTATTTATAGACTATAATTTCTATTTAGTGAATAAATATAAACTTCAATGTACGAGAATAAATCATTAGAATTACTGAAATTATTATTTTTTCTTTCATTTCTGATTTGATGGTAAGATCTTTGCTTATTAGCATTCGGAAATTTGCAATAAGTATTGTTTCTCTTCCTCGTTATAAGTTACACTCCCATTATATGATTCCATCAATTGAACCCTCGTTCAGCATGTATTATAATCTTTATCAGATTTCCATTGATCTGGATTTGATTTTATAAATTCAGTGATCATCAGTGGAATATTCAATAATCTGCATACTATTAAATGCAGCAACTTTATGCTGGTAAGAGTGTGTGGAGGAATGATATGTCTGTGTACGATGGTTTATTGTTATTTTTCGTAATGGTCAAGTCAAGGTAATTTAATGAATTATTTACCTTCCTTTCAGTGGTGAATTTTATTGACGGGTGGATGGAATTGGCATATTCAATGAAATTGCCTAATTGCCTATCGGTATAAGTAAAACATACTAAGATATGATCTACCTATCTGTACCAGTACAAAAAACTGTTAGCTAACTGATTATTATGGATTTTATACTCTGTGTTATCCATGAAAATTTCCGCCAGCAAGGGACTCAAAGGGTTCCCTATTATCAGTACTTCATTGCATGAATAGAATTTTCCGTCAAACTGGAAATAATTTTGAGATAGATAAATGGTAAGTGAATCTACAATTTCCTATTTTATCAGTGGATTCACCTGGTTTTTGTCTAAGAGACACTCAACTAGTCCAATTGTTTCAATTGGCGGAATACTGGGAAATAAATTTTGGACATCGAACGATATTAATTTTGCGATATCCGGAAGAATTACGTGCTCGTGAAAAAGTTAATGACATAATTCACAAAAAATATTTGATACAAAAGAACAAACTCCAACGATTGATTCAGTTTAGACTTCCCGAGAAACGGGCCCAAAGTTTGGAAAACTATTCTAATCATAAGTTTTTCGACAGATTTGTAAATCTATCCGACACGAAATTTACACTGAATGAAACGAGATTATTACAAAAAGGCCTCAGTCATAACATAAGACCATATATTAATTCTACGACCATAGAATGTTTAGGTATAGAAACAGAGCTGGCTCTGAGAGGTACTTGTAATCAAATAAACATGTCGCAGCAAACATTTTGAAATCTGAACCGGTTGATCAAATTCAGTCTGATGGAGGGAGGTGAATAATTCAATAACCACTGAGAGGGAGGTAAATAATTCAATAAATTACCTTGACTTAACCATTACGAAAAATAACAATAAACATGAATTTTCAATTTTCCACAAACCATCGTACACAGACATTATCATACATAATTCCTCCACACACCCTTACCAGCATGAAGTTGCTGCACTCAATAGTATGCTTCACAGATTAATTGAATATTCCACTGTCTGATAGGGAGTTCCAAAAAGAGCTGAATTTGATCAAACAAATCGCGGTTAATAACGGTTATAAAGATGCGATAACGTCAGTTATAGGGCATTGGCATATGTGGGTGAACGAACCAGGAATATTGCCCGTTTTTTTGAAGAAAGAAGGCGTAAACGTAGCTTACAGAACGAATAATAATCTAAGTGAATTTATTAAAAACAATAAAGACAAAACTTCGTTGTTGGATAGATCAGGAGTATATAAGCTGACTTGTGGCTCTTGTCCAAAACTGTGTATTGGCCAAACAGGAAGAACATTTTCCCAAAGAATTAAAGAGCATAGAAGTAGTTTTGTAAATAGAAAGACCCCCCCACATTTGTAAACCACCTTTTAGCAGAAGGACATGAGTTCAATTATGAATACGATGTGTTACATTTAGAAGAGAAGAGTTTGAAACACAATCATCTAGAACGTTTAGAAATCAATAGATTCGGGAATTCGGGTAATTTACTGAGTGATCAATTAGAATTAAATAACTCTCCCTCTCTGAATATTTTTTCGAATGTGGAAAATGGAACATAAGCTCAGGTAATTTAATCCATTACAAACTTAGGTAAAAAATCAGGTACTAGAAATTCAGGTACTTCAAATTGTAGAATAAGGTATATATAGCATTGAATGTGTAGAATGAGTTATTAAGACACGCCCGAAGAAGCCATTGTATGGTGAAACACGTGTTGCAGAAAATCAATGAGTTTGTTCCAAAATGCCTATTTCATTTTGATGTTTTGTGATTTGATATTATCGAATATTGAGTTCTTGTTACAATACTGTATAATTTTGAGTAATTTTCGGTGTTAACCAAAAACGAAATCAACTTTGCACCAAAAACTTCGAAAATAATTCACTTTTCAAAACAATTGACCGTGGTTAACATCATAGTTATGTTATTTGTAATATTACAGGCTTTTAAAATGTATAGTCCTATACAGGATGCTGCCTATTTATCGTTTCAGCAAATTTTTTTTCGTAGTCGTAGTTTTAGGGGATGCACAAACTTTTATCAGGAATAACTTTTCCCATATGGTGCATACTTTGGGGATGACACTGTATTACAATAATTTGTTTCAAAATTCTAAATCTGCTTTAAGAAGTCGCGGCATGATTTCTCTTCATTGGCAAATTGCAGCATCCTAATTTATTATGTGAAAAAATCGATTCTCAGACATAATTCACTCACACAAAAATTCATTCATTTATTCTCATAACAAAAATCATTATTCAGATATACTATAGTACTGATTACTAATTATTGATAATTTGCTTTACTATTCATTATAAATCTTTTCTATGATGATACAAAATAGAAAAACAACCATAATCGTTTTTCTAATCAAAGTAATCATCTTCTCCATCATCTTCTTCGGCGTCGTCTTCGTCCTCATCATCATCGTCAACTCCTACATCAATATCTTCATCCTCTTCATCGTCCTCTTCATCGTCCTCTTCATCGTCCTCTTCATCGTCCTCTTCATCATCCTCTTCACCTTCATCCTCATTTCCTTCTTCATCCTCTGCATCGTTTCCATCATTATCATCTTCATCATCTTCAGTCCCTTCATCACTTTCTTCGTCACCATTAAATGATTGCTTTGTGTCAACTGAAACATTCCGTTAAATCAGTCTCATTGAATTCACACGAACTAATTTTAGAAATTGAATCCCTCAAAATCAAAACCACCACAATTTATAACTAATATAATTACTATTGAAAGCTGGTTTCTTCTTTGAATGATATATTCGCCAAAACATTCTCTCTGATTTCTGTTGAAATATTCGATACATTAATTAAAAAATCACTTAAATATGCAAATCGCAAATGAGAGTTTCTCAATCATTAGCCTTCATCATTACGGTTCAGCCAAGTGAACAACAATTGGTTGCAGAAAACAAATATACGGAATATCAATAGAAACCAGCTGCTCATTTTCGGTCATTTGACACAGTGTGAGAGACAATTAACTTAAAGAAGGAAGCCTAAGCTGTGTAGCAACTGAGTCCAGATATACGCAGAAATGGTTTTGAATGTCAATTTGACATGAATCAGAACAAAGTTTAATAGACAAAACACTGAAAGTTTCAAATCGCAGACATGTATTTCTGACTTATTGACAGTCATCAATACTGGGTACTCAAATGCAAGGATGGACAATACTTATTCACAGAATAAAGCATTGCCACCAACTTCGGAGTCGTTAAACATCTAGAACTTTGATGGGTAAAATTGGAACCTCTGGCAATAATCTGGCAATAATACTACATTATTAGGAGGTAAGTAAAACTGGAATTTGCCGAAACATTAAATAATGGTTCGGGATAAAAATAATTTTAATAATTCCAAGGAACATGACATGTTTATAGTAGGGACAATGGGGCACGTACAATAATAAAGCACACTGAGAATTATACAACAACAAAAAATATTCAAAAAGTACAAAATTGTTAATTTTACAATTCAATTTTTCGATATCGTTAGAACTTCCATTATACAAATTGACTATCGTACAAAATACGTTTTTATCAAAACCACGTGTCCAAAACAATCACTTTTCCCAATCACCATAAATGCAATAATCTTCTCCACGCGCGTTTCATCTTCCAAGTTGGAGTCTTCAGGAGATGAAAGGGAAAAGTGATTGTTTTATATTTATTCCGTATAATATGATCATGAATTGAATTGATTTCATCAAAACACGGTGCTAAATGTGTTTTTATCATTTTTCACATTATTAATGAACATGCATATGATGGAACGGAGTATTCATTTAATAGAGTAAAGTACCCGATTGTGGAATACTGTTTTGTTTTTTGGAAAAATAAAAATGAAAACTTTGACATTATTATCCACATTTTGGAATATAGATGGCGAGTTATAAACACAAAACAGAAATAATAAAAATTATAAAAAAACAATTCATGTATGAAAAACAACTTAAAAATAAAGTGCACTTTTTCTCTAGCTGCGTAATGTGGAAAACCAATATACGCCAATGTGGAATAGGTAATATTAGACTTGATATTAAAATAATTTGTTTTTTTTAAGTAAATCAAAATATTATTGGAAAATAACATACGTTTATTTTTGTTTATTATAAAATACAAAAAACAAAACAATAAATGAACATAAAAAGCAGAAAAAACAAGAATAACTCAGAACAAAATAACTAAGAACAATCTTTCTCGGCATCTGCACATTCTTCGTGTGCCCAGCAATTGCACTAGGCACACATAACCCATATTTCTCCGGGAGTATCATTTGAAAATCTTAGGTCACAAAAGAGACGAATTGCGTCAACAGGGCACGTTTCTAGCGGAAAGTTTTCTTCATCGCCTGAAGAATTTTGCAATGAAATGCAATGCTGGATGAAGATGAAACTCTTTTTTGGCGTTTAGCGGGAATTTGCAGCTTCTTTTGTTTTTTTTGGTTTATTTTGCACTCCGCTGCAACCTGGTTCTGCTTCAAAAACTTTTTCTTTACCATTTCCCCTTTTTCTATTCCTGAATTTACTGACTTCTCTATATCCTCTTTATTCGGTGTGGAAGTTATTATTTTTGCCCGTCCAGGTTTACTATCCCTGGTTGCTATTTTTTTCTTCATGGTGGGTACCGGAACAATTTCTTCTGGATTAACTGAAATAGGTGAACATTGCCTCTCATCTCTATTTTCGCGATTAAGATCTGCAAGCGGTTGTTCTTGAACTACATCATCATGATGTGACGCTGTCAAAAATTCCTCATCAGTAAAAACACCTCTTCTAAGCGAATAAATCCCTATAACAGCAAAACCCTTAACAACTCGTTCGGCGGAATGAACTTTTAAGTAAGCCCGGCCAAAAAGTTCGCAGACATCAAAGTGATTGACAGCACGTTGATTTGTTCACAAGAATATTCTAATTTCTTTATTATAGAATGTTTTCAGTGTCCCCATCACTGTTTTATCAAAGGGGCTGCATTTTATGAGATTTGTGCGGGGGAATACAAAGAATTGTCACAAAATTTTCTTTAGCCTTCACGACAACATCAAGGTTTCTAGTATGGGTATTATGTCCATCTAGGATAAGAAGAATTGGATTATTTTCAGATGGGCGAACTTCCACAATAAAGTGGTCAAACCAGGCAGTAAAAAGGTCAGTCTGTATCCAACCAGACGGGTGATATTTGAACAGAGTCCCAGGTGGAGCACCTTTCTTCAACTGTTCGTTACCGTTTTTTCGCGAAAATATAATTAAAGGTGGAACAAAATTCCTTTATGCGCTCATACGCATTACAAGAGTTATTAACGACCTCTTTTCTGCAGAAGTGAGGCTTCCGATCTGACGTTTTCCTTTCAATGCTACTACTTGGGGACACTTGGACTGTACAATACAAATACCACATTCGTCCACATTAAAAATATGGCTAGCAGTAAACTTTCTTTCTTCAAAAATCGTTTCAAGTAAATCAAAAAATTCATCTACCCTTTCATTGTTGAATCCGGCAGCCCATGGAGTTGTAGTACCTGTAGGTCTTCTCAAACTGATGTGTTCCTTATGTCTATAAAGAAAACGCTTCATCCAGTTTTTCCCTGCTGTTTGGTGGAACAAAGAAAATGGATTTGGTAGATTATTTTGCTTAGCAAGTTGAAAAGCATTAGAGCATAGGTCCCGCGTTGTCATTCCAAAAAAATTTTTCTCCATTAACAGAATGTACTCTACCAGTTTGATTTCTAGCACAAAAGTTAAAACAGGTTTTCTTTCCAGGGTCTCTTTTTTAATAAGTCCAACTTTATCATTCTTACAGTACCGAAATAATGTAGAGCGCGGTACGTTGTAATGTTTAGCAGCCGCTAAATATCCCATTGTTTTTCTCCGTACCGCGTGTACTGCCATTCTCATGTTTGATAATGTTACCAAGGATACTTATATTTGCTTACTACATTTCATTGGAGAAAGTGGTCCAACTGAACAAAACCCTGATCCTTTAAGCTATCAGGAAATTCAACATATGTACATTATTGCTTATTGCATTTTTGACTGTAAATTTCATATATATTATGTTGTAATAAATATTTTCCTGTGATAAAAATCACTAAACATATTCAATTCAGTATTTACATATTTGTCTAATTAATAATGTCATATGTACAGCCTCAAAATATTAATGACTTGATTCATTTATTAGTTCCATAAGTAATACTCTCGTCAACTGAAATATATTTTCAATTACATCAAATAAATTGACATTATTAATAAGAATAAAACTGTAAATACTATTGTTTTATATGTCTTTGAATATTAAACAAATGCTGATACCTAACCTCTCAATCAGCTCACTCAATCCTCACACCAGTACTCGAAAAATAGCTGAAGAACTGAATAATACCCAAGTTACAGTGTGGAAGATTTTAAGAGCCCAGCAGCTATATCTCTATCACATGCAACGTGTGCAAGCTCTATTGCCCAGATATTTGCCTGTAAGACTAGCTTTTTCTAATTGGTTACGCGGTGAAATAGGAAGAAGTCGAAAATTTTTTGCAGATGAAGCTTGTTTTTCTTGCAATTCAATTATTAACTTCCACAGCAATCACATTTTGGCCGAAAACACACGCCTTGATAGAAAATAATTTTCAAGAACAGTTTTCTTTTAATATTTGGGTTGGAATTGTCGGTGACCATCTCATTGGGCCTCACTTCCTTCCACCTAGACTTAATGGAGAAGAATACCGAAGGTTTTTAGAATTTGTTTTACCTGGACTTTTAGAAGAAATGACAATCATGGAAAGATTCCTTAGATACATGCACGATGGTGCTCCACCACACTTTAGTGTAGTGGCACGGCAATTGTTGGATGAAAATTACCAAAATTGCTGGATTGGGAGAGTAGGCCTACACCCATGGCCACCTCGCTCGCCAGAAATGAATCCCTTAGATTATTTTTTCTGGGGACGTCTAAACCGTTGGTATACGAAACTGCTATTCAAAGTGAAGAGGATTTACGGAATGAAATCATTAATTCATATGACAATAAAAAATACGCCAGGTATTTTCAGAAGAGTGCGAAATTCAATGATGCAGCGGCTAGTCGGTTGTATTGAAACCGAAGGAGGCCATTTCCAACTCTTAATTTAGTGCAATTCGTTAGTCTAGATGTTAATGTTATTTAATATTTGTTGTTATTGTTACATAATTAGTAATGAAAAATTGTAAAAATGATAATTTCCAAAAGAAACTTTTATTCCTTGTGAGGTCCAGGGATATGCAATTAGGTTGACTTTTTTTTTCTTAAAAACTAAGCAAGATACGAAAAAAACTCGAGAGACAAAAAAGTTGTATTTTTGATTGCTCAATCCAGAGAAATGAGAAAAATTGCAAAAAAGTCAGTAGCGTACATTTTTAGGTCAAAAATATTCGTTAAAATCCCGCTCGAGACGCTACTAGACTTAATAAATTGAATCACGCTCGGGCTAAATTAGCTCCTTATTTTTAAAAACACCATTGCCATATTCCAACAAAATTAGCTAAAGGATATTTAAGATATTTACGAATAACTTTTTTTTTATTTTTATTTTAACACCTTGTATGTTGAGAACGAAGGATTTGCGGACCCATGTTTATACGAACATTTCGTCTCAAAATTACCTAAAGAATCATCTGTTGAATTTATGGTACATACTCTTGATACAAAAAAAATGTGGGAATCTTCCAAAGAAAGGAAAGAAGCAATCAATTTCAAAGGTACAAAGATGTGTAGATCATAAAAGAAGAAAGGAAAGAAAAATAAGTACATACACATCTCCTGAAAATATTCATTTCTTTAAATGAAAAACCAACCTGATGGTTGGTTTTGATGAAAATTGTTATTATTTAAAAACTTCGTATGTTAATTCATCTTATAAATGAATTTTTTGTGTGTGATTACACAACGTACGTTCATGTACACTAATTCTGTTACTGTGTCGGTTTTCTGAAGTAATGGTGAACGCAATATATCTAATGGATATTAATATTTTTCCAAAATCATAATTTACTCCAGCAGTAAAAAAAATACTAGATACTCACCTGGTACGTAACATTGCGATTGAAATCTGGGTTCCACAACTGTAAGAAAAATATTGATCACAAATATATCAATGATATCATAATGATTCGAAAGTCAAACAGAAAATTTGTCGCTTGCTGTGGCGATAAACCTTCAAAGCATTAGCCCAAAATTTTCAAGGTATATGAGGTGAGATGTAGTTTATGGAATATATGAAATACGTTTTATTCATGACATTTCTCGAAGAAGGAATGCAATATTTTTCAATTCTGTTTGAGAAAACGATTGTTCTAAACTCGTTCCAGATCGAAAAGTCCTTGAGGTGTGACATGAAAACATTTTTCATATTTTTTCTGTGCTAAAATCATCTATTTTTCTTACTCTCCACCAGTCTATCTTCATTATGATCTCCTACTCCTACTCCTAGGAGTAGTAGGAGTACTACGTAGTAGTAGTAGGAGATCATAATGAAGAAAAAAGAATTGAAACTTTTTATGTTTTCTACCACTTTTATTATAAAAATGATAAAAACAGAAAGTTTCAATTCTCTTTTGAACAGTTTCCATTTTGATGGGATAATTAGTCACTATCTATATTTAACCGAAAATAATACCCATTTTTATCCGCTTTTTACAAAAAACCGTTTACTTTTATTAACGAAGCTGTTACGATATCGTTTTTCAATTTGAATTTGAGGTTGCACCGAAAATGCATTATACATTTGCCTCGGATAGATATAAAGTGATCAAACTTACCCAAAACAGAAAACAAAAATGGCAATATGTAATGATGTTATTTTTATTGAAATACATGTTCAATACCGTATCATTTCCCGTTCTTCTTCAACAACTTGGAGTGATTTTAAATTTATCCTAATATTTTTTATGAATATCAATTATTCATAAACACTTGGAATATTTTATCACAACATAAAGTAAGAATTTTGCGAGGTAATTGTAAAACAATATAATAAGGCCAGCCGTACACTGTCAACTTCATTCGAGCAACTTCTTAATCACAAAAATACTTCATTTCTTATGAACATTGACAACTAAGTAATTGTTCAGTTGCGCAACACGTTCGATTGTTGCGGGCAAAATAGAACGTGAATGTTCATATTCCTCTCCACACACTAGCTATTGAATATTGTTCTAGATTTAACACACTAATATGGAGGAATATGCAGATGAAAATCATCAAAAATAATTTTGCTGAAACTCCTCTCATTAAGAGCAAATAAAAAATATGGTTGGATATTCCAAATCTGTCAATTTATGAAATTGTATCAATCTAAAATTCTCCATATTTTTTTGGCCTAAAAAAGGGCCCCCGCGCACTGGCAACTTTGTTAAAGCAACTGTTTGGTTGCTTTATTAAAGAAATCTAAATAACGCACACGGTATTGAATGCAGCCCCGCGCACGGGCGACTTTTAAGTTGCCGTGACTGAATAATTGCGTCTAGACCTATTCCAAGGGTGACTAAACAGTTGCCCGCAGAAATGAGCAACGTGAATTTCTACGTAACCTCCCGCACTGTCAACTATTCAGTTGCTAGACGGCTTAGGTCTGGGGTAAGTGTGTATTTCCTATTTTTCGAAGCAATGACGACGGTAGATATTGAAACGTTTATTTTGGCAATCGAGAAGCGGCCATCGTTGTACAATACGCATCTAAAGGAGTATGCTGATAAAAATTAAAAAAAAAAAGATTTATTTTAAGTTCTAAAACAATTTTTCTTTTATTGAAAATGCCATTTATGAATTAAATACTAATAAATCTGTTTTATTTGTGCTTTATGTGATTTAGTTTGCAATAAATTATTAATATTTGATAGTGTTAATTAATGTTTTCTTTCTTGAGATGGTACAGCTTGTCGTAGTGATGTATTTCGGTAAGTAATTCGTGTGCAAAGAGAAATCAATAGGCGATCAAAAGATTCTAAGCTCATTCTAAAATAATTGAAGAACTTTTTTGGATGTTCTTTCAATCTGTCGAAGAGCCTATAAAATTGCCCGTCAAGAAGTCGTGAACTAATTAATGGATGTACCCAAACCGTTCTGTTCGTTTGCCTATTTTTTCGCTGTCTCAGAATAGGCGCAACAGCACAGGTGGCTTCCACAATATCCATTGTAGACTGAGCTGAGAGGCAACTTTTTTAGCTGGTGGACAATTCATGGGTGAGTAAACTGTTTAGATGCTGATGATTAAAGTTGCCACTGCGCGGGGGACCTAAAACATGTTGAGCAACTAATCAGTTGTCAGTGTGCTTTGGGACAACAACGAGCGAATTTCAAGCGACTAAATTATTTCATCACCGATATTAAAATGATGCCAGTGTGTAGTTAGCCTTATAATCCATTTTTTAACCAAGTAGTTTTCTTGGACGATCCACTTGAATGGTACTGTGAATGGACAAAATTACTGATACGGAGATCCGAGAATCCACAATGGGAAATTGAAGCACACTCCCACTGTCGACTTGCAGTGAACGTGTGTGTGGAAATCGTTTTCTCAATTTTAAAATCATTTTTTATTATACCAGTTATAGCTCCAGTAACTATTACATTGTTCTTCATCATCATGGACTGAATTCCATAATGCAATAATAAAGTCGAGGGGGGCTGTAACGACAGTAATGAGTTGAATTTCACCTCGAAAAACAAAATAATATATTCCAAATAAAAATTGATTTCTGTCTTTTTTAGAAATGTACAGTGTGGCCCACTTGAAAGCGAGTCATCTTCCTGAAATTTGCATCTTTCATCCGATCCCAAAGAACTTTATTTTGAATTGTAGAGTTCAAAAAACTGTACTTTGGGACCAAATTAAATTTTTGAAAATTTCTGTTTTTTACCACTTTTATTTGTAACTAACGTTACTGCAGTTTCGTCCTATATGGACATTCTCAAACTTATACAATAAACTAGTTAGTTAGTTTACTGTATAAGTGATAAAAAACAGAAATTTTCATTTCTTTTTTCATCATGATCTCCTATCACGTATTAACGGCTACATCCATCAATTTGATTTAATTTCTGGCCTGCTGCGAATATTTCTATAGGCTAAAATACAAGAAATCGTATTAGCGATTTTTTTGGAAAAATTTAAAATCACCATTGGACTGGGCACCCTTTCAAATGGTAGTATACCAAATTTCATCAAAAAATATTCAAAATTAATAATTCTGTGGTCGAATCAACATTAACATTGCATTACGATAGAATGTTGACTGCACACCTATCCAAAATCACGCTCTTTTCATTTGGCACTGGAAACAATAGACTATTGTTGATTATTATTGCTGCTGTCAAAAACTGTATCGAAACAGTAACGTCAGAGTATGCCCGAGTAGTAAGAAAAATATTTCGTAAAGCGGTAGGAATTAGTGATTTGTCATGGAAACTAAGTGTGCGAGATAAAATTGAACTTGTGCGCCTTGTCGGAGATAATGCTCTTTCGGCAAGAGAAGATGCCAGAGAATTTCATAATAGACATCCTGATGAACTTCCAGTGAGCAGCAGTACAGTGAACCGTACAAACAGTTTGGGTATCGAGGCATATGCTTAAAAACAGAAGCAATCCACATCGTGAGAATAGAAACGGTGTGCGAATATTGCAATATTTTCGTGATAATCCACATTCAAGCTTGCGAACGGCTAGTTTGAACCCTAGAGAAAATATCGGTAGATGCCTAAATAAAATGAAACCGTTAAAACCGTTAAAGCCAAAAATGTTACACACCTTGGAAACAGGAGATGAAAAAAGAAGGTTATAATTCTGTTTGTGGATTCAAGGAGAATATTTGAATGATATAAACTTCTTCAAAACAATTTTGTTCAGTAATGAAGCTGCGTTCACTACAAATGAAGAAGTCTCGTGCCAAAATTCAAGGTGCTAGTCTGCGGATGATCTTAATTGGGTTATAAAGGTAAAAATGCAATATTCCTATGAAATTACTGGTTGGTGTGGAATAATCCATGATAAGATTATCGGTACGTTTTTCTTCGAAAGTAATCTGAATGGAATTATATTTTCAGACTTCTTGACAAATTATTTTATGGATGTAATACATAACTTACAAGTGCAGGATCGCCTGAATTTTAAGTTTCAATTTGATGAGTCTTCTATACATAATGTAGTTACTGTAAGAGAATGGCTGAATGATAATTATGGAAATGGATGGATAGGTCGAAAGAGTCCTTATATTGAGTGGCCGCCAAGATCACCGGACCTGACACCGCTAGATTTGTTTTCTTTGACGGTAGCAAAAAGTTTACAAGTCCAAACCGCAATCAGTAGGAGAACTATGCATCAGAATATCTGCAGCTTGTGCAGAAATTACAACAGAACAACTGAGAAAAGTTATATTGACTATTAGAAGAAAGTATGACAAGTGCATTGCAATGAATGGTGGATTGGTTAAAACAACAAAATTTTGAAGAACGTTCATTCCTGATTATGTTTACAATAATTTGTTGATTATTGTTTTTCAATTGTTTAATTTGTCCAATGATGAATGGATCAGGATGAATATGCTCATTCGTTTATTTCATTTGCCACATAGTTATCAACGATTACTCAATGTTTATTTTACTTTTCAGTGAATCAGATAATTGAATTAATTCAACTACAGAATTATTAATATTTTAATTTTTTATGAGATTTAATGTACCACCATTTGAGAGGGTGGCTAGTCCAATTGGGTGATTTTAAATTTTTCATAAAAAATGACTAATACGATTTGTTGTGTAATTGGCCGCGGTGGTAGTGCGCCCGACTCACGATCGGAAGGCCGTGGGTTCGATTCCCGCCTCGACCAGATATTTTCCTCGAGAGAATTAATCTGGTTGAAGCTGGGATGATTCTGCAACCGTGTTAGGGATCACACGTTAAAAGGTAAGACACCGTTAGTCCTTAGCTCGCACAAGTTTCTCAACTTCTGAGAGTTGTCGTTCGTATGGGGGCGACGGCTGATTAACGGAAAAACAAATTTTAAACAGATTTGTTGTATTTTAACCTATAGAAATATTCGCACCAGGCCTTGGTTTTTGTAGAAAGAAAATGATATTGGGTCCCAATAACAGTTTTTCTAACTATAAAATCCAAAATAAAGTTCTTCGAAATCGGAGAAAAGATGCAAATTTTAGAGAGGTGTCCCGCTATCAAGTGGGTAACATTATATAAAGCAAAATATCATGATTTTCTGTCAGATAAAGTCACAAGCAAATGTCAATACTTACTTCGTATTCTTGCTTTCTCAAGAAGGGAAATGCATCTTTTGTGTTTTTTTTTTTCTTGCAATTGACAAAGCGTTACCCCTTTCAGATTCTGAATAATGACTGAAATCTATAGAAAACGAACTTTTTATCAAAATTTGTACTGCTCTTGAAACATTATTAATACATGCAGTAATGAGAGGGGTATGACCATTACTAGTGGTAGCATTAACATTGGCTCCATGTTCAACAAGAGCTTTGATAACTTTGAATTTCTTCCGTTTGATTGCGTGATGTAAGGAGGTCCAGTCGTTCTTGTCAACAGAATCGATATCAGCTCCATTTTTCAGAAGTAATTCAACAATTTTTGTTCGACCCCAGCTGGATGCCTTTATCAAGGGAGTTGCACCATACGTTGTTTTAGTATCAAGTTTTGCTCCCCACTGAATAAGTTTTTCTGTACAATCGTAAAGTCCTCTTGAAGCCGAAAAATGCAAGGCCGTCATTTTATTTTTATTGCCAATATTGATATTAGCCCCTTTATTTTTCAATAGTTCAGCTGTTCTCAGGTTTTTCTTCAGTATACTCAAGATGAAAGGTGTATTGCCTTGAATACAAGCAGCATCTACTTCTATGCTAGGAAACTCCAGAATTTTCTCGACCCAAACCTCGTTGCCTTGATGTGCGAACCAGTGCAGATGGCTCCAACCCCTGTTATTTCGTAGGTTCAAAAATGAGGGGGTATATTCACACAAACTGTAGAGGAGTGACAGAACTGTGGTATTTTTGTTTTGACATGCTAAATGTAATGCAGTGTTATGGTCCTTATCTACTCCCCAGCTTTCGATTGCACTTTTAATGTTCACCAGCTGCTTCACTGTCCTCAAGTTCCCGTTTTTCAATGCCAAATGCATTAAACTCATTCCAGTTTTATACTCTCTTATCTGAAAATGATAATTTTACTATTAGTAATGTTAACATCATACCAGAGAACAATATTTACCTGAGTCAGTATATCTCGAATGCCCCGCAGAGATACTACTTTTGAAAATATCTTGCAGAAACTATTTTTGACGCAATAGAGCAGTATGAAACACAAAGTGTCGGAATCTAGATTTCGAAATATTTCCCTGACTTGAGAACTAGAAATGAAGAAACCAGTAGACATCGCTATTTCAAGTTCTTCCAGAGACCCAGACATCAAAGCATACTGAACAGCGTTATTTTCGAGAAGCTTATCCCTTTTCAAAAGTTTCAAACTCGAAGTGAGTGAAATCAATTCTTTTTTTCTCTCATCTAGTTTGACTTTCATAGAAAATTTAGGTACCCTGATTATAATCAAGTTCCCTTCTCTCTCAATGTTGGCACGTTCGTCACAGTTTTGTAACTCTTGTTTTCCCTCTGAGTCGCTGTGTATATGGTAACGTTCCCCATAACCCATCATTATGTGATATATTGTCCTGCCTAATATATCGGTTTTATTATCTTCCATCAATATTGTTCCAGAGGAAAAATCATTATTAATAATGGCTGAATGTATTGGATTATTTCTAGTCACTAGATTGTCAAAAAATAGACGAACGTTTGTCAGTTCTTGACAGTACAACAATTTTAATACACCAGGTACATCAGATAAAGTTTCATTTCTCATATATTTAACGACTGTATCTGCTAAAAATTTTGCGGCCAGAAATTCGGCATATGTTTTGTGGCTGAACGATGGAACATTATTTTTTAATTCCGTGACAATTTTAGATTTCGGAGTTTCCACCTTGAACATCTCTACATCACATTCAAATTCATCCCATTCAAAAAGCTTTTTCAGAACCCTCTCAGAGAAAAAGGAATACAGGGCCAGTTTGGATAACACTCGAAGAATAAATTTCTTTCTCGAACTATTATACTCGGACAGCTGTAAATTCATGAAAGTTTCGTATAAATCATCTATGCGAATATAATCTCCAAGGACATTTTCATTAGATTTCAATACTTCGGCAAGCATCATTGTTTGCTGACAATTACCTATGAATGAATTTTCCAACTTGCCTCTTATTTTTTCAACCAAACGCATTTTCCTCTTCAACTCTTTTTTGTCTCTACTGGCACCGAATATTTTTTTGAAGAATTCATTCTGGTCATTCAAATTGAACTCATCGAGTTCCATGGAGAATACTCCAAAATTTTCCTCCAATTCCGTTTTCAGTAATGGCCGTCCGACTATCCAGATTTTGAGTCCTCTACTAATACTATTTTTGAAGATTTCCAATAACTTCCTTTCTTTCACTTCTTCATAGTCATCCAGTAGGATCACTATTCTTCCATGTTCAATATGGTATTTGAATAACAAATCGAAAATACTTCGATATATATCCTCAACTGTTTCCATTTCTATATTTCGAATGAACTCGATGAATCCTTCAAAATCATCAATTTTTTCAAATTCTTTCGGAAATTTCCCTAATTCTAACTGAACGACCCACTCTGTAGGTGGAAATTTATTTTTCAGATGGTTTAGTAACACTGTTTTTCCCATTCCCGCATTATTGCATATAATTGTAATTTTGGAATGTTTGTTATTTTCAAGTAGTTCATCATCTCTTAGACAGTAATACTCATTTTGGCATATACCGGGTTTCAAAAATTCCAATGGTCCATTTGTATCCTTGAGGATGAATCTATTTCCTGATTCAGCCTTATTATACACAAATTGTAGAATACAGTAATATTTGACATTCAGTATAATATTGATTTTATTTATCAAGGATTGATCAAAGGTGTCTGTAATTGTGAGAATAGGAAATGCGTCCTCATAGTCAAGTTCTTCCATTCGATCAACACCTCTTTCGATAGAATCCAGATATGATTGCAAAGACATAGAGTCGAAATCTTCGAGAGAGGAAATACCGCAAACAATAAAAAGATATTCACCATTTTCTAGAATCTTTTCACTCAAAACTGGAACTCTCAACTTTCTCCCAATATATATTTGTTCTTCTCTACTGGAAGACCCAAAGTTCAGGTTTTTATCCAATAAACTGATCATTGAATCTATGCTAATTTTTTTTGTGAAATTTTCGTCATTATCGACAAATGATGATAATGGAGAATATTTTTTACCGTGTAACGATATATTCACCCTCTTTGTAAGTGCTGAATATTGTTCTTCGTCCAAATCTGCAATATTTCGGAGCAAATTGAAATCATTTCTATTTTCAAGATACTGAGGGTTCCATTCGAAAACTCTCTTAGAATCGAATAAAATAGTGATCACTTCCAGCTTCATCATCAATTCATTAAAGAAAGTTTCGAAATATCGATTTTTTGTTTCAATGTAAAATGGCACCATTCGCTGCGCCACCATATGGAAGTAAAGATCTTTTGTATGGATTTGGACTTCATCCGACAAGTTCAGAAGTTTTCGAAATTCATCCTGTAACTCAATTGGAAGAGGTTTTTCCCAATCATCCAAATCTAATGACTCAAGTTCATAAACCTCTCTCATGGTGTTCAAAATTTCATTCCATACAACGATTCGAGAATACTCCTGGTTTATCAGAGTGACATCAAATGTGTTCATTATGGTCAATATAGAAAGGGTTTCTGAACATTTTTTTGGAGAGTCGAACTCACCGAAGATATAACCCAATAATTTTGTTTTTATATCCAGTTTATGCAGCTTCTCAATGGTGTTTTTGGAATCGGAAAAGTCGTAGAAATATTTTAAAATATTTGCTACAGACTCTGGATAAAGTCCGGTGAATCTTTGTATCTCGGATGACACAGTACTCGAATTGAGTTGGTCAGCATAAAAATAAAACCGTTTCAGGAACTCTTTGCTGGTTTCCTTGTCTTGTATTACATATGCTGCCGAAATTTCTTCGGATGCGTTACTACTGATGAAACTTCTGAAATCCGTTTTATTTATTAGTTCAAATCCCATGTTGGAGCTTTCCCTACTGTACTTTTCTACTTTACAATTGCTAAAGAGGACAAAAAACATTTTCGTATCTTCAGGAATTTTATTTTTAGAGAAAAACGTTTTCTTCTCCATTATTGATTCATAGGCCTTCTTGAACGTTTCCAAATAGAAGACTGATCTTTTCTCTTTAAAATGTTCTATCGCTATTGTTTTATTCTTGTCCTTTTTATATTTCAGTTGCATGAAAAATAGTTCTTTCCGTTCATCTTTGTACTCCACGAACAATATCAAATCATCGAACTTGTCAATCTTGGAGTGATTGGTGGACAACCAAAAGTCCTGAATGTCATTCTTGAGGAGACATTTCATAGCAATCAAAGTTGAAATATCTCTCTCATAATGTTTTCCTAGGTCACCTTCTGTTTTCTTTGTGCTCATCTGAAAATTGAATTCGTTAGATTACCTTAAGTGTGAATTATGTCTATTCATACCAGAACTATACACAATATACAGTGTAAAAAAATATCTCAATAATTGGAATGGACTATTTCCCGGGTTTGAAGACCGTGGATTTTTGGAATTTCTTCTTGACGTTCTGCTGGCGCAAGTGGCTAGCTTCCTCATTTATACATCCATTCACTCAGGATGCCGATGAGGAAGCTAGCCACTCGCGCCAGCGGAACGTCAAGAAGAAATTCCATGAATCCACGGCCTTCAAACCCGGAAAATAGTGACACTGAAAACCTCGGCCACGAAAGCCTCAACCATTTTGTCAATTGGAATGGAATTGAAAAATCCTCGGCCAGATCAGCTTTCATTTTTGAAAATCTAATATAAAATATTATTTTGTAGTGAAAAAGCGTTGAAATGAACCGAAAGGTTTATGAGTAATCAAAACTGTTATATTAATCCGGCTCGAAGGACCAACAGTATATTGGACTGACTCGAAAACAGTATAATACTGTTTTCAAAAATCAATTCAATATACTGTATCATTAATTTTCAAGTTCGAAGCGCTTTTCAAACTTGACCCCAACCGTGATTCAATTAATGCTGCTGTAGTTCAAATCTGTTTAAAAAAATATGTTTCTCCGTTAACCAGCTCTTGCACCCCTACGAACGACAGCTCTCAGAAGTCTAAACTTGTGCGAGCTAAGGATTAACGACGTCTTACCTTTTAACATGTGATTCCTAACACGGGTTGGACGATAGCAAGTGAAAATCGATCATTTAGCCTGGGGCTTGAACTAGCGACCAACACGGCGGTCGATGTGAGTGAGTGCACAAAGCACCCACGTCGAACCGACAGGCTACCGGTTTATTAGTGATAATCTGGTTCAATGTCATCTTTTCCAGACCATCTCAAGTATGCGACACTTGCATATGCATTTTCAGAAGCATCACAGAAGATATGAAGCTGAATTTCAGAATCGGACCTATTCATTTCATAATATTGTCTTGACAGTGTACTGGGAAGGATGGCAAAATCAGAGTGGTTGATGTTGTTACAGCTTCTGGAGCAACATTCAACCGATGCGTATCTATACTTTTTATACTTGATGTATTCAAAGAGAAGTTCACTGAGAATCGGATTTGAAGTAATTTCTTTCATTCGAATCAATCACTGCGGGAGAGAATGTTCAGTATTTGTATTCAATATTATTTGTTTACTACCCTGTGTTTCACTCTGTATATCGTAATATTTAATTTGATGTTCAGTTGTGGTAACTGAAACAAGAATAATGAAAAAAACTGACATTGAATTTCAATATTTTGTTCTTCGAGACCGGATTAAACCTAGATATTTCGATATACATAGTGAAACAAATAATATTGAATACAAATACTGAACAAACACAGAAGAGTTCATTCCCTCCTAGTGGCCCTCACAGATTGGCTGAATGTAAAATTATAATTAGCAAAAAATATCACGTTTTTCTGTACTTAGAGAAATTTGAGTTTTTTACGCTCCATTTGAAAATATTCAAATAAAAATAACTTGACACACTAATTAATATGAATTCCCATAGATGATCCTTCTGTTTCTTGACAACAGCTATACTTAAATTCATTCAGGACGTTTTTGAACATATGTGGAATAATCGCCCACATTTCTGACGTTATTATATCTTTTGAATTTTGTAAGTTTAGATTTCGTTTGTGTTGATTGTTTCCGAGATGACTTCAAAAGGGAAAATCTAATGGGATCGAAAATTCTGACGTACCTCTTTGATTTATTCGTGTATACAATCCAATTTTTGAATATTTTCTTACCAGAACCCAAAAATACGGTACTGCTGCATACTGTGGAAACCGTGAAGAAGAATGTGGTATATATGAATTTACTGAATTGCCAAATAAATTTGTTGGTGAAGGATTAAAAATTCCAAATGAATATTCTCGAATATTATTTACATGTCCGTGAAAGGTAAATATGAATTCACAAAAAAGAAATACATTGATTAACAATAATTCATGCTGTTTCAACTTTCTCGCCATTTCCTCACAAAATTCAGACGGAATCACCTTCATATAACTCTTGTAAGGAAGGAATTTTATGAAAATGTAGTTTCAATACTTTTATAATCATTGTTATGACTTGCAGAAGTAATAGAATTTCCAATAATACGTTTTGTTTTGTATCTTCATCCACGAAAGAATTTTCTCTTCCTTGCATGACCTAAATCATTTAAATTATTTTTCGTTTTTGATAACCGTTCCTTGTGAAATATTATGGAAGTTTATTCAGGATGTTTAACGAAATAAATTGAAAACATCTGCATGTATTATTCTAGGCATACCCCCACTCCAATTATCTATTGTTGGATATACAACGTGTTTTGGTTAAATCAGGCATTGTGAGTTTTATGCTACAATAATTTCGAAGTATCACCCAATAGATGTTATCATTTTCTGAATACATTGACTTTTCACTTGGTGAAAATCGATAACACTATTCCTGAAAATAATTACAATCAATCCACACAATATAGACTAAATTGCGTTTCACTACAATTGTTTCCTCAGTTGGACCTGTACTCTACACTGATTCACAATGCAATTTATGCAAATTAACGTCCTTAATTGAAGAGATTACTAATTCGTAAACAGGTAGTTTCAAGAAAAGATAGCCAGCAGGTACATAGCCGGTAAAATTACTTATTTTTTATGAAAATGAATTCAACAATGATGAGAGATCAACTTCTTGTTGGTCGTTCAATAAGAAATTTATTTTTTTACGTTTATTAATTACCAGAGATTCCGAGGTTTAATATTTGTCCTTCATTTTCTGTACGAGACGGTCCCACAAGTAGCCGGCCTGACCTAGAGATGGCGGTGGTTGTTCTAAAAATATTATTGTAATACAAAGTGAACAATCTATAAAGCATATGTTTTAAGTTTGAAGACGCTGCGCTGCTTAGTATTTGTCTGATAATTGAGACTGATAATTTGTTTACAACAGTACAATATTGGGTAGCAGAGTTTAAACGAGGCCGTACGAGCTACCAAGACGAGAAACGGTGAAGAAAATCCACAAAGCGGTACTAAATGATCGTCGACTGAAAGTGCGCGAACTAGCAGACTTAATCAAAAAGTGCGATAGAACGTATATCAAGGCCGTAGACATGGGGGGATCAAGAGGGATTGATCTGCCCCGAAATATCTACAAGCAACGGCCATCCAAAAAGTATATCAAATGCAACGATTGGCTTGTTCAAACATCACAGGAGTCATGAGAATAACACCAACCGCGGCAATGGAATTAATTACTGGTCTGTCCCCTCTGGACCTGTACGTATGTTGATATTTCTGTAATGGTTTTCTAATGAATATATAATCATGTGACACAATTTTATTCCTTCCTTCCGTTATTTACATTTCATGTTTTTCTACTGTTCCATCAAACCAACCCCCCCCTCGATTGGCTTGTTCAAACATCACAGGAGTCATGAGAATAACACCAACCGCGGCAATGGAATTAATTACTGGTCTGTCCCCTCTGGACCTGTACGTTAAGAAGGTTGCGTGAATAATGGCCATGTTACGATTACGCACGGCTGGTGTAAACCTCGAAGTAGGAATGGGTCAATTGAAGCTGAGCCTATGGCGAGAAGCGCACACTGCGCAACCTCTGCTGCAGGCAACCAGTGATGCAATTGTACCCTGGTTTGTGTTTAATTAACCCTACATAATACATATAAAACAAAACACAAAGTCAGATGCTACAAATGCAATACGCATATATACAGACGGCTCAAAAACCAAAGGAGGCTCAAAATGTGGAGTGTACTCCAGATCACTAAGCCTAAGAATTGAATGGAGAATGGGAACTGGCTGATATCTCAATCACCACAAAAGAAATAACTAGGAAAGGAATTTCTGGCAAAAAAATAACGATCTGCATTGATAGCAGACAAGCCTTATCAGCCTAGAACAGACAACATATCACCTCAGGGCTAGTACTAGAGTGCCACCAAGATTTAGCCAAAGCCTCGGTAGATAATAACATTATCCTGAGGTGGATTAAAGGGCACGACAGGAGGAAAGGTAATCGCATTGCCAACTCTTCAGCCGAGGAAGCGGCTGGACTAAGAATTTTAGCACCCAGTGACACCTACGTATATACGTAGGTGTCACTGACAATTGTCCGACAATTGCGGAACTAGCCAAACGTCACAACATTGCTCAATCCCTAAAGAGATGGGATGAAATCTAAGGATGCACTCTTGCCAGGGCGTCCCTGGGAAGCTGGCGCCGAAGAATTATCTATCGATGACCAGGAAAAATCTATGCTTGATAGTAGGATTTCTGACTAGCCACTATCAAATAAGAAAACACCTCCATAATATCGGGCTAGTGGACATACCTCTAGGTAGGATGTGTGAACAGGAAGATGAAACTGTCAGGCATGTCCTATGCGAGTGTCCGGAGTTATCGTCAATAAGAGAGTGTATGTTTGGCGAGTCTTGGCTTACACCTGCCCATATAAAGGAGATGTCTCCAAGTGACCTGTCCACCTTCTTGGAAAGGACAGGATGGGCAATGACCTAGGAGAAAATCTCCTCGGGAGGATGTACAATGGGTCACATGTGGTCTAAGTGCTGTGGGCCTACACTCACCCTCACTACTCTACAGATACAGATACTACTGAAATTATGAAATCCGTTAAAAATTTTAGCAAGTCCTTGGAAAAACGAACCAAGTGCTTGAAAGAGAATATTGAAAAAAAATTCCCGAAACACAATGGAAAAGCCTTACGGCAATGTGCGTACAAACTTTCAAAGATCAGGGGTATCTGTTTCCACATGTACCCCTGAAAAGACTTTCTCTTCTCTAAAACGCCTTAAAACTTATTTAAGAAACTCCACAAGCCAGGAACGACTAAACGGTACACCGAGGATGTAATTGATTCGTTTGCTGCAAATAAAGCTAAAAAACTAAATTTGATTTTGTGAAAATATGTTAATATTTCTGTAATGGTTTTCTAATGAATATATGATCATGTGACACAATTTTTTTCCTTCCTTCCGTTATTTATATTTCATGTTTTTCTACTGTTCCATTAAACCGGGGAGGCCCCCCGGAAATTGTTTTTTGGATAAGGCCTTGTCGTATATTATCTGAAAATTTGAACATGAGAAAGCTGTGTGTAAGATGGGTGACGCGTTGCGTTTGCTCACACTCAAGCAAAAACAGTGTCATGGAGATGTTTCAATCAAGTATCAAGCGAAGTTTAACAGCAACAAAGCAGAATTCTTGCGTCATTTCATAACCAAAGATAGAATATGGGTCCATCACTTTACACCCGACACAAAAAAACAATTAAAACAGTGGACTGACTCAAAAGGAAGAACCGGCTCCAAAAAAAGCGAATTTTCATTGACTATCTTCAGAAAGGTGAAACTATCAACGGGGAGTCTTATGCAAACTTATGCGAACGTTTGGGTGAAAAAGTCAAACAAAAACAGCCGCAGTTGGCTAAGAAAAAAGTGTTGTTTTATCAAAACACTGCACCACCTCACAAATCCATTATTGCCATGACCAAAATTAACAACTTAAATTCTGAATTGCTATCTCTTGCACCCTATTCGCCAGATTTAGCCTCCTTGGGTCATTTTTTGTTCCCAAACATGAAAAAATGGCTCAGTGACCAAGGATTTTCTAACGATGAAGTGATGCGGCAGTTAATGGCTATTTTGGGGAGCAAGACAGTTCTTATTATAAAGACGGTATCGCAGTTATTGAAAGTCCTGGATCCTACGGGAGAAGGAAATATTAAGAGCAGATAGTTGTTGGTTCACAGATGGATCAAAAACACCTTCCGGTTCTGGTGCAGGTGTTTTCAGTCGCAGACCCAGGACAGAGTTATCTACCTGCCTAGGAACTTATGCGACTGTATTTCAAGCGGAAATTCACGCTATTGAATTGTGTGCGGAGAGATTGGATAAATTCAACCTCACTCACAAGTCAATAAAAATATTCTCGGACAGTCAAGCGGCATTGGAAGTTCTTGACTCCCACCGAGCAACGTCTAAATTGGTAGCAAACTGCCAAAAAAGACTCTCCTCGATAGGAAGACTAAACAGATTGTCTCTGGTCTGGATTCCTGGCCATACTGTCCTGGAAGGCAATGGAGCTGCTGACTCTCTTGCAAAGGAGGGTGCTGCAAGCGGCTTCATTGGACCAGAACCTGTCATTGGCATCGCTTTGGGCTTTGATAAACAAACACTCAACACCTGGATGGCAAGAAGAGTTATGGACTTCTGGCAGAATCTTCCAGGATTGGCTCACTCCAAAGCGTTTATTCACCCTTCGAAGCTTGATTCCAAACAGTTGTTGGACTACAGTAGGGATGAACTACGATGTCTAACAGGCCTTCTTACAGGTCACTGTCATTTGAATCATCACATGCAGAGACTTGGACTGTTGGGAGACAGTGTGTGTCGCCTCTGTCTGGAAAATGATGAAACATGATGAATGAAGCATGAATGATGAAGCATATACTTTGTGTCTGCCCCGCTGGGGACCAAATCAGGTTCTTTGAGTTCGGCAGATCCGTACTCTCACTATCTGACCTGAAAGACCACTCACCATACGAACTAATCGGCTTCGTTAAGAAGCTGGGTTTATTTGGCCGAGTGTGAATAGGTGTGAGCCACAATAAACCCTTATGGGTTGCGGTGGAGGGTCGAATAGACCCACTCACTTTAGACCTACCTACCTACCTACCTTGTAGGGTAAGGAGGAACATTAAAATCTCATCATCTGTTGAAAGTCGCTGGGGAAAGTGTATACAGCTGTATAGAGATTATGTTGAAAAATAAATAAAATTTGTTTTTCAAAATTTTTGTGTTTTCTTTGTTGAGTCCCCGTATGAACTCGTAGTACGTCGTAGTGTATGTCGAATCGTGGTTGTTTTCCAACATAGGTTAAATTGAAGGTTATAAGCTAAATTAATTGTTTGTCGTTCATGATTGATCTTTCTTTTGCAAAGTTTAACTCGAAACTGCAGTCATTGAGGAATATGTGTGTGAATTGATCCTAATATATCTGCAAGTCTATTATTCGCTCTGTGGTAATTTCCATAAATATCTATCAGATATAATCAAATGTCCGTCGCGGTATCAACCATGGAAGTGATTTTACTGTGTAGGAACGTTGAAGAAGGTGAATATTTTGAATTTCAATTTAGTCAATCAGCATCATTAATGATATGCGTGTAAATAGAAATGTAATTCCGTTATTTTTATCGACTTTCCATATTTTTTTTAAATATTTTGTTCGCACACTAATGGTTCACTGTTGCAACAAAAAAAAATCCCATGGCTATCTGATGATACAGGAATGAATATATTTCAATAAATGGTTTATTCAAGATCGTATATCTTCTCGTATATTATCTGAACCAAGAGTTTTTTAATTAACATCATGAATACTCAGATATTTTGTATTTGTCGTGTTCCGGAATTATGGACCATCGTTGATTTTGAGTTTCAACCTCGATCAATTTATTACTTCAGTCCTTTTTGATACAAAAATTCTTTCATCACGAATACCAATATTTTGTAACAAAAAAACAAATGATTTGAAATCATATTAATTTGAACAATTTACAAAACTGCAACACGCGTTTCTCTAGTGAAAATCCGCAATGAAGAATTGTTACTTGAATATGTCATGAATGTTCAACAAGTACCTGCCAATTCTATCACATATGTTCTGGAGTAATCAACCAACACCTTTCTACTTTCTATAAAAGATTCTCTGGGAAGTCCCCGATCAATAAGTATATTACCATATCAAATAATTGATTCAACATACCTTTTCTCTCCCTATTTCTCTGTATTTATGGAATATAGTTCAGTTCCAATATATTGCTCAGCGAAATGTTGAGTAAAACATTCCACAGTTATTATTAATTCTACGTACACTTCTATACATGATGAATTTTTTTGGCAAATGAGAGATAGATAAATGAGAAAAAACTTTTCGACTCGCTGATAATGATAAATTTGTTGATAAGCCGTGAACAAAAGTTTATTTGGAGTAGATTTGAATACAATAACTTATGATAAGCCAAGAATACAATACGATAGATACGCAAGTACGTTAAAATACAAATTTGGTGTATCACAGGGAACAAAAGACCTTAGATGGCCGTGTTAGGTTAGGGAACATTTTCCTTCAGCATCTGATTTTCAGATGAATGTTGGTTTCTTCTGAATGGGACTATTAATCGTCATAACTGTATATTGGTCCGACGAAAACTTATAGTTTCCTCCATTCGATTGGTATACAAGATACATCTCATATGAGTGAAGTTTATGAAATTTTTCAATTCTTCGAATACTGATAATGCTCATGCAAGAAATTCTAAATATTCACAGGTCATACAGTACACAAAATGAAACATGGCCGGAGCCAGAACGCTGTACTAACTAAGGGTATGTGTTATAATCAGAAATGCAAACTACGCATCAATAGAAATTAGGAACGGGACAAATGAGACCGGCCATGGTTCATTCTCTGTATTGACAATTATTGAAATGGCCCAAAACATCAACTTCTATAATTTCCTTTCCATCATCTGTTAACGTTCTTATTCGAACTATCATTACTTTCTTACCTTTATAGGGGAAAGTGGTCTTAGTGGCCAGTCCCTTACCTGAAATTTCTACCAATTCTGTAAGTTTCCGACTCCGACCGCCTTGGTCTGGGAAAGGCAAAGGTCAGATTCTTTGATAAAACAAGATATTCAATGTACTTGAAAGAGTAGTGTGTCATTGTATATTGATCTCTGCATCTTTCACTCAAGGACTTCTTTATCTCTGTGGCAGAGTCTGATTATCTCGCTAATTGTCGAAAAGTATACCAAGCAACAGTACCATGCTGGTAGCATTCTTTTTTGTAGGCGCTCTTAGCTCAAAAACCCACGGCTTTCTGTTTGTTGGGAAATGTATAACAATGAAACGGACCATTTGAGGTGCATATCTTATGAATCCATTCAATACTCCAAAAGGAGTAGAGTAAGATCAGAACGGCAAACATATTTGTAGCGGCAACTTTTTTCTTTCCCGAAAGTTCTATAAACACAAAATTATACACTGAGGTCTGAAATGAATGAAGTAAAAACCCACGTGTTGGGTGAAAGAGAATATCTCAAGTTGAGCATGGAAATACCCCATTTATGTAGTACTTGTGCATGTAAAGGCGACAGCTCAGACTCATGATAATGATATTTATTTTTTCATGGAATTCTCTTTTTGAACATTATTGTCGTCGTTGAAAAGGTACAGCGATGTTTGTTTATAACAGTTTTCATTTACGTTACCTCATTTTAGTTGTATCTTTGTGTTAATTTCGGCTCAGAATTGTCATTGGGATAGAAGAATGCAAACATCATATCTGTCACCCCCTCCCAGTACTACTAATGAGTATAAAAGATCGAAACAACGCTCTCTGTTATTGGGTCATGAATGCTTCAATTGGATCAAGTATTTTATACAGGGTGTCCCTGGACTTCCTTTTTTCCTCTCGGGAATGTATAGATGGGGTCAAAATATCACCAGTACTTCATATAACTTTTTTTCCTAAAAGTCTTCGTAACCAAGTTACGGGCCCTCGAAGTTACAAAATGAAAAATGTTTTTCTTTGATAACTTTTCAAGTGAATATTCAAAATCATCCAAATTTTGGTAATTGACTAAACAAATGAATTCCTTCGATGAGCT